ATGAGTGAATATTGAAAAAACCTGCAACCGCAAATGTCTCTAAATTATGGTGGAACAGCGTGTGTGTGTGTGTGTGTGTGTGTGTGTGTGTGTTGTTACTGTAGTTGTAGCTGCCTTATTACAGTGTGATATTGTGGGCGTACTGGCAGCTTGTAGTGGCATCTCAACCGTTCCCAGCAGGACATATAATCTGACTGTGTGGACAGAAGTCTGGCAGTTTCACAGGCCTGTGGTCCATGTGACCAGACTAAACAAGCCCTCTCTGACACACACACACACACACACACACACACACACACACACACACACACACACACACACTGAATCCCCTTACTGGGCCAAAGTTCAACAACTGCATACAGATGCCTGCAAGCAATTAGACATCCACATGCAAAGCTGCGGAGGGGGAGCCCGGGAGGTTACTTTAGGACATTTTGCACAGTTGCCATGGTGAAGCTGACACTCAGCCTGCATCCTGCTTGAGAAAGGTCAGGTGTCTTGTATCTTTTGTTCATTTTTCTTTTTTTTGCCCTCCCCCTCCTGTGTGCTAGTGCTTAGCTGCGGTTGTTAGGCTGTAAGGCAGAAATGTCTAAAATAATAAATGAATAAATGCAGCAGTGAGCAACACAAACATTTAAACACAAAGAAAGTAGGAAAGCTGTCAACTCTGAATGATATTTCAATATTTAATATTCACACACCGTGGCCAAATGTTCATGTTTTTTCAGCCTTCAGTCTAAAATAGACAAAACAGTATGTTAGGTTTGTTTTTTTTATTAATTTAGGTAGCATTTCATGATGTCAGTGGTGTTATTATTATTACATTTATTCAAGTATTGTACTTAAGTACAAATCTGATCTACTTATACATTACTTGAGTGTGTTCTTTTTGTGCTACTTTATAATCCACTACATATTTTAAAGCTTTGCAAATTGAGACTTTTTACATAAAAAATATTTAGAGAGCTTTTAAAATATGATTTGTCATAAATTACTACTGTACCCAACAATATATACAGGTAGAGCTTACACAGTTTGTATCAGCTGTTAGCAGCAGTAGTAGTAGTAGTTTGTGTAGTGTAGTTTCTGCACAATTAATTGAAGTATTGTTGAAATTGCAATATGGCTGAATGCAATATCCAAATGGCAGGAGCTGCTTTTCTTTTTAATAAAGGTAGAATGTTGTACAGCATAAGATTTAGATGAAGCATTGTGGTGCTACAGAAATGAATTAGAGAAAAATCACATCATCATCATCATCATCATCATTTTTTATATTTTTCCCAGTAAAAATGAACATTACCACAGAAATTACGACTTATACTGCACTATTTGTCAAAATAAAGGCAATATGACTTGCAGCCCTAATCGTTTCATTTAACATGTCAGTTTTATCAGTGTTTTACCAGGAGTTGCTGCTTGCACCCTATTTCAGTAACTGTGTTTTATCCTTACCTTTTCCTGTTTTGTTCTTGTACTTTAAGGGAATCTATTGTAATATCTGGCCAAGGACTACAGATTATAGCTAACCTTTTCTGCTAATTCTTGCATATTTACAGCAATCTGTATTAATATGCACCATCCCTGTCAAAAAACTCCTTAAAAAATGTGCTTTTCCTCATAATTGTTATTATTATTATTATTTTTATTATAATTATTATTATTATTATTTTTTATTTTAGACAAAATAAACATTTTGAAAGTGACACTATTTTCTGCAATTTTTACAAAGCAAACAACCAATCAAATCGTTAACATGAGAATTGAGTGGCAGCGGTCTACACGATATATGGTATTATACAATTATTATTAATATTATTATCAGCTATAATGACTCTTCAAGGTATGAAAAACAAAGGGGTACTAGAAACCATTTTTTTAAACATGGGGGTGTGTAAAAAGTCTGTCAGGCAGTCGAGGAGCGGAGGAGATATGCATGTGTAGGTTGAATTCTTTTTTCTTTTCTTTTTTTTTGGGGGGGGGGGGGGGACATTTTTAGCCTTTAATGGATAGGACAGACAAGTGTGAAGGGGGGAGAGAGAGAGGGAGTGACATGCAGCAAAGGGCCACAGGCTGGAGTCGAACCCGGGCCGCTGCGGCCTTGTACATGGGGCGCCTGCTCTACCACTTAGCCACCTATGCCCCACGTTGAATTCTTTGTCAAGTTGCAATTGTTTTTCAACATCGTAGACAAGCAAATGTACACGGTAAGATAACGGTCAGTTTTCATTCCACCGTACACAGTTCTAGGTACACAACTGCAACCCTACTCTAGAAAATAAGCAGGAAATTAATCCTTAAGGAAAATAATTAGTTACAGTCCTGCATGATTACTTAAAAATCAGCTCTGCCTCAACCAACTAGAACAGTAAAATTTTACTTTTACATTAATGCATGAGTCATAATAATCTTATATTTTCAATGCAGGACTTTTTTTCCACATAGTGGTATTAGTACTTTTACTTAAGTAAAGATCTGAGTACTTCCTCCATCACTGAACATTGGTTTTGATAAGATTCAATGTCACTGCACCATCCTACTCTGAAAAAACAAAACACACACACACACACACACACACACAGCTCTTATGATGTGTCACTGGTATCATTCACTCGATGACAGACCGTTTTAAACTACCTCTGAACCCCAACCCTCCGCCCCTCCTCCCTGTGACACAGCCGACCCCCACCCCTCCACCCCTTGCACCAAAGCCTGACCCTCACATCACTGGCAGCCAATAGATTTGTGGCCTAATCCATCACTTCCCTCTACCAGCTCAACTGTCCTGGCTCATTGTTAGCAGCGAAGGGGAGGGGAACAACTGTTGACACACCCCCACTCACCTACCCCCACTTAATGCACTTATATATACCTACATGTTATAGATGAAACGGTATGAACATTTCTTATCACGATGATTATGACCACAATTATCACAGTATTGTTAAAATGTGCTGAAAATGTTCAAAAACTACTGATACACACACTAAAATCATATCACCAAGTTTTACAGGGAATGAAAAGAGCATCTGCACACACGGATATTTGTAATTAGCCAGCTTTGGGTCAGGGACGTTCTTCACTGCTGTCACTGCCTTCTGTGTATGCAACTTTATTGTGGATTAAAAACACATTAAGTTGATTGTGGTGAATTTTCATTGTCAGGTTATCTGTTAATATCTTATCCAGCAGCACCAACAAGAGGCTGCTCAGCCAACAATAAAAGAGACTCTGCATACACACCAATCTCATTCATTCATTTTCCGTAACCACTTATCCTGTCGGGGGTTGCAGGGGTGCTGGAGCCTATCCCAGCTGACATTGGGCGAGAGGCAGGGTACACCCTGGACAGGTCACCAGACTATCACGGGGCTGACACATAGAGACACACAACCATTTACCAATTAACCTGCATGTCTTTGGACTGTGGGAGGAAGCCGGAGTACCCGGAGAAAACCCACGCTGACATGAGGAGAAAATGCAAACTCCTCACAGAAGGGCTCCCCCACCCTGGATTCAAACTGGGAACCCTCTTACCGTGAGGCGACAATGCTAACCACTGCACCACCTGCCATACAAACCAATCTCAAAAAACACAGCGGATCTGGGGTGCCCAGTAGCTCACCTGGTAGAGCAGCTCCCCATGTACAAAGGCCTTGTCCTTGCTGCAGTGGCTGCGGGCCTGATTCCAACTTACAGCTCTCCACTGCATCAGGGAGAGTGTACCTAACTTTAGTTGTTGCTGGATAGTATTTACCTCAAGTTTTTCAAAGTGCAGTAATCAAACACAGTTTTAATGATAATTAAAATTTGAAATGGTAATTCTAATTGTCAGGACTTTCACTGCAGTTTATTATGAAACTGTTAACTGCTTCATTCTTATTCTCTAATACAGTGGTTCCCAACTGGTCCAGATTTCTCCTTAGTCATTAGTTCAAGGTCCACACAGTTTAATACATTCAGCGTCATACTTGAGTTTGGCCGTGTTGTCGAGCTAGTTTGCAGCCTCTCTCACATAGCTGATCGCTATCCACTCATTTTACAGCAGGAAATGTTACTTCGAAATAAAAGCTCTGTGCTGAAAATTCACTGTACTTCAAAATAAAGTGTATTTTTAACAAACCTGACAAGTTTGCAAGTCACTCGTGGTCCATTCAGAATGAGCCTGTGACCCACCAGTTGGAAACCACTGCTCTAATATACATGCGTGCATGCACTGTCACACCCATGTTCTCCTCCAGCCACACACGTCCCCCTCAATATGTGGGACATGTGCATTTGTTTTTCCCCCAATATAAAAAAGAAAGTAGTAGAAGACTTTAACTTTGACATAATTATCTCAAACGGAGGATATAAGCAGGAAGATCAGTTTCAAGCTGTCATGCAGTCCTGTCAGTTCTTGGTTGTCATCTACATAAATCAGAGAAATCAGAACTGGTGAACAAACTGGATCCACTCCGCTTCAGATGCAGCCCTCAGGAGGTTGTGTTTTTATGTGAACTGCGTTGGCCCAACTCATCTTTTTTGCAGCTGATTTTTCTTGAGTTCAAGGGTGCTGCTGAACAACCGTAGCAAGAGAAAAAAAAGTCTGCTGTTATTTGTGCCAGAAAATGAATCTATGCATGTTTAGTAGGCCAAGAGCTCGAGCTGGCCAAGTGCGATGTTTGATGTACACTCCGTGTTGTCTCCAGGCTGCAGTTTTAGATGATGCTAAGGGCCGTCTGACCCTTAACCTCCGGACTTCCCAGCACTCCCCCGTGTTTGCGTTCCATAACAGCCCTTTTTCAAACGCTGGGTTAAATCTGCACTGCAGAAATCTGCTGCTCGGAAAGAAATAGGACTGCTCAGCCTAAGAAACACCAGCATGCTTACTTATGTTGTGTGGAACTGACTTTCACTGACAGTGAGATTATAATACAGACACAATGTGCTGTTGTTTCTCAGTAAAACACTGTTGTAGTTTTACTAGGAAGATAACTAGTCTTTTTTCCGCCCTCCAGAAAACTTCCAGACGATCCCAGAGCAGAATGGAGCGTCTCACTGGTCTCGTCTCTGATTGTGAATCACATACGAGCTCACTCCTTCAACATGGTACACTCAGCTCTGCTCTTGCCTGTCAAAGCACTCGTTTTTCTGTCATTTCCTGTTTGATGTTAACACACAATTTCCTTTTGTACAAACCCATGTATTGTTTTGCTCTGTTTTGACCATATGTTTTGGCACTGCAGCTCCCCTCGCTCATTATCCCAGATTCACTGCGGTCTGCGTAATAACCCTGTCAGCCGCTGTCTCTTTACGTCCACCTCAGACCGTATTTTGAACCTCCATGATAATTGAGGGGGAAATGGCCTCTGCTGCAGTAGAAAGTTTGGATTCGACGTCTGTGTTTACACAGAGATGCTTATCAGCTCCGGTGCAGTTCCGCACTATTAGCTAATGGGAATGCGGTTAATTTAGAATCAAAGAATTTTCATCCGGTCTATCTCAACAAGAGCAAAAATAGCTCCGACAAACAGCAAATTTGGCAAACAAAAATAATTAAAATATATATTTTTTTTAATCAAAGACGACAAACAAACACACCGTCTCCTCCCATCCTGTCAGGCTCAGCAGCCAAATATGCCGCCAGACTAAAAACTAGACAAGAGAATCATGTCCTCTCTTGTGAATATGAAGCAAAAACATACAGAGATAAACATTTAGATGTGAAAGTAGTTCACTTCTCCTGCTCTTGAACTGAAAAACATTGTTTCATTGGTCTGACACTGTGCCATTCCCTTGCTTTTAAAAGTACAAGCCAGCAAGAATTAAGAGAAAGTTCACTAGTTGCTTCCAACATGTGGTGGTCGGGAGCTTAAACGTATGCTTGATTGCAAAGACACAGTCATGGTAGGAAACGCCTGAGCGTAGCAAAATGCCAAGTCTTTAGTCAAGCACTTTTTCGTTCCCTTTGACCTGATTTTTTTTTTCACTTGCTTCCTCTGGTGTGCAAGCATGCACTCAGAAAAAGGCTTTTAAATATCAGTTGTCGGCTGCCAAGCAGCTCCACAGTCAGACAGCGAAACCCGTCCACTAACCCAAGAAAAATCTTTTGCCTCCATTTATTTAAATTCACTTTTAGATACCCAGAATCTGGCTTTTCACCCACTCACAATGAGACATTTTGTTGTTTCAGGTGCTGACCTTCGATGGGAGCGGAGTGAGTGGCCATGCCAATCACGTAGCCATCCATAAAGCTGTCAGGTACCGACTGAACTTTAAGGCTCTGCCATCAGAAAAACAGTGTTTTTTAATCCCTCAACTTATAGATGCCATCCTCTGGGATATTATGTGGCTTACACACAGACACCAGCCCACTCCACAGTCATAAAACACTGTCCAGGAAAATGCAGAACATTTCGGCACACATCAACATCCATCTTTCCAAATGTTTCCCCACAAAGACACACACACACACACACACATACACAGCATGTTTTTTAGAATCGGCCTGTTACATAGCTGAGAGGTCATCCAAACAGAGTCCTCAGAGGCACTCGGCTCTGCTCCCAGAGAGCAGCAGTAAATCCTGTCCCTGAAGTGGTGAGGTGGGAGGGCAGCTCTGGTTTGGAGAGGCCAACCAAGCGAGTTGCATCAGACTGTTGGTTTTTTTTTTTTTTTTTTTAAAAAGTGTTTTGCACTATGAAGTGTACGCTGCTATCCCCATATTGCAGCGATAATTGTCTGCCGTGTTAGTCATGGTCTTTTCCCTCACTGAGCCTGTATGGCCCTCCGTCAATCTGTGGGCCTCATCTGTTGATAAGATGTGAGCTCTCCAAATCACATCTCATGATTCCCATTGGGCTGGAACCCACAGGGGGTGTGCACTAGTTTCACTGCGCTCTAGATCTCAGGTTTGAAGTTGGGTTGTGGTTTTTGTCAACATTTTAAAGGAATACTTCACCCCCCAAATGACCATTTGTGTATCAGTTAAACAAAGTTTTCTTCACAGATTCAATGTAACACTGGGTGAATGTCTTGCATGTCTCTACAGTGAACTAACAATCCCAAAATGGAGAAAATTCTTTATGTTGAACATTGTATATACATTGAATGATATGAGCACTTTTGATTTCCCTCCTTGGTACTGACATTGAAAATATTTTGGTTCAGTTAATGTCCGCAACAAAACAAAATTCTCTTGAAAGAAGCTTTGGAAAAAAAAAATCATTTCTGTCGAGAAACACTTATCAAAAGCGTCAAGCACCCCACCATAGAGCAGGCTTTAGTTTGTTTATGTTATTGTGTGACTTAAGTGTTTAAAAGAGGTTAGTTTGGATTCACCAAAATCACACAATAACACAAACTAACTGATCGAGGCAGAGGTAGACCAGCAACTTTTGTGTTCAGTGAGGTAAAATTACTGTTTTTGTCAATGGAGTCTGGCTTTGAAGAGAGCATAGATAAGTTTCACTTTAAATTCAGTTCCCCATTGTAAAAGGCGGTCTGTTTGGAAAGTTCTGAGCATATGACTGGATGAATGAGACTTGGATTATACTATGCGACTTGTGTGAGAGTTTGTAAAGGGATGTTTTGATATAGTTTTGCTGTTATTAAATGTGGACCCCTATGACTTCAATACATAAGGAATTTTCTGTTTTTGGATTCTTCGTTCACCATGGGGGCATGCAAGTAAAACAGTTTTCATCACAAATTCAACATAACATATGGCAAGTAATCGATATACAAATGGTCATTTTGTGGATGAAGTGCTCCTTTAATTGCTTAATAGCGTTTACAGCCAAACAACCACACAATAAAAAATATAAAAGATATACAATAATATGTAGAAATATTACAACACTTACGCACAATGGCAAGAACCAACTGATTTATTCATCCTTGTAGTTATTAGAGCTTTAAAGTCAGGCAGAGAGACCTCATCACATCATCAAGCCAAATACCGAGATATTTGTAACAAGTGACGACCTCTGACTTCTTTCCCTGAGCAGTAATAACATCGGGAGTGTTCACAGGCTTCTTCCCAGCGTTTGAGAGATGCATAACCTTCATTTTTATCAGTATTTAAAACCAGCTTTAGTTCGGTAGAAACATCACACCATGGCCATTTTTTGTAGAGGTTGCCATCATAAATACTGTCAGTAAAATGTATCATGTTTGACAACAGTTGCTATGTTCAGTGAGTAACATTGTTCTTGTCTTCACTTTGCTTCCCAGCCATCTTGCATCCACTGGACAAGTACCCAACGGTAGGTGTGATACAACGAAAACGTTGAAGAGGTTATCTTGGAAATTCGGACTAATGTATCACAGGTTGGATTTTGTGACCTTGGTCCCAGTTCTTCAAGTGCAAACAGTTTCAACTAGATATGTGAAGTATGTTGACATTGAGTACATAAGTTGCATTAATTATTAAGCATTACGTAGAATTTTAAATTAAAGATACAAACTGCTTCACAATCAGACCAGACAAGGACAACTTCCTCTCGAGCAGCACCACCTCTCCAGTCTGCATTAGGTGTTGTAAACACTGGCTCACAGTGGGTATTTTGTGAATGTACGGCGCCCTCTTCTGTTCAAAAGGGACTGCATGAGCCTTAATATCTCCTCTATACATTTTGGTCTGCTGGTGGCAGCATGAGGCCAGTTGGATATCACAAACTCTAGTTTGTTTTCACAATTAATCTTTTGGTTGCAAAACATTAGAAAACAGTGAGAAAAGCCTGTTGCAGTGTCCTACAACCTAAAGTGACTTCAGCAAATGTCCTGTTTTGTCCGGCATTTCCAAATGCAAAGATGCTGAATTTACTATTACTATTTACTATTGTGAGACCAAGAATAGCAGCAAATCATTCAGTTACAAAGCAAATATGCACAAAACACCTTAAGATTTCTCTTTAAGTGTGTAACCTAAGGCTCAATTTCTCCTCAGCTGAGGGACTCACACAGTTGCACAGAATCCCTTAAAAGGTTTCCTTCGTTGAGGGAAAACTTATTTACTGCATTGAAAGAGATTTTATAGTGGTACAAGTATCCACGGAGATTATTTGTTTGCTTGGACTCACAAAGTTGACTTAGAGTTAGATAGTTTAAAAATGGCAAAAGAAAAGAAGACAAGAAAATCATATTGGTCAGAGGACGAGAAGATTATACTTCTGGAGGAATACAATCATAGACAGCACATCCTACAAAGTAAATTTGATCCTTAAACACCAGAAAACGATTGTAGGAAGAAGCAACAAAAATTAATTAAGTCAAATCAAAAGCATATCCATTAGGTTCTCCTGGTCGCAGAAGACTCTTTTCAGAGTGTGTTAGTTTTTTCATTTATCACCATAAACCTTGTCATGTTGCAGTTAAAATAGAATCAGAGGTACCTTAACATGGTCTTTTGTGCAACAGTTCAGGGATTCCTGAACTATAAGAGCATGACAAGGAGAAACCCATAAATACTTAAGTGAACATTTTCAGGAAACCCTAAGGAGAAGACTTAAGGGTGTTTTGTGCAGCCGGCCCCTGGAAATAATTGTTGATCAATATTTTGTTGATTATTTAAGACATGCATACAGAGGAGAACAAACTTGGCAAGTTAGTAGCAGCTTTATGCTTTCAGCAGCTTTAACTAAAATTTAAATGATATTGTTTTGCACCATGTGTTCTTTCAACACTTTCATGCAGAGAATATCCTGAAAAGTAAGCAGTCACTGTTGTTTCTACGACAAATAATAATCACAATAATAACTTTATTTATATTGCACCTTTATAAACAGAGTTAGCTGACAACACAAAAGCAGAAACGGGATACTCAGAAGGCAACATAGCAACAGAGAGAGAAACAGTCCTACCAGCTAATTCTCCGACCTCTTAGTAACGTACATGCCAGGACATACTTTGAGATCCTCGGGCAGCAGAGGTCTTTTGTCTATTCCAGAGGCTCAGCTGAAAACTAAAGGGGACAGAGCATTCGCTGTCAGGGCCTCGAGGCTCTGGAACAGTCTGCCCAAGGAAATCAGGTCGGCTGAGTCAGTGATCTCTTTTAAGTCCCTTCATAAAACAGACTTTATCGGAGAGCCTTTCCTGATTTTACTTGAATTTTAAGTTAATTTAAACTGTCTTTTATTTCCTCTCTTTTTATTTGGCTGCTGTTAGGCCAGCAAGCCATACTCATCGTTGTTAAAGTGTTAATCTCAATAAAGACTCATCATTCAGCAATAAAACCCACGGAGACTACAATACAGAGAATTCCATAATCTCTGACAGACATGAAGAGACACTGATCCAGAGTCTAAAACCTTCAGGTTGCCGATTATTTTTCTGTCAATCAAACAATCAACCGACTGCAGATCTAGTCTGAACTTTTGGTTGCTTCTGGAAAGTTCTTATGATGATGCTGACAGGTAATGTGAAAGGAAAAGTAGGACAGAGCAGGAGCAACATGTTATAACAGGCTCAAAGCCACAGAGCACATTAAAGTTTGAACTGATAAGAAACCAGCATAAATAAGCATGTGTAGTTAATCATATGTGAGATCTTAACGGTTGCACTGTGCTGTTGAACTCCAGGAAGACATTATCATCTCAGTCCGGAGGCAAACACACACTTTATCCTAGATGTCAGTTTGCCTTACCCTCTTTAGCCTGCAGTGAGCAGGAAAGCTGCGTGATTAATCACACTCACTGGTTATTTATTACCACGCATTTGTACCTCACCTGTTGGACTGGTCTGATCGCAGCCTCTAGTCAAGACGGCAGGAGAGAATTAGGCTCAACGTGATTGTAATAAGCCTCTTCACCTGGCTGTACAGCAGGACGCCTGCTCATTAGCAGCAGCTTTAAGGCTCCACAAACTCCTGCTGCATGACAAGGATCAGAGGTGAAACCTTCAGCACCATATGACAGTCTGTGCTCTATAATATGATGCCATATTTTTGTTGTGCTTTATCCAGTCTTTCTTTCATTTTACTGACAATACTAATATCTCACACAGACACTTCAACTCCCATACAGTAGAACAAGTCATTCTCATGTTCCTAATTCACATAACCTACATCACAAATGCTGCACAGGAAGAACAATCTAAAGTGTGAAAAAGAAGCATTATTATATGTTGCTGATGTGTATAGATGACAGAAAATGTCAAGATTATACATAAATAAATAAATGCCTCCATAAATAAATGATTATTCAATTAAATGTACAAAAAATAATGTTAAAAATAAATGGAGGCATTAATCGATATAATTTGACATAAGTTGATATTTCTGTTTCAATTTTTTTTTTGATTTATTCGCCTTTTTACATGTGTAATTAACATAAATGAATTTTAAAAATTGACTATTGTAAACCAAATAAAAATAAGTCTTTAAAAAAAATGTTTTAATGTAAATAAGTAAAAGGTAAAATGAAATAATAAAATTAATAAATAGAAGAATTAATACATAAAGCAAATTAAAGCAATTTATTGAATTAACATGCCATTAAATGTATCAAAAATAATATTAAAAATAAATGTACGCATTAATTGATATAATTTGACATAAGTTGATATTTCTGTTTTTATTTGCTTTTTTATTTACCTTGCCCCTATTTATTTACTTTCCTATTTAATTCTCCCTTTTTAGCTGTTCATTATTTATTTAAATGTATACTGAAAATAATACAAAAATTAATAATTTGGGGGAAATAAATAGGTAAAAAATGCAAAGGGAAAATAATGTGTTATTAATACATAGATGAATAAAGAAGAAATTTGACAATCCTTAAATCAATTTGAAAAAATAATCAAAATAAATATTTTTTTAATCAAAAAATATTATTTTTATCAAATAATAATATAAATAAGAACAATTTAAAATGAAATAGTAAAATAAATAAATAGAGTAATTAATAGAATAATTAAAGCAATTTATTTTATTAAAGTGGTTATTTTTTAAATGTAATTTGTTTATGTACGTTTACTTCTGTCATTCTAAGTGTGGCATGGTGTCAACCTTTCACCTAATGGTTGACTGACATCGTAGTGCATAGATGAACTATAAAACATGAATAAATGTTTCTATGGTCTATACTTAGACGTGAGGTTGCTTCACATTAAAATATGTGAAACTGAATAACCTGCGACAGTGGCCTAGTTAAAAGTCTACTGCTGCTATAGTGAACGATTATTATAACGATATATTAACATCTAACTGGGTCTCTGTCTGTCCTCGCAGACTGCTGTTTGCTCTCCCTGGTGACCGTCGGCCTCCTCAGGAAGTACATCTCCTTCCTGGAGCTTCCTGTCAGCTGGCTGCTGCCCTCAGGCCTCCGCTGCATTATAGGCTCACAGGGCTACAGGCGAGCAAAGGTCAGCCTTGAAATGAACAGTTTGTTGGCAATACATGTCACTGTCTGCTATTATAGGGCACTCGTGTTCGGCACATTGTAGTACGGCTATTTACAGTGTAAGTGCTGAGGAAGCAAGAGTGGAGATTAAGTGTGTAAATAAAGAGACACTACAGCAAAGCGAGGAGTCGAGGACTGAATTTGTCTCATCAAGCTAACGCTATATAAAGAAATACATGTAAACTAAGCACAAAAGTGAGGAGATTTGTGTTTGGTAGATTATCTCTTTGTTGTAACAATGCTTCTTGGCAATAAATCTTATACTGTTGGAAAGCTTGTTTATTTCCCCTTTAAATGGTGCCACATTTGTAAGGAACATGCATTTGTGGGATGAGCTGCAGAGTTGAGTATGTGGGTTGCGCTCATGCCAAACAGTTTTTTTTTTTTGTTTTTTTTTGTTTGGTGTTGTTTGGCGGATTGGATGATTTAAGTCTGAAGAAACAAGACATATTGGCAATTTAACAATTTATTCATTTAACAAACAGGAGCCTCCGTAGCGTGTGCAAGAACCATACTAAGTCACAAACGCCTGGCGCCTCCTCGTCATGCTGGCTACCAGCCTGGTCACACACTGCTGTGGGATGGCATCCCATTCTTTAACCAGCATTTGTGGCAAGTCAGCCAACGAAAAAAAGCTGTTTGGCATTGGCAGAGGAGATTTGGCAAATTTTTCATGGGCGCAACCCACATACTCAGCTCTGCTGCTCATCCCATAAATGCATGTTCCTTACAAATGTGGCACCATTTACAAGGGAAAGTTTAAGATTTATTGCCAAGAAGCATTGTTACAACAAAGAATTAATCTACCAAACACAAATTTCCTTACTTTTTGAGCTTAGTTTTATTTAAACTAGGCAGAGATTTTACTGTTTGCTGTTACCTGTGATCTCACAATAACAGGTTATTGGCTGATAACCTCAAACAACCCTTGTCTTTTTTTCCAGGACGCCATGTTTTGTCACCGCACTCAACTCCTGTGGTTCCGTTACCTCTACATCACCTTCTCTCGGTACATGTTCGTCAACACATTCCAAATTATCCCACAAGGACCAAAGAACCTAAAGATCTATTAAAGGTCCAGTGTGTAGGATTTAGGGGGATATGCTGGCAGACATGGAATAAAATATACTAAGTATGTTTTCTTTATTGTATGATCATCTTAAAATAATAAGTGTTGCATTTACGTTGCCTTAGAATGAGCTGTTTATATTGACATAGGGAGCAGGTCCTCATTGTTACTACAGTAGCCCAGAACAGACAAACCAACCACTGGCTCTAGATCGTGGGGTCCACTGGGTCCATTTGTTTTTGAGAGGAAGACACCTCTGCAGATGATTCAGCTCCCAGTAAAAACTTCCTGAGCAATGAACACTGGAGGAATCCTAACCGAGAGAGTTCACGCTTGGCACATGGGAGAAGTTTCAGCATGTTGCAATCTGCGATCTTTACTGTCAGATGCCACTAAATCCTACATACTGCTCCTTTAAGTCTATCTCACCCAGATGCACTGATTGTTACCCTGTTACGCTGCCTAACTACTCGATTACTGTGGTAGCAGTGAGCTGTTTACAAATGTGAGGAGCTGTTTTTGCTCACTAAACAAAGACTTATTCAGTTCTCTACTGGCTAAAGTAGCCTGACATTTTTTCTAAGCTCTCTCCGTAAATAAGCGGAGAATAATTTTGAAATTAAAAAGAAACTTGTGTGTTTGCTAGTGAAACATCTTTATTGTCATTACACTGTATAAAAACAACACTATGGTTTGAAACAGTTGAGCTGTTTTTAGTTATAATGTCAAAGATTTGTTGAAAACACTGTACAGTTTCCAGATTAAAAAGATTCTTACATCGCAGTGGTGTTATTTTGTGTCTGTTGTAGGTTTAGACATGTCTCTGATGCTCTTGTGAGCTTGCATGCTTTCCTCCCATTTCTCCCCACAAAACTTCTCCTCTGTGACACTGCGGACTGTACCTGGGTCCAGACAGTGTGGCGCAACCCCTGGAGAGAAAACAACAGCAGTGAAGGTCATCTTGATTAGTTACACATGAACAAAACAGACCATTGTGTCCAGCACCGGTGGTGAAACAAGTAATCACATCCTTAAGTAAGGCTACTGTGAGAATACTGCACTACAAGTAAAAGCTGTGCAGTTTAATCTACAGCAAAGTATTATATTCTATAAGATCATCATGTGTTTGCAGCGTGGCTGTCCTGTGAGAGCCATGCATCTAAAAAGATTTCATGGTGTCAGATAAACAGCCCTGTTTTCAGTTTCAGAGTTTTCTCAACACATAAAGGAACACCTCATCCTTCACTTTATAACTAAATTTCAATATCAACATATCTGGAGTGACTGAATTGCTAGAAAAAATGGCATTGTGCATTTTTTTGCAAACCACAGATTCATTACATTGGCATGTTATTGTGTAGCAGATATGTTAAAACGTGACGTTAAAACTCAAATTTTCATCAATGTGGTTAATGTGCGGTTATGTTTAGGCACAAAAACCACTTGGTTATGGTTAGGAAATGAACATGTTTTGGGTTACAAACAGTGGTTCCTCCATTCTGAATGGACCGCAAGTGATTTGCTATCAAGTCATTTTTGTAGAAAACACACTTTATTTTTAAGTACAGTAAATTTCCAGCACAGAGCTTTTACTTTGAAGTGCAGTCTCCTGCTGTAAAGTGAGTGAATAACGAACAGTTACCTAGCAGAGACCGCAAACTAGCTTGAGACATGGCCAAACACAAGTATGGCGCTGAATATAATAAGCTCTGTGAACATTGAGCAAATGACTAAGGAGAAATCTGTCCCCCGTGGCTTTACCAGTTGAGAACCACTGGTTTAAAATACACGGTTGAATCAGCTGGAGAAGCTGATCGATAAAAATAAAAACCCGCTGGAAATACAGCAATGACTCGCTAAAAAACAAAAAGTCTTACACTGTGATCTTGGCAGGCATCTTACTTCAGTCAGTTCATATGTTGATATGTACAAAACATGCAAATGTAACGTATGCGTGGTTTGCAAAAACGTACAATTGCCAATATTTTCTTCTGGCGGCTAGGATGTCTGGAGATACGTGTTTTTCATTGGACATCAAGTGTATGAAAAATTATAATCTGAAACATAACTAAGGCTGTCAGACAAATGCAGTGCAGTAAAAAGTAAAATATTTACCTCTGAGATGTGGTGGAGGAGAAGTATAAAGTTGCATAAAATGGAAAGACTCAAGTAAAGTACAAGTATCTTGAAATTTGTACTTAAGTACTTGCGTAAATATACTTAGTTACATTCCACCACTGTGCAGCACATTTCACTGACGACTTGGCTTTACCGCATTAATAAAACAAAATGGTGGTGTCCTAATTTTGTTATGTGAATACGCAAATACCATCAACAAAAGCAATAAAGAGCAGACTGGAGCGGTTCGTTTGGAGTAAACACAGCAGAGGTAGTTTGGCATCAACACAGAGGGATGTAAGTTTACAACACATGAGAACACTGTGACTGTCTTGTGTCAGCAGCTAACAGTCATACCATATCCATCAGGGTTGGAGCGTGGAGTGTAGAAACTTTGAACTCCACAGGTTTTACAGAAGGTGTGTTTAGCAACGTGAGTGTTGAACGTGTACGTGGTCAGATTATCTGACCCCTGGGGAGAGAGAAAAAAAATCATTCACTTAAAAATGCTCTTATGATTATATAAGTTCAGTTGAATCAAAATGTTTGCTTGAGTTTAATACCTGTAAGAGTGTGAAGTGATGTTTTGGAACAATGAAATGATGGTTTTGTTTCTTTGTGCAGATGCTACAGCTGGAGAAACAGACATGAATCAGTTTATATTAGTTTGCTTCAAAGTGTACAAGTAACAAAATATTGTTCCAAATGCGTTTAAGATCATTTTTGGGGGTCTTTTTGCTTTTTCTTTCATTTAATAGGACAAATATAGCATGAAAGGGAAAGAGAGAGAGGGTGATGACACAGCAAAGGCCCGTGGGTTGGAATGGAAACCACGGATGCTATGGTAAGCCTGTGCACATTGGACACCTGCTCTGCTACAAGATTTTTTTTTAAAGCCAAACTTACTGTAAAGGGTAACTTAAGTATTTTTCAACCTGGACCTTATGTTGCCAGGTCTTTGTGTCTACATGACTAATGGCAACAACATTTTTTGAAACTGGTCCACCATTGAGCAAGAGCGCTGCAGCCAGCAGATGTTAAACTGGCAATGCAATGTAACCACTTGGAAAAATGCGACATCAATGTACGTCCACTAAAGGCGCATATTTTTGCCACTGACAGGCTCAAATTGTTATTGTAAAACTCAGACAACATTATGGAAAGAATCCCTACAGAGATGGACCTTTTTGTTGAAGAGAAGGATCCTTTTATTTAAGAAGAAACAGCCCCAAAATCGCCATCGCCAAACCCACCAGATTCCATTTATAAAAACAGTAACTTTAGCATGTATAGAGTCAGCATATTTTCACATGTAACTGTCTGAATTATGAGTTTATTTCAACCAAACCAGAGTTGGTGATTGTTGGAACAGTGAAAGAATGACCAAGATGGCTTTTGTGAATTTCATTTTGTTTTTGTCAACTTTAAGTAAAGTACTGTTTATTTAAATGGAGTCTGGTGGGTTTGGAGATGGCAATTTCTGGGCTGTTTCTGGTTAAATATTTGATTTAATTCTCTGACCAAAAGATATTTCTCTGTAGATATACTTTCCATAATGTTGTCAGACACTTAGAATAGCAATCCGAGCCTGTCAGTGACAAAACCAAGCACTTTTAGTGGACGTTTATTGACAGCACAAACATGTGGTTACACTGAGGCCTGTTTTGTGGCTGCCTCAACTCAACTCAGGAAAATAGGTAGCCTGAGTGCCAGACTGAAGCTCCCAGAACCTTCAGTCTGACATGGCTTCCATTGAAGGCGATTTACAAGGGGGAGGGAATTTGATTTTTTCCCTAACCAATCAGTAGAGATCAACGAGTCACCCAGAATCTGACGTCATTAGTATCCATGCCTCGGGGGTGCCGAAAACAAGCGAGCATTGCCCATTTAAAATGTCTCCGTCGTCGTGCACGCCCAGCTGCATCACCGTTAAATCCAGTTTAGCAGCTTCCTTAATTTGGTCCTCCATTAACGCGAGTAGTGGCAAAATACCTCGATAGCATCGTTAATGTGGTCTGTAGGATCTGTAGCGGTCGCCATTGTTGCTATCCTCACCAGTTACCCACCGCCGTACAGCTTGACATCAGCGTGGCGCTGATTGGCTAATTGCTAGACCCGCCCCCACCCCCGGCGTTCATTGGTCCGTCCAGCGTTTGGACGAGATAAATCGCAAATTCATTGAAGTATGCCAGACCAGAGATGCAAGCCTACTCAGTTGAGTGGGCGGGGTCTATGGTCTGGAACCAGGCTAGAAAATAGGGTCAAGGTTGAAAAAAATACCAAAGTCACCCTTTAAAAATGTTGATAGCTTCAGAGCTTCTGTGCCAGGATTATTTTTATTTTTTGGCAGAGGACTACAAACTTATTTTAAATTTAAAATAACACATCTTGGACAACCAAATTTGTTATTTAAATTTATGACAGACAATGTGATAGAATTTAATATCCGTACTTGCAGTGGAAAACATGGAGGTCTGGGGAATGTAGGACTTCAAACCTAACAGCCCCACAGTGGCAGCCGCCTGTATGTTTCATCAGATCCATTCTGGGAAGAAAATAACAAACCATCAGGATGAATACATGTGTCTATATTTAGTTACTGATATGGTAAGAACTTACTTAGTCACTTTGATGTCAACAAGAAAACAATAAGGAATGTATTTACCAGTAAACTGAAGCTCTGCTGAAACCAGTTTAACACACTTGTTGTGAAATCTGCTGACGTGAAACTGAGCGTCCCACCCAAAAACAGGTCCAGTCACCCTGCTGGAGAAAATACAATGACCCCAGTCAAAGTCCTTCACTGATAAGAGTCACATTTACATTAAACGCCTCTCTGCTTTTGACACATTCACAGCTATTCATGTGCTCACTGAATATGTGATTTAAATTCAAAGGTGGGCACCTCTAAGAAAATCACTTGTGTTTCATGTGATAATAGTGTCAGCTCCCACAGTACTCAGCTCGGCCTGCGTCCTGTTGGAAGACTGCTTTTCCTGGAAGACTTTGAGGCCGTCGATAATAATTCCAAGCAAGGGGCAGGGCAAAGTACTGCAGACGTGCACAAACACATTCCTCAGGGGTTGAACTAGTTCAGCCGGCAGACGCCCAGCTCTGTCTGGAAAGCACTTGCGTACTGCATCACGGGTTGGGTGTCATATGACAGGGTGCGGGAGGGAATGATGTGACCTAAATACATATATTAAGACTCCAAGCTGAATCATATCTATGACCTTAAAATAGGATCCCAGTGGGCTACAGACCCTCATCAGAGCTTTGGCTCTGTGATTTATTTTACAGTGCTGTGGCTTGTTGAAATAATGGTGGCAGCTAAAAGTGGGGAGGCAAATCACTGGTCAGTATTTGAACCTGATTTTCAATAGCTCTCCACAGTGCTGCGTTGGTTCCCATGGCCAATTTGGGAGACCGCAGACCTAAATCTCAGATGCTTCGCGTGTTTAATCACCTGGGTCACTTTGTTTCAGGAACATATGAAAACTCACTGTACCTCTGTTGTCCACTATCACCTAAGCGTTGACAACATGCCAGGCATTGTACATGACCCACACTCACTGGGAAAAGACGACGCCTTTACCTGTAAATTATACAATAAAATTCTTCTTTACCATTACGCTTTGGGATATATTACTCAAAAATATTAACAAGGAGAACAGAAACTAACATAACGTTTCATCATATGAACTGATCTTAGCTTGAGCCATGAAAATAATATGCCTACACAGCAAGAAACATTTATTTTGTGTCTAGTCAGAAAACATAAGGCTTGCTCAACTTGTGCTTGTGAATGTTTTTTTTAATTCCTGCCATGCACATTTAAGTACAGTAAATCCTGATAAGCAGGGAAGGGCCGCCCCACTCTACAACAACTTAACTTTTAATTAAAAATACATACTTTCAGTAAAGACACCTAGACTAAAATGAGCCCAAATGTCACGTGCAGACTTGAAGCAGTATAAATAAGCAACTGTTTATCTTTAGGGCAAACCAAATGTGGCCTCATTAGGTCTCAAACATCACTTGTTTCAGTATTTAGGTCATGACCACACAGCCTGTGGTCATGGCCAGATAACAAGCATCAGCAAAATCAGCTGATCCAATTACATATATTGCACTGTGTGTTCAGGATGTCTTCTTTATTTAGATGGTATGTGTGATGTGAAATCTGATTGCAAGTGAAAATGAAATGAAACAAGGAGGGTAAAGGAGGTCAGTTTGCAGTGCTGTCTTCTTTACCTCAAAGACCTCACCCTGCTGTCACAGCAGCTGGTGGGACACGTTTACCAAACACGTTTCCATCTGTTAGGCACGTTTGATGGAAATCAACAGAATTACTGTCTGCACATGTGCCTTTGGTGTGTCACATAAATGCACAGTCATTTACAGGCTTCGTGACTTCCTGATATGACAGTGGGTATGATATTCTGTATTACAGAAAAGGGGAAGATGGGAAGAGTCCTTGTGTGTGTTATAAGACTACAGTACAGCCTGGAATTACACAAGACTTTATCTATTTAGGTCTTGATTTGAGCTGTGTTATAATCACATAGTCATAAATGTTATGTAGTCATCAAACATTACTTACTGTAACACGGCAACCAATCGCTGGCCAAACAAACAATCACTCCGTCCAATCAGAAGCTCGGGGACGGTTTCTGTTGCTACCGTGTTCTAGCAAATTCTAGAGCCAGAGCCGTTGGGTAGGGAGATATCACTCCGCCGCCTGGGAAATGTCAAAATATAGTTTTCAAGCATACACATTTATAATAAAACATTCATAAGTAAACGTTAGATTATTAAATGAAATAATAGTGTAAGAAAATAAATAACGTACATTGATATACTGCGGTTCGGAGCAGTGGGGAGTATTTTCGAGTGCGGATGGATATTAAAAGATGACGTATGCAGAGACCGGTATATATTACAGTGTTTGGCTGTACTGCAGTATAGTTCCACAGCGGAAGACGAGAAGAAGAAATCTTCGCAGCTTTTCACTTCAATCTTTAAACTATAGACTGCAGTTCTCTGAAGTAAGTACACATTTTATCATCTTCCCAAGATATATCGTTGTTACAATTTGAGCTTGTTCTGTTTTTAAAGTCGGTTGTTTGGTGACCGGTGCCGTTGCTTTACAGTTTGGCTCAAGTGAATCGTAGCTAACGTTAACAATGACTCGGTCTGCCTTAAATTGACGTTAAATCTTCAAGTAAAGACGAGCGGTTAAGCTTTATTATTTTGTTAAGTCAGTACAGGTTGTTACCGAGTTTCGGCGTCGATCAGTCCGTAGTTGATTTCATGGTTGGCTAATGTTAGCTTTAGCAATGACTCAACATTTCCAGTATCGTCCATTAGCGAGTAACGTTAGCTGAACAAAAGGAAGGTCAATAAGATCTCAAAATGGCGCTCGGGCCGGAATGGCTTCTGGGCTGCCGATAGTTAAGTGCGTCAGATTGATATTCTATATTTTTTTTTTTTAGGATTTTCTAAGAAGGTGTTCCTGTCATAAGGGATTCCATTCTCATTTGAGTCATTAGCATATTGTAGAGGTAATACAAGCTCTATGTTTCACAAATTGAACGGGTAATTAAAGGGTTCTAGGTTATGTATTTAGTTACAATATTAGAAACTTTAATGTTAAGGCGCAGCAGTTTTATATGAACTGTTTTACCGCACTGAATTTATTCTAAATCCTGGTTTTATGTATTTCAATTTTACATAGGTGCCAGCATGCAGATCTTTGTGAAGACCCTCACTGGCAAGACCATCACCCTTGAGGTTGAGCCCAGCGACACCATTGAGAATGTCAAAGCCAAAATCCAGGACAAGGAAGGCATTCCCCCCGACCAGCAGAGGTTGATCTTTGCCGGCAAACAGCTGGAAGATGGCCGCACCCTCTCTGACTACAACATCCAGAAAGAATCCACCCTCCATCTTGTCCTGCGTTTGAGGGGTGGCATGCAGATCTTCGTCAAGACCCTCACTGGCAAGACCATCACCCTGGAGGTCGAGCCCAGTGACACCATTGAGAATGTCAAGGCCAAAATCCAGGACAAGGAGGGCATTCCCCCTGACCAGCAGAGGCTGATCTTTGCCGGCAAACAGCTGGAAGATGGCCGCACACTCTCCGACTACAACATCCAGAAGGAGTCAACCCTCCATCTTGTCCTGCGTCTGAGGGGCGGCATGCAGATCTTCGTCAAGACCCTCACTGGCAAGACCATCACCTTGGAAGTTGAGCCCAGTGACACAATTGAAAATGTTAAGGCCAAAATCCAGGACAAGGAGGGCATTCCCCCTGACCAGCAGCGTCTGATCTTTGCTGGAAAGCAGCTGGAAGATGGCCGTACCCTCTCCGACTACAACATCCAGAAGGAGTCAACCCTCCATCTTGTCCTGCGTCTGAGGGGCGGCATGCAGATCTTCGTGAAGACCCTCACTGGCAAGACCATCACCCTGGAGGTCGAGCCTAGTGACACTATTGAGAACGTCAAGGCCAAAATCCAGGACAAAGAGGGCATCCCTCCTGACCAGCAGAGGCTGATCTTTGCTGGAAAGCAGCTGGAAGATGGTCGCACCCTCTCCGACTACAACATCCAGAAGGAGTCCACCCTCCATCTTGTCCTGCGTCTGAGGGGCGGCATGCAAATCTTCGTCAAGACCCTCACTGGCAAGACCATCACCCTGGAGGTCGAGCCTAGTGACACTATTGAGAACGTCAAGGCCAAAATCCAGGACAAAGAGGGCATCCCTCCTGACCAGCAGAGGCTGATCTTTGCTGGAAAGCAGCTGGAAGATGGCCGCACCCTCTCTGACTATAACATCCAGAAGGAGTCCACCCTCCATCTTGTCCTGCGTCTGAGGGGAGGCATGCAGATCTTCGTCAAGACCCTGACTGGCAAGACCATCACCCTGGAGGTTGAGCCCAGTGACACCATTGAGAACGTGAAGGCCAAAATCCAGGACAAGGAAGGCATTCCTCCTGACCAGCAGAGGCTGATCTTTGCTGGAAAGCAGCTAGAAGATGGCCGCACCCTCTCTGACTACAACATCCAGAAGGAGTCCACCCTCCATCTTGTCCTGCGTCTGAGGGGGGGGCAGTAAAGTCATTTTATGATTCCATGTTCTTAACCTTATTTCCCTAAAGTTAACGTGCTGTGTATGACATTCTATACATGCCATGTTATAAAGTTGTTACACATGACAAAGGTGTTATCCGTTACATGACCAAAAGTTCGATATACATCACTTAATAAATGATTAAACAGAATTTCCTGGTGTTGTTTGTTCATTCATGTTTTAAATCCACTGTTTAGATACACTATCAGCTAAGTAGAAGCTACCTGGGTAAAACATTTTCATTTTATGCAAACACGGCAATAAGGAGGAAAGGCCATAATAAAACCTCTAGTACACTGTTGAGTCTGTAGTAGGGGAAGTAGAGGGTTGAGCTGAAGGTGATGTTTCTCATGATTTCTCAAACATGGTAATGCAGTGACCTTAAATTGCTGAATGACCTGGAAAAGTAAATGTTGAGACACAGCTAGCTAGATGTCTCAAAATATGACCTTGGGGTGTGAATAACAGCAAGAGATATCTGTTTAATATAGTTCATTGCTAAGAACAAAACCAGATTCAATGTTTCATTCTCAGAAAGCTGATGTGATGGCTGTAACATTGCTATGATAATCTTCAGTCCAGAAACAGTTTCTGGTTCATTGACATCTCCTCAACATAACTAAAAACTTAAAAAAAACACAGACAAACAACAACAAAGGTGTTGAAATATTTCCCTCCTCATACTCTGTAAACAACAGCTACCACACAATTCAGGATGTAATTTCTACCAATTAAAACATTGCTTTAGTTGTATGATGTATGTGAGAAGCATAGTGCGTAGAAAAGTAATAAAACCTGCATTGTCACAAATCACCATTGCCCATAGTTTCCATGTCAAGCACAGTATCTCCAAGTAGGTCAAATCCCATAGAATGAGCTGGGAGCTGCCTATAGCTAGCTGATTTTAATATAATGGTCTATATGTATTTACATATGTATCCACTTTGTAGATGTGGAGATGAATGATGGGTAGATTATAAAAAGGTGTCTACTCAGTGAATGCACTGAAACTCCTGAAGAAGTTGACAGAGCTGGAGGTCAGTTCTGAGTCACTGAGAGCCTCAAAAGGAAGAAGAAATTTTTATTAATGAGGATGTGGCGCCATCTACTGTTAAGACTTTGACACATTAGCTAGAGAAAAGGCAAACAAACCAGAAGAAGGTGACTTGAACAAACTGGGCAGCATATTCTTATCAGATTCCAGTACAAACATACTGTAGATTGTCTTGTTTTGCCACATGAGATTAGTTTCCACATGCACAGCATAAATACACATTGCATGTTAAAAGGTCAGGAAAACATGCAGACATAAGCAGGAGTCTGTGGCAGAAAAATAAATCATACAAGGAGTGCTTGTTTTTCCATGTGCAGCCTAACATGAATGAGTTGAATGTGATGACTCTGTGTATATAGTGAAACTGACACCCCAAGCATCAATAATATTTCAACCCACATGCAAGGCTAAGGTAAGGGGTGCCACTATAGTCTCCAGTGAAGAAAGTAGTCTGGATTATGGATGGCACAAGATTGTACCATGGTATTTACCTTCTAATCCAAAGATAAACTGGCTCAATGCTGTTATCTGGATTATCTGGTGTTGGCTGTTTATCCTGCCAAAGATCAGGATCCGCTTTAATGGCCAAGTACTGTACGTGCACTCATCCAGGGAATTTAAGTCAGTTTTTTTTTGTCTCTTTGTGTATATACACAGATACACATACAGCTAAAACATGGACAAAGGTTGAACAATTCAGATGGTAGGGTCAGAATTTGGTGTAAACAACATGAAAGCATGGATCCATCTTGCCTTGTATCAACAGTTCAGGCTGGTGGTGGTGGTGTAATGGTGTGTGGGATATTTTCTTGGCACACTTTGGGCCTCTTAGTACCAACTGAGCATGGTTTAAACACCACAGCCTACCTGAGTATTGTTGCTGACTGTGTCCATCCCTTTATGACCACAGTGTAGCCATCTTCTGATGGCTACTTCCAGCAGGATAACGCACCATGTCACAAAGCTCACATCATCTCAAACTGGTTTCTTGAACATGACAGTTCACTGTACTCCAATGGCCTCCACAGTCACCAGATCTCAATCCAATAGAGCACCTTTGGGATGTGGTGGAACGGGAGATTGGCATCATGGATGTGCAGCCGACAAATCTGCAGCAACTATGTGATGCTATCATGTCAATATGGACAAAATCTCTGAGGAATGTTCCTAACACCTTGTTGAATCTATGCCACCAAGAGTTAAGGCAGTTCTGAAGGCAAATAGGGGTCCAACCCAGTACTAGCAAGGTGTGCCTAATAAAATGGCCGGTGAGTGTATGTACAACACAAAATGTAAACAGTATTACAGTAGTGCACTTGTGCAGAGTGCAAAGGGGACTAGAATAAATAGGGGATAATAAATGTAACAGGTTCTTTTATATACCTATATATATATGCATGGAAGGATTACAGAATGGGTCTACTGGGTACAGGTCCAGGGGCCCAAAGTCTCAAGGGGGGCCCTGGCTCCAACCTGCAAAATGTCACTCAAATAAATACATAACAACTGTGAAGAGATTCACAATTACCACTAAAAGATGCAAACGAACTGCAAAGAGACACAAAATAATTACAAAAGGAGCAAAACAACCATAAAGAGACACAAAATGACAAAAGAGACACAAAATTACCTCAGAAAGAACAACACTACTACAAAGAGACACAAAACGACCAATAAAGACACAGAATTACATCAAGGAGACACAAAATTACCTCAAAGAAACACAAAATGACAAAAGAGACTAAATTACCCCAAAGAGACACAAAATGAAAAAGGGACATTAAGTTACCTCAAAAAGAACAACACTGCTACAAAGAGACAAAAAACAAACACAAAAGGAGCAAAACAACCACAAACAGACAAAAAGTGAACAAAAGAGACCAGAGGTGGGTAGTAACTAGTTACATTTACTCAGTTACATTTACTTGAGTAACTTTTTAGAGAAATTGTACTTTTAAAGAGTAGTTTTAATGCAAAATACTTTTTACTTTTACTTGAGTAATATTGTTTTAAAGTAACAATACTCTTACTTGAGTACAATATTTGGCTACTCTACCCACCTCTGAGTACATAATAATATATGTGTGTATATATATATATATATATACAGTACAGGCCAAAAGTTTGGACACACCTTCTCATTCAATGCGTTTTCTTTATTTTCATGACTATTTACATTGTAGATTCTCACTGAAGGCATCAAAACTATGAATGAACACATGTGGAGTTATGTACTTAACAAAAAAAGGTGAAATAACTGAAAACATGTTTTATAGTTTCTTCAAAATAGCCACCCTTTGCTCTGATTACTGCTTTGCACACTCTTGGCATTCTCTCGATGAGCTTCAAGAGGTAGTCACCTGAAATGGTTTCCACTTCACAGGTGTGCCTTATCAGGGTTAATTAGTGGAATTTCTTGCTTTATCAATGGGGTTGGGACCATCAGTTGTGTTGTGCAGAAGTCAGGTTAATACACAGCCGACAGCCCTATGGGACAACTGTTAAAATTCATATTATGGCAAGAACCAATCAGCTAACTAAAGAAAAACAAGTGGCCATCATTACTTTAAGAAATGAAGGTCAGTCAGTCCGGAAAATTGCAAAAACTTTAAATGTGTCGCCAAGTGGAGTCGCAAAAACCATCAAGCGCTACAACGAAACTGGCACACATGAGGACCGACCCAGGAAAGGAAGACCAAGAGTCACCTCTGCTTCTGAGGATAAGTTCATCCGAGTCACCAGCCTCAGAAATCGCAAGTTAACAGCAGCTCAGATCAGAGACCAGATGAATGCCACACAGAGTTCTAGCAGCAGACCCATCTCTAGAACAACTGTTAAGAGGAGACTGCGCGAATCAGGCCTTCATGGTCAAATAGCTGCTAGGAAACCACTGCTAAGGAGAGGCAACAAGCAGAAGAGATTTGTTTGGGCCAAGAAACACAAGGAATGGACATTAGACCAGTGGAAATCTGTGCTTTGGTCTGATGAGTCCAAATTTGAGATCTTTGGTTCCAACCGTCGTGTCTTTGTGAGACGCAGAAAAGGTGAACGGATGGATTCCACATGCCTGGTTCCCACTGTGAAGCATGGAGGAGGAGGTGTGATGGTGTGGGGGTGTTTTGCTGGTGACACTGTTGGGGATTTATTCAAAATTGAAGGCACACTGAACCAGCATGGCTACCACAGCATCCTGCAGCGACATGCCATCCCATCCGGTTTGCGTTTAGTTGGACGATCATTTATTTTTCAACAGGACAATGACCCCAAACACACCTCCAGGCTGTGTAAGGGCTATTTGACCAAGAAGGAGAGTGATGGAGTGCTGCGGCAGATGACCTGGCCTCCACAGTCACTGGACCTGAACCCAATCGAGATGGTTTGGGGTGAGCTGGACCGCAGAGTGAAGGCAAAGGGGCCAACAAGTGCTAAACACCTCTGGGAACTCCTTCAAGACTGTTGGAAAACCATTTCAGGTGACTACCTCTTGAAGCTCATGGAGAGAATGCCAAGAGTGTGCAAAGCAGTAATCAGAGCAAAGGGTGGCTATTTTGAAGAAACTAGAATATAAAACATGTTTTCAGTTATTTCACCTTTTTTTGTTAAGTACATAACTCCACATGTGTTCATTCATAGTTTTGATGCCTTCAGTGAGAATCTACAATGTAAATAGTCATGAAAATAAAGAAAACGCATTGAATGAGAAGGTGCGTCCAAACTTTTGGCCTGTACTGTATATATATATATATATATATATATATATATATATATATACACACACACACACAATTAACCCAAAGAGACACAAAATGACAAAGACACAAAATTAACCCAAAATTGTATTCAAAAGGGACAATAGAACCACAGAGACACAAAATGATTAAAAAAAGACACTTTATAACCTCAAAGAGACACAAAATGACAAGAGACTAAATCACCTCAAAGAGACACAAAACGACCAATACATCAAAGAGACACAACACTAAAGAGACACAAAATGACTACAGAAAGACAAAAAAAAACACAACAACATGCATTCCGACTACAAAGAGATGAAAAACAACAACACAAAAAAACTAAAAAGTGTGTGTATGTGTACTGATCCGTCGTAGGAGGTGGGGAGCCTATCTGTGCTTATATGCTTATATTGACAGTAATGATGTTAAAGAACAGTGAGTATTTAAACTGTGAATTCTATAATTTACTGGTAAAGTGGATGACTATTTGTAGTTAGTTTGTGCACCAACATCAGTATGGATCAGATTGGTTGTGTGACAAAGTATTCATGAAACATGTACATGAACATGCTTTTTTTGTTTATTTGTCTATATCAGTAGTTGTAAATAAGTTTGGGATAGTTATTCACACTTTCCTTTTTTACATTAGACATGAATACCTGAATACTGAGAAGGGGGCAGGATTATTTAAGTGAACACTTCTTACACTTCCTACTCCTTTTAGAGGACAGAAACTAACGTTTTATATATGTATATATATATATGTATACATATATATATATATATAGTATTGGGGACTATTTTCAAGTGCGGATGAATATAACTCGAAGTGCGGATGAATATAACTCGATGACGTAGCTCCAGTATAAATATTCCCGTCCCCCTGGCAACTGTACAGTCAGAGGAGGTGTAACTGGGGGACAGGAGGACGTAATACCGAAATAACTTGTAAGTACAGCCATTTATTTAAAAATATATTATCCGCAATACTTTTTGTAGTTTATCCATCGATTTAGAGCTTTCGTAAATTGTCACAGCTGTCGACTTTGTGCCTTTATAGCAGCTACCGTTAGCTAACCGCTTCGTAAACAATGACTGTAGAGGCTTGCTAAAGGCTAGCTTTCAACGTCAAAATAACGTTTCTGAGATGAGTAATGTAATTTATATGACGTAGTTTGCGTTTAAGACAATGCCTTTTATGTTTATTACTTTCTTTATCAATCGTCAAGTTGAACAATAGCCAACAAGACATTAGCTAACGTTAGAAACAATGGTACAACATTTCTAGCTCCATCGTCCATTAGCGGGTAACGTTAGCGGAACAAAACGAAGGCAAACAACAATACGTTATTTTAAAATGGCGCTGGTGCTGGAAACACCGGCTTGCCACTAGTATGTTTTTGTGATACAGTGGGATTCCGCTCACTTATAGATAAAATGATAAATAGGGACCCGAATAATGGCGGCTGCTTGTTCAAAATACATGAAAAAAGCTGCTTCAAAATTACCGTAACGTTATACCTTCTCAGACAGGTAGAGGCAATGATCTAAACGGCCTTACAATAAAGCGTAGGTGTAAAGATATTTACAATGAGAGGTACCATTTCATAGTAGACTGGTCACAATAAATTGACACAGTTTATTTTTAGATTATACAAGGTAACTTTTGCTGTAGGCCTTTTCACATTAAAGGAAAATAGTAACCTGGAATTTGTACTTTTCATAGGTGCCAGCATGCAGATCTTTGTCAAGACCCTCACTGGCAAGACCATCACCCTTGAGGTCGAGCCTAGCGACACCATTGAGAATGTGAAGGCCAAGATCCAGGACAAAGAGGGCATCCCTCCTGACCAGCAGAGGCTGATCTTTGCTGGAAAGCAGCTGGAAGATGGCCGCACCCTCTCTGACTACAACATCCAGAAGGAGTCAACCCTCCATCTTGTCCTGCGTCTGAGGGGAGGCATGCAGATCTTCGTGAAGACCCTGACTGGCAAGACCATCACCCTGGAGGTTGAGCCCAGTGACACCATTGAGAACGTGAAGGCCAAAATCCAGGACAAGGAGGGCATTCCCCCTGACCAGCAGAGGCTGATCTTTGCCGGCAAACAGCTGGAAGATGGCCGCACCCTCTCTGACTACAACATCCAGAAAGAATCCACCCTCCATCTTGTCCTGCGTCTGAGGGGAGGCATGCAGATCTTCGTCAAGACCCTGACTGGCAAGACCATCACCCTGGAGGTCGAGCCCAGCGACACCATTGAAAACGTGAAGGCCAAGATCCAGGACAAAGAAGGCATCCCCCCTGACCAGCAGAGGCTGATCTTTGCTGGCAAGCAGCTGGAAGATGGCCGCACCCTCTCTGACTACAACATCCAGAAGGAGTCAACCCTCCACTTGGTCCTGCGTCTGAGGGGTGGTCAATAAATGATTCCATGTTTTTACTTGGTTTACATGACAACATTACTCAATAAAAGATGACAGATTAAATTATGTTTTCCGCCTCTTTTGCACATTTGTTTGGAATGTGAACATTTTAAGAGCTGAGGGGTTTTCAGATTTTCCCCTGCTAAAATCCAGTTACTATTATACATTCAGATCATTAACAATTCTGCCTTATTTCTATGCGTAATGTCCTCGTAAACAAATGTTGGACAGTTGGTGTTTTTTAATATTTGTTAAAATTAAGAATCAAAGGTTTCAATTATTATATAACATGGTTTTTCTGACCAACTCCCCTCAGAGGCAGTCACATAGTGTTCCCTAAACCAGGTATTTCCTGTCCATAATATTCAGAGCTGGCTGCTCTGATGCTCTTTATTTCCTTTAGAAATGACAAGTAATTCATCAACATTGTGTTTGAATGTTTATGAGAAGCCAGTTGATGTGACTGCCTGCATCATACATGACAACTTAGAGTCTGGTATGGGTGAAGGTTAGGTGTGTTTATAATTTGTTCTGAGAAGCAGGTTTATCAAGTTACCTGAGTAAAACCCAGAGCCCTGTCAAATTAGGATAGAGACTAATGCTTCAAACCAAAAAGAAAAAAAAAACGGGCATGGTAATGGTGGGCTTTACTCAGATAATTCACTTAACTTGGTCTTAAACAACCTCATAGAAAATAAGTATTAATTTTGACTAGTATAATTTTATAAATAACATCCTTGCAACAGAAAAACGTTGTGGTTCAAAGGTCAATGCCCTCTTGAACATCCAATATTCAATCCCCATAACCCTGGTTGCCTGGACTCTGAATCTGAATTTACAGTAACTCAAAATCTTACTGTATTCATCGGCTATTCAATGAAGTAGTAGACGTCACATGGAACCACTAGAGGTCACCAGCTTACCAGTAGTGCTGACGTTCTGTGGAGTTACAATTGCATATTTCCTTCACCACTTTGCCAATCTGTGGTTTAAAGAGTTTGGTTTGCTGGTTGTTTCAGTATGACAGGATTAGAGGACAGAGATCATGATCCAAAGCAGCTGCTCTGAAGATAACCTGAGCTGTGTTGGTGATTTTTTCTTTTGAGTGCCAAACAAGCGAGTGAAATTGTTGTGATGTACCTTGAATAACCAATCACATTTTTATCACTGATTATTATAATTTATTGGATAAAAATGGAAAATATACATACTATAAAAATATAATGACGACAAAAAAATATGTGGTAAAAGACAAACAAGATATGGACGGTGTTACAGATGAAAGAAAATCAGTGTGTCTGTCTCACTTTAAAGGGGAATTCCACCAATTTTGAACATCAAAGTGTGTTCACAAGTCTTGTGGAGGATTACTTTATATGATAAATTAAGCATTGGCTGAGTCTGAAGGCTACAAGCCTGACTCACTGTTGGACTCTGTGTCACTTTTTCCCAGTAGCCTGTTGTTTATTGGACAAGTGTAGAAATTTACCACAAAATTTTCTAAAAATGATTTTTGCCAGAAATTATTACCAATAATAATAATAATAATGATCAGAGAGTATTTACAAAGTTAAACAGTATTTTTATTGTTGGAAGAAAAAAATGAACTTCAAGCACTCGTGTAGCAAAAAAAGGAATTAAAACATAGACCAGTTTCGACCCTAAGGCGTTCGTCGGTGCAAAAGGGTGGACAGGGGTCAAGCAAACATTTTATAATTTTAGTAGGGGGTGTCACCCAATCTTGATTGATAAGTGAGCACAGGTGGGTGACAGCAATGGATTACAGTGAGAAGCCATTTTGAAAGTGACACGCCATCACAAGTGTTTTTTTTTTTTGTTTGTTTGTTTGTTTGTTTTTTAAATCCCTGTGTGCTAAAATGAAAAATTACTGACTGAACATCTAAAATATGAATGTAAAAAAGGAAAAAAATACCATAATAAACAAAAAAACATACATAAATAAAAACAAACAAACCCTGTGCTCACTTATTAATCAAGATTGGGTGACCCCCCCTACCAAGCTTATGAAATGTTTGCTTGACTCCTGTTCACCCTTTTGCACCCTGACGAACACCTTAGGGTCAAGACCAGTCGATGTTTTAACTTAAGCAGCCACGCATTCAAATGCATCTGTTTGTGCTTCACACGAGTGCCTGAAGTTCATTTTTTCTTCCCATGTGCTGACCCTTTTCTTCAAGAGCACCAGCGTTTTTTCTGAGTATCATATGATAAAGACAGTCCTCGAGTACACTGCTATCTCATTTTTCAAAGTATTTTTATTGCATTTCACTGAGCTTCAACTTTGTTGATGCAATTCAATTGCAAAGATTAGAAAACTCTGTCCAAGCAGATGGCCATGACCTGCGAGGTTTCACAAGGATCCATCTTGGGACCCTATTGTTTAACCTCTATATGCTTCCTTTAGGCCAAATTCTACAAAATAATAAAGCAGCTTACCATAATTATATGCAAATCTACATTTCACATACACTTGATGACTATACACCTGTTGGATGTTTGAATAACTGCATCGAACAAATCAGTGACTGGATGAAACACAATTTTCTCCAACTAAATAGAGATAAGGCAGAGATAACTGTCGTTGAGCACAGAATGACAGCCAGAACATCGGTTCTTACCTTGAATCCCTATCTTTTATTACAAAGAGTAAAGCCAGAGATCTTGGTGTTGTCTTGGACTCAGAAAGCCAAAGGCGCATCAAATCTGTCACTTCATCTGCTTACTACCATCTTAAAAATGCTGCAAGACTCAGAGGAATAATGTCCAAGCAAGACCTAACAAAGCTTACCCACAATTTTACCTCCAGTACACTACTGCAATTGTCCGTTCACAGGGCTCTCAAAAAAAGCTCTTTGACAACTGCAACTTATTCAGGGTCTTGACGGTAACTAGGGAGTAAGACCACAAGACACCCATTCTAAAACTCCTTACACTGGCAACCAGTCACTGAGAATTTACTTCAAAATCTTGCTGCTCGTTGACCACTAACGTAGCCAAGGGGAAAACAACCCTGTGGGTGTGCACCAGAAAAACTAGGTGTAAATCACTTTGTGGCTCTGGGCCCACATAAATCTCTGATTTGCTTGTGCAGTATGATCCCTCTAATGACCCCAAGGACATTTTGGTCTGGCCCTTCTAGCTGTCCCAAGAGTAAACCAAAACACGATGAAGCAGCATTTTGTTATCATGCAACACAGACCTGGAACAACCTCCCTGTTTATATTAAACAATCCCGACTCTGACTACTTTTGAGTCAAAACTAAAATCTTTCCTATTTTACACTGCATACTCTACCCATTAATTGTTTATAATTTAATTTACTTGTGTCTTTAAATATAGGAGTATTTAATGTATATTTGTTTTATTTTCACTTTATTTTTCGTTTAAACTGCACAAGCTTGCCCCTATAATTTTGTACCTCTTATATCACTTGCTTGTACTTTGCACTTTTGAAATTGTGAATCTTTCACCTTTGCTTTATTTTTATTACCCTGTAAAGCATGGTGAATTGCCCACGTGTATGAAATGTGCTGTGCAAATAAAATTGCCTTGCCTATGTAGGACCTTTCAAATAAACATGTAGCCCAAAGTGCTTCACATAGTAAAACTGAAACAACAACAAAAATACTTATAATGAATTAAAAAAATACTTATAAGATAAAATGAACAACAATAATAATTTTTACAAGACTTAAATAAATAAAAGTCAACAAAATAAAACAAATAAAACAGATTTTTTTAAAGGTAAAATTAAAACTTAAAACTAACCCTGCCCATGGCACCTACCATGAGGAGTTGGAAGTTCAGTGCTTTGCTCAGGGGCCCTGGAGGCGAACTGGCACCTCTGCAGCCACCAGTTCACACTCAGTATTTGGTCCTGACAGGGACTTGAACTCATGACTCTCTGGTTCCCAACCCAAGTCCCTATGGACTGAGCTAATGCCACTCATGTTTCCCAACAAAAACTAATTAGCAGTGACTTTTTTTTTTTTTTTTAAGGAAAGATCCTGTTAGGAATTTTACAGCAATATTAGCCAAAGCAAAAGTCACTGTAGTCAATCTGGATTAAGCCTAAAGAGTGATATCTGAAGGAGCAGTGTGTAAAATTCAGAGGGATTAAGTTGCATCTTCAATCATCTGAAACATCTGTTTAAAATCCCATTAAAATCTTAAAATCCCTTTGTCTCTTTTACCAGGAGCCGAATTATATGCAGAGGTCTCTTCCTCTTCAAAACAAGTTGATTTAAACCAGTAATCAGTGTCTCTTTTATGCTGCTCAGCATGAGGGCCACCTGCCCAGCACCTGTGTGCTCACCTTTTTCCCTTGATAACTTAATGTCTACTCACTTTATTCTGGAAATAGACGTTCAAGAGGTTTTAACCCTGAGCCGAATTATCCGCAGAGGTCTCGTTCTCTCTAAACAAACGGACCCGGTGATTTAAACCACTGAAAACACAACACAACTTGAGGGGAAGGGGCTTCCAACTACGGCTGACGCGAAAACGCGAATAGCCTTGTCTAGAGCCAGTGTGTTGTTTGTCCATTCTGGACTCCTGTAGAAACATGTTGCTGCAACCAGGTACACTTAAGAAAACCTACTTTTTATAGGCTATTCAATTACTGCAAATACACCCAAAACACATTACCGTTCTTTTTCTTAAATGCAATAACTTATTTCATGACACTTGTCAATGAGTGTATGGTATCTACATGGAGTGGAGGCATTTATTTATGTTTTATTTATTACAGTTTATTACTATTTATAAACTGTGGCCTCACTGTAATCTCTGAACTGGCTCCATTGTTTGCTATTAGTAACATCCAGGTACCATGGTTCAGATATGTTAGTGACAGGAGAGTCACAAGATTTATTTTTTGGCTTTTTCAGATTTTTTTTTTTTTTTTTTTTTTTTTGAGGGAGTAGGTTGTGCTTTTCATGCTACATTGAAAAAAATGTTATAAAAAATGTTTATAAAATTAAAAAAAAAAATCATGCACACTGGACCTGTGAGGTTAGAGAAAATTCATTTCATATAAATAAAAGAATGACATTAACATTGGATGACCATGGAAAAACTTGAGTCATGAACCTTTTTTTGTGGCATACTTTGGTACAACAGCTTTAGTACTTTAGTATTTTGTTTGGGGATCTGAACATTAAGATTACACCTGTTTATGTCTGATCACTGCAACTATATTGAAACGGTGTCTTGTCAGCTCATGAGAGATGGTCATGGGTTTGTGTGTATGACACATAATAAAAAAAAGAGACAGAAATTAATCATTAACATTTCCTCCAGCTGTCTCAGAGCGGTGTCGGTGTCCTGCAGCCCCTCTCTCTGAATGGGTCTGCCCGGTGCTTGACATGTGCAGCAGTTGTACATATCAGCTGGGAGCCTGCGAGCTGCTGTCTCACTCGAGTCCACTGTGCGGGAGGAATGGCAGGCTGGGGAGGTTTCTTCGTGTCTCTCCTCAACTACAAGACAGAGAAATATGTCATCGCCGAGAACAGGAAAATCGGGATATTATTCAGACTCTATCAGCTGGCCGTGCTGGGATACATAATTGGGTGAAGTGCAATGCATGCCTCCTCTTTTTTTGTCCAAGTGTGGAATAAAGTAACCTCTATGAAAGTGATTCACAAAGTTAAAAATAGTTGGGCTCGCCTGAAAGCGTTGACTTTGATGCTGTTGTTAAAGTGGCAGTGCTTACATTTTAAACTTCATTTTATAAAAGAAGGTTGTGTCTCAGACAGAGTTGCTGGTGAATTCATTAATGTGTCAAATTGCTGTAGAGACAGGAAGTCACCTTATCCCACCACCCCTCACTGAGTGATGTCATGCTGATGTATGTAGGAGACATGATGAAAAGTGAGCAGGTGACAGTATGGTGAGGGTTAATGTGATCTGCTTTGACCTTTAAAACTTAATTGTTATATCTGACTGTGGGATTGTCAGTGTGGTGGCTGCAGGGTGCTTATGAAATCATATTTGGCTCTGTGGCATGTACTGTATGTTAGGGAGGGAGGGTCATGTTCATGTGCAGTGCTTTTATTGCCATGTCATGTCTGAAACTTCTTTTGTGTGTTGTGCTCATTAGATGCTGCAGTCACCCCCAGTTTCTCTTGAAAGTGTAGAAATAGTTCAGAGTAGTTTCAGAGGAGATGCATGAAATATTCTGTGATGTCATCAAGGGTACATTTACACGTTAACATGACTCCTTTCATCTGCCACAGGCTGGTGTCGGCACTTCCACAGCTATAATTTGTGTGCTGTCAACCCCGGACCACATAGTATAGTGTGTCAGAGAAATGTGTACTGTGCCATAAAAATATCATTCAAAAAGTCATGGTACAGTATGTCATAACAGTGTTATTTAAAAAGTCATAATTGTAATAAATAGCCTAGTATAGTATGCCATTAAAATTTATGAAAAACAGTTATAATGTAGTGTGCCACAAAAATGTAATTTAATAAGTTATTGTATAGTATACCTTAAAAAAATCATGATGAAGTATGTAAAAATAAAACTCTTAAAAAAAGTCATAGTAGCACTCAATGAAAATGTAAGGTCATATTAAGCTGTGATATGTCATTCAAACATCCTGAAAATAGTATACTATGCCATAAAGATATCACAAAGAAGTTGTATAGTATGTCATACAAATATTTAACAATGTACAATAGTCATAGTAGGCTATGGCCCTGTAATTAGTCACAGTATATTATGGCAAAAAAGTCATAGTACAATATGACACAAAAATATAATAATAATAAAAAAAAGTCATTGTATAATATGTTATTAAAATAAAAATAAAAATGCCATAATATGCCATAATATCATTTAAAAAAGTCATAATACAGTAGGTCATAAAAATATTACAAAGAAGTCATAGTATATATAGTATGGCATACAAATATAATTGAAAATTACAATATTTGACATAAAAATTAATGACATAGTATGTCACAAAAAAATGAAATAAAAAGTCATAGTATAGTATTCCATAAAAAAAGAAAAATAGATAAAAAGAAATCCTAGTAGGCTATGGTGTGTTATTAAAATGCAATGTAAATAGTCGTTGTATATTTATTATTAATAATAAAAAGTCATGGTACAATATGACATAAACATGGAATATCGTAATATAATACATCGTAATATAGTTTGTCATAAAAAAAGTCACTGTATAGTATGTCATTAAAATAAAAAGTATAGTTAAAAAAACATTTAGAATGAAAGTATAGTATGTCATGAAAAAGTAATTTAATTTTTTTTTTCAAAATGTTTTTTTTTAAATGACATAGTATGTCAAAAAAATCTAACTAAAAAGTCATATTATAGTATGTCATAAACATGATTTAAAAAAAATCACAATATAGTATGTCATAGAAATGATAAAGTATGTCACCAAAAATGTCATAAATAGTCATAGTATACTAGGACAAAAATAATAATAAAAAGTCATAGTACAATATGACATAAACATGGAATTAAAAAAAGTAATATAGTATGTCATAACAAATATCTTATCACAATATAGTCATTAAATAGTATGTCATTAAAATAAAAAAGCCATAGTATAGTAAAATGAAAAAGAAAATCACAATATAGCATGCCATTAAAATTAAGTTTAAAAAGTCATAATATAGTATGTCATAAAAAAATAATGATAAAGTATGTCACCAAAAATGTCGTAGCATACCATTCCATAAAAATGTTTTTAAAAAAAAAGTCATGGTATAGCATGTCATTTAATATAAAAAAAATCATAGTGTGTCATTAAAAGTCATTAAAATATGTCATTAAAAATGTCATGACAAAAAGTCATGGTATAACATACCATAAAAATATCCTAAGAAGTCATAGTATAGTATGTCACACTAACAGGCTGCTCAACAAGGCATCACAGATTCTATGCACTGATGCATTGTGTCCATGTTGATCATCAAGTGTCCACAACCAAATGTAAGAGAACGTTAATGAGTTGTGACGGTGTGATGAATGTGTCAGGTGGGTGTTTGTGGTGAAGAAAGGTTACCAGGAGAGAGAGGAGGCCATCCAGACCTCCGTCATCACCAAGCTTAAAGGTGTTACACTGACCAACAGCTCAGAGACGGGGCTTCACCTGTGGAGTGCTGAGGATTATGTCATACCCCCGAACGTGAGTCTGTCTGTCTGTCCGACTATCTATCTATCTAGTAGTCTATCTCAATTTGCAGAATACCAATACTGATGTCAGAGTGCTCCCCAGTTACTCACCTGTCAAGAGAGATTATGAGGCGATTGAGTGTCTGCTGTAGTGGATATCATTAGCCTCAGCATCTGTCGCCACAGATTTAACAATATTGAACTTCCTGGGTGTGTAATTTGTTTAACCTTTTGCTTCTCAGTCTAACTGTCTGGGCCTAATTTTATTTTGCAGGGTGAACAGGTGTTCTTCATAGTAACAAATTACATAGAGACCCCCAACCAGAAGCTGGGGTTCTGTGCTGAGGTGAGTCTACAAAGGGAAGAGGAATGCCATTATTGACTTTTAATTGTTCCATTTGTTCCATGCTAATGTCTAAAATTACTGTGCGACATTACCATGTCTACAGAATTGTATTTTCATATCTTTCAGAGTTACAAGGTGCCAGATGGACAATGTCAAAGTGATGATGACTGTCCGGAGGGGGAATCTGTAATAGCGGGCCATGGTGAGGATCATTCAAACACTTAACCCATAATATGAATATATTTAGCTTCAATTGCAGGTTTACCTTTTCATTGTGACTGTATGATTGAAAAATAACTTCAGTTTACAAGTGTAGTCTTGTTAACACACTGTCTTACTACTACTTTAAAGGGACAATTCACTTTTTTCCTCTTACCTGTAGAGTTTTTAATCAGTCTAAATTGTTTTTCGTGTGACTTATAGAGTGTTGGAGATTTAGAATGGGTGACTCGGTTTTTTATCCCTTTTCCCGCGCCCCACATAGCCAAAGGATTTACCGCCTTTTGTTTGGCTCTAGTTTTCAAAAGTCAAACCACTGCAGGACAGAAGCTTTTCTATAATCTGGCTTTTATCCGGTGGCTGTAAAGAAAGCAGGGAACGCTGTCATCACAGGACTGAGTTTGGTTTTAATCAAACTGCATGGGTCAAGTGCATGTGATCCTGTCACTGTCGTATACGCCACATCCAATGGGGAAAATTGTCAGTCACAAGCTATGCAGATTTAGGTGGAATATGAAGGAATCTATCAGAAAGAAAAGGAAATGCACACATGTACAAAAATACATTTATTAATGAGCGGATCTTCAAGCATTTATATATATTAATTTCGACCGGGTTATTTGGACTGCATATATTCTAATCCTCACACTCGGGGAAAAAAAAAAAGTGCTGCAGAGCGCTGTTCCTGTGGGCTCCAGCAACACTTAGCCCCCGAGCTTGCCTGAGAAGGACTAAATGCACAAACAAACTATTTTTAAACATCCCATGGAGAGAGACTCTCACTGCAGCCTGTTCTATTTTGTTCTGAAAATGTCTGCGTGCAGCCTCGTTCTGTGGACGATAAACGAGGTGCAGACTTCCCTTTGTATCACCGGTAATGAGGAAACACAGTGAGTGCTGGACAGAGCAGTGAGTGACAACAACCCCGCCCACATTTAAGGTTACTGTTTGCAGTGGAAACGCTAGGGTCTAGGTACCATGTCTGAAGGGTTACTTTTAGTTCCACAGGAACCATACTGAAAGTGTTTGGTGGAAACGAGGCTTTGTTTGTATCTGGTCACCATAGTCGTAGAGATGTCGGCCTTCTCTCCACTATAATGGAACTAGATGGCACTCAGCTTGTGGTGCTCAAAGTGCCAAAAAAATACATTTGAAACACTCAACAGCAATGTCTCATTCCAGAAATCATGATCTGGATACTCAAGATAAACCACACACCTTGTTGTGAGCAGTTTCATGTAGGGGCTGTTTTCTTTCCACCAAACTACAACTGCCAACCAAATTAACATGCGTGCATCTACTGCTAGCTCACCTGGCACCACTGAGGGGAACTGCCCATTGGTTCGACAGCCCATTGGTTCGACATCCCATTGTTCCGACCATATTAAACTCATTGTTCTTAATTCCGTTCCGAAATCATCATGATGCCCTGTGGTTAAGGTCTGGTTAGGTTTAGGCACAAAAACCATTTGGTTAGGGTCAGGAAAAGATCATGGTGTGGGTTAAAATGAAAAAGAAAGTGACAAACATAAGCCGTGAGCCTGCTCCACCTCAAGCCGGTCGCGGCGCACCATACGCCCGCCGCGAGCCATTCAGCACCGCGGACAGTCGGACTAATGGGATGTCAAACCAATGGGCTGTCGAACCAATGACATGGACCCACCACTGAGATAGCTAACGTGACTGCTCAGCTGAGGAGGATACCAGTAATAGCCCTTTTTATACAGAGATCCCGTGATAGGATCGCAATGAACACTGTGAGAGAGAACCAAACAGTGCCAGCATAATACCGCCACAGCTTGTCATGGCAGATAGCATGCCAACGTGTGACAAGACAGCGCAGGCCTCTAGTGTGACATATAACACATGCGTCAGGCAGCACTTTCTGGAGGCTGATCTCATCCTCTGCTTGGAGGGTGAGGAGCTCCGGGACCTCATTGTCTCCCCAGTTTTTAGACATTTTCGGTAGCTTAACTTCTTCTTTGAGTTAGCTGCTAACTGCTTTTAGCTGCTCTTTAAATCTCCTGGCAGTGGGTCCCACACATAACATGGCATCAAAACGTCACACTCGTCCCATCCTTGGTCCCGTCCTGCCAGCTGTCCTTTATACACAGATGTTGATACAGTGCAGTTCAGTTTCTACCTCTGCTGTCTGCTTAAGGGTGTGATCACTCTGTCCCCCCATTATGCGATCGTACCTTTTATAGAGAATGGTGAGGCGATAACGGCGCTACATTCCCGCCTTAAATAGGCAGTGTAAAAAGGGCTGATGTTTACGTCTCTCGTTGTCACTAAAACGATCCTGTCGTCAATGAGTATATTCATGCTTCCCTCTGCACTGTGATACGATAAGCAGGTGTAGTTCAGTAGAAAAAAAAAAATCCCACATGAAACTGCTCACACCAAGGTCCTAAGAGAAAAAAATATGTATTTTAGATTCTGGGGTGAACTGTCCCTTTAAATTCAATGCTATCGCAAAGATGTTACATTTAAATTACTAATTTATATATATTTATATATATATATATGTTTTTGTTTCAACAGTATCCTGTAATACATTAATGTTACACCTTTCTTCACACAACAGTACTAGAGCTGCAACGTTTGAGCGATTAGTTGTCAACTATTAAAATAATTGGCAACTAATCTGATTATTGATAGGTTTAAGTAATTTTTAAAGGGGAAAAAAGTCAAAATTCTCTGATTCCAGCTTCTTAAATGTGAATATTTTCTGGTTGTTTTCCTCCCCTATGACAGCAAACTGAATACATTTGGGTTATGTACAAAACAAGACATTTGAGGTCGTCATGTTGAGGTCATCACTGATTGACCAAAAAACTAATCGATGAATTGAGAAAATGATCAACAGATAAACTGACAATGAAAATAATCATGAGTTGCAGCCCTGGTTCACAAAACTATTCCAGTTTGTCTTATTTTCACATTAACTCTCTTTAAGCTCCACCAAACCAAGAATCTTTGCTCTCTCCGTCAGGAATAAAGACCGGCGTGTGTTTAAACAGCACAGGGACCTGTGAGATTCACGCCTGGTGTCCTGTCGAACACAGCAAGAGACCCACGTGAGTGTCCCCCCCCTAATAGAACTTTGGAAATGTGCCATTTTGTGGTACTACAGTGACACTCGCTCTGATCCTCTCACGGGGACGGAGTTATTTCACAGGTTCTATTTATTACTAACGCAGCCTGTCAGCTCCACTTGTTTTGTTTTTGTTTAACACAGCTGCCTCTCTCTTTCACTTCCAGAGAGCCCTTACTGAGCGAAGCGGAAAACTTCACCATCTACATCAAGAATTTCATCAGGTTTCCAAAGTTTGAATTCTCCAAGTAAGTGGTGCTGATAGCTGCCGTGTCTGTGGTTTCGAGTCATACATCAGTGAGTGAGCTGAGGGGGATATACGTGTCCCAATGGCTGCTTTAAATAGCTTTAGGGTGCAGAGAGCCTCTATTTATACCAGCCTGTGCATTGCACTGAGTGAGACAGTGAAACAGTCATCTGAGACGTCCTTGACAGCAGGCCTTGCCCTGGACAGGTGTCCGATCAGATGGGGGTAGCCCAGCAGGAGCTGAGCTGCTGCTGCTGCTGCTGCTGCTGCTGCTGCCCCCTCTGCAAGACAGCAGAGAGATGCAACAAACTCATTCACCACTCAAGATCTTTTCCTAATTACACAGCAGCTATCTCTCTTTATGTTTCTTTATATGCTGAATGAGGATTGGCCGGTAATACAAATCCCCCTTAATGAGAGATTACTCAAAGTGGCTGGCAGCAGTACACATCTTACAGTGTGGCACATCCAGTTGCCTAGAGCCAGAGGGCGTAATGGTGTCGGTGATTGATATACAGTATATGCTGCTGCTGCTGCTGTTGCTGGTGTGTGTGTGTGTGTGTGTGTGTGTGTGTGTGGAGTAAACCTCTAAGACATACATAATGGTATTTTGCTCTAAGTAAGAGATTGTAAAAGACAGTACAAGAGCTTTCTAAGCAGTAATGGTGACTGAGATGAAGATCGAAAGGTCAAATATGCCAATATGAGAAGTTGACGGAATTCTGTGACTCTGAATTGGCAGGAGCAGGTGTGTCTTAGTCAGTTTCCGTCTCCCCAGTCTAGGCAGTAATTATAATATACCCCGCCCCCCCACCAGTCAACCTACCAAGTGCTTTTGCTGACGTCCCGGTGTTGGTTGTGGCATCCCGGAACATCCACAGCAGACGCAGGAGGATACCTAGCATCGGACTTTCACCCTGGAGTCTGGTGTTCACCTCCCTTATGAATGTTAAGCCAAACCATGGTGTTCTTTTCTAAACCTAACCAAGTGCTTTTGTTGACATCCTGATGTTGGTAGTGGCGTCCCGGGTGGTCCACAGGAAGGTACCTAGTGCGTAATGTGAAAATCCACTGACAAAGCAGCAATATGTCACGACTTGGAATAAGACCATGTTGACACAAGCTGGTCTCACTGCGAAGTTGTCAAATAGCCACCTTTAATGGCAGTGTGATACACAGACGGGCAGTGTCAGTTTGTATTGCTGCTGGACGCAACCTGTTGCAGCAGTATGATTTCCGATAGGGCAGGTGGGAGGGGAGGTGGATGGATCCAACAATGCCTGACTTTTATCCTGGACAGCTTGCCCACTATACATTTTGTCCAAAGACATGCAGGTTAATTGGTGACTCTAAATTGTCCTTTGGTGTGAATTTGAGTGTGAACGGTTGTCTGTCTCTATGTGTCAGCCCTGTGATAGTCTGGTGACCTGTCCAGGGTGTACCCTGCCTCTCGCCCAATGTCAGCTGGGATAGATTCCCCTGACCACCCTTGAGAGTGAAAATGGTCACATCCCCAATTTTCCATAAAAATATGATGAATAAAACTTTAACTTCAGAGGAAGGTTTAGGAAAACCGTCCCTTTTAATGGATAAACTCAACAATATATGATGTTTAATGAGAAAATTAAACTGGTTTCCAACGTTCCTGATAATCTGACATATGTGTTGACCTCTTAGGTCCAATGTCCTTGAAACCTCTGACGAGAGCTACCTGAAAAAGTGCACCTACGACAAAGAGGAAAACCTGTACTGCCCCATCTTCCGCCTCGGAGATGTGGTCAGCTGGACCAGAAATGACTTCCAGGAGATGGCTGCGAAGGTACAAATGATACAAATGCATCAGTCAGTCAAGTGTGTGTGTGTGGGAGTGATCTCACTTCCTGGCTTCCTCGCAGTCATTTGATCATAAACCAAATAGAGTGTCTCGTTGATGAATTATGGAAATCCATTTTAGCTGCTTGTAATTTCAGTAATAACTGTCGAAACATATTTGCACCACAAAGCAGTTATTAATGCAGTCATACCTATTATTGATGAGGACCCATGGCGGCCATATTGAAGGGAATCAGGCTTTTTTTTGGCCATTTATTTATGTTGTTACAACTGAAACTACAAACATATTTGGACCGTTAAAGGACAGGAATATTTATATATATATTTTTTCTTTCCATTGCATCTCTACTGTAATTGAACCCCCTTTGACCAGCCCCGCCCCATTTAACTTTCATCCTGCCGGCTGGGAAGGCATGTGCATTCGTCAGGCAGCCACCACCACAACACACTTTTGACATTTGTGTAGTGCATGTGCAAAAGTGCGGGTGTTGCTCAGTGTCTGCACAGCAACAGCGTCATCATGTCATGAATAAACCTCCCAAATCTCACCCTGAGGAAGAATCACCATGGTCATCCTTCAGCAAGTACACAACACTGACTAGTTTCACCAACAAAACTATAAATACACTTTAAATACACTCTGAAAAGACATCAGTCACTAATCTAACAACACATATAAAGGTGAAGGTGTTAACATTTAGTGAAGGTTTAATAAGTGAGCTATATTGTAATGTTACATACAAGATGGACATTGTGTACAAAACCAAAGCTGACGTTCCTGCACTTTCCCATGACTACTGGGGTATATTTTTTTATGTATGACCTGTGAACAAGTGGGTACTTTTTGCAAGAAGCTAATTTTTTTTTACTAGGTAGTTTGAACTACTTTTTCTAAGTAGCGTTAGCGCAAAGCTATGCTTTCAAAGTAGCTTCCCCAACACTGTTTCTTGGGGAGATTTTGGGGGTAGAAAAACTGTTCTAAGCACCGAAAGAGGAAAAACTGTTTCTCTCTTTCTGTCTCTTCACTTCCTGTTGATGTCCAGTGACACACATTTTTTGTTAAACCTAAGCCATTTGATTGGCTTTTTAAGGGGATGGTTTGCTTGCACTGGAAGCTGATATGTTTCTGTGGTTTATAAGTATAAGGTGGCATGAAAAAAAGAGACAAGTACCTTACATTTGCACAATACTTCACCAAATGTACTCAATTACATTCCACCACTGGTTATGTCTAAATGGGACACTTGAATAGAGAAGAGCCATTGTTAATGTTATCAGTAACATGTGCTTCTCCTGCTATGACAAGTCAAATTGCTGTGAAAAAGGCTTTTTTTTTTTTTTTTTTAAAAAGCACATTGTTATTGGTTCATATAGTTTGGTGATGTAACGTAATTTCCGTCATAACACCACCAGCCTTCAATCTGATTAAAGGTCTAATCAGCCAGAAATACTGAAATTTAAGTCAATATAATATTGACTTAAATGGCATTCCATGTAAATAAATCCATTTATAAATACATTAATACATGAAAAAAAGAGACCATGATTATATAAATTTAAACATAAATATATTAATGAGTCAATATAGTTCAATAAATTAATAAACAGGTTTTTATTTATTTATTCATTTTTAAAAGGCTTTTTTTTTTTAAAAAAAAAAAAAGTCTTTATATCAGGTGACTTTTATTTCATATTTCCCCAATTTTTTAATTTCAGGACATTTTTATTTTCTAATGCCACATTTGTTTCCCAGCTCTTTTAATTTCCATCTGTTATATTTAAATAAATGGGGTGTGGTTATCACACAGATTCAGATCGAAGCAGCAGCACCAGAGCAGCCCTGAGTCATATTAGGAAATGAAAGTTTTTTTTAAAAAAGTAGTCCTTTGATAAAATGTCCTTTTTTGAGTTAATAACCTATGCTTTTATTTATTCACTTATTTATTTATGTTGACTCATTTATATATTTACATTTAGTTCTATATTTATTGGCAGATTTATGTCAGGATTCATTTCATAGACATATTTCTTTAAATAATATTGACCTAAACGGCATTCCATAGACAGAAACACCTGTGTGGGTGCGCAAGGCCTTTAGAGGATGAATGGTAAGAGGCTAGGACTATTTATGTTTATTTGTATATGCATGTTCTTTCACCATATTTATTTATTTAATATTGATTTAAATGACATTCCATAGAAGAAACAGCTGTGTGAGGGTGCAAAGCCTTTCAGTTATGAAGAGTAACAACGCATTAATTAAATAATAAGATAAATAATAATAATTAAAAAAGTTCAGAATCTAAAGGAAACCAGCATGATCTGTGTCATTAGTAACATGTGTGAAGCTGTTTTAATATTTACACAGTCACTGTTTCTGTCCGCCAGGGGGGGTCTGTTGGTATTCTCATTGAGTGGAACTGTGACCTGGATAAGGACTCATCACAGTGTAATCCCGATTACAGCTTCACCCGTTTGGACATGAACTTGAACAACTCAGTCACTTCTGGATACAACTTCAGGTATGTCCCTTCAGGCATTTAACAAGAAATGAGTCAGTCATTTTATTTCCTTATTTCTTTCACTTTGTTTTATTTTCATCTTTTACACCTTTTTTTAAACTGATATTTTCCCCTTACAGATACGCCAGGTATTTCAAGGATGAAAAAGGGGAAACCTTTCGCACTTTGTACAAAGTGTATGGGATTCGCTTTGATATAATGATCAATGGCCAGGTACAGCAGTCATATGATCAGTTTCTTGTCTTCAGGAAGCACATGATTCCGGTAATAGACTTCCAGTCAAGGCCTGTTATTGTTTTGCAGGCTGGGAAATTCAATATTGTTCCAACAATAATTGCCATCGGTTCGGGTGTTGCCCTGCTGGGTGTAGTAAGTCATTTACTAAAATATTATGTTGATGTGTCAGTGGATAACTTGTGACGCCTCGAGTCTGACAAATGTCATATTGCTGTGGTTACTAAGGGTGACGGACAATAACAAATAAATGACTATAAGCAGCTCGTGACAATCCAGCTGATATTATTATTTTTTCTTTCAGGGAGCCTTTGCATGTGACATGATACTGCTGTACATGATGAACACGAGCTCCTTCTACCGAGAGAGGAAGTTTGAAATCATCAACTTCAAGTACGACTTACTGTATTTACACAAACTATAAAGGCATGGTTTGTATTTTTTTAAGTGGGGTTGTATGAAGAACTAATCCACAGTCACTGTATTACCTACCCGCCAATCCGCATGCCTAAGTTTGGAGAAGCAGGCAAGAGTACCAACATGGACGCTAAGAAATGTACTGCTATGGTTGGGGCAGCAGCAAAACATTTTAGCTGCCTAAAACAATCCATTTCAGTTTAAGTGTGCGGCACATTTAGAATATTTTCACCACTTTACTTTGCTGTCAGACCCTTCCTCATGGGGAGCTGAAGCTGTTATCTATGCTCTCTTCAAAGCCACCAGACCCCATTGACAAAAACAGCAATTTTACCTTGCAGCACACAGAAGCTGCTGGTCTACAGCTGCCTTGATCGGTTAGTTAGTTTGTGCTATTGGGTGACTTTGGTGTTTTAAAGGATTCACACAATAACACGAACAGTCAAACTGATTGAGGCAGTGGTAGACTAGCAACTCCTGTGTGCTGTGAGGTAAAATTACTGTTGTTGTTACAGGAGTCTGGTGGCTGTGAATAGGTGCCAATACCTCAAATTCAGTACAGGTACCCAACGGTACCTTTTTTTTTAGTGCTTAACTCTTTCTGTAGGCTAATTACAAAAGAGTAACTTTATGAACAAGTTGCAGCTTCAGGGCACTTGCGGCACTTCCGGGGGCTACAGGGAGCTCCTTTGTCTCTGCTGCAAAGTGCCCTGAAGCTGGGAAGCAGGCTACGGAGTTCTGCCGGTGGCTTCTGGCCTTGGGGTGCTTCGCGGTGATTCCACCTCCCGTCTGAACCTGGCATTCTCACCCAGGTGCACTCTAAGGCAGTGGTTCCCAACTGGTGGGTTACAGTCCAAAAGTGGGTCGCTGGTCCATTCAGTGAATTTCCAGCACAGAACTTTTATGCTGAAGTGCAGTTCCCTGCTGTAGAGTGATTGGCAATCAGACAGCTACTTAAGTGAGACAGCGAACCAGCTCAACAACATGACCAAATGCAAGTATGACGCTGAATCTGAATAGATTAAACTGTGTGGACCTTGAATCAATGACTAAGAAGAAACCTGGGCCTTGTGTTTGGACCAGTTGGGAACCACTGCCATAAGGTACCAAAATTCAGCACCAATTGATTTGACGTGAATCAGTTCTTGGTTGTACCGGCATAATTCGGTCAGTACCCTTAAAAGTACCAGGTTCGGCAGCCAACCCTAACTGTGAGGAGAGCATAGATAATGGCTTCAGTTCTCCATCAGAAAGGCCTGTCTGCAGAACTTGTGGCGCAACGGTAGCGCGTCTGACTCCAGAAAGGCCTGTCTGCTGCTTTAAACTGAGGGCATGTTGACCGCCATCTACTGTAAATAATACACTGATTATGGATAAGTAGCTCATACAACCCCACTTAAAAAAATCTATTTAAATCAGCCATTTTCCAATCATCCCATTTATTGGCACATCTCTCTCACACTGTGTGCAACAGGAAAGAACGGACCAAATCCAAGGATGGTAAAACGGGACACAGAGAGAGGCGAACCAGGAAACCAGCTGCAGAGAAAGATGCTGCCAACTCCACTAAAAAGCTAGAGGAAACTGAACCTACTGTGGAATCTTCTCCCACCGCAGAGGGCCAGCTGACTGCGGACAAACGGGGTCCCACTATTCCACGCAACACAGGACAGCGATACTCAGCCCTCATCTCTCCTCAACCTGCAGAGCCGAGGCATCACATCACCTTCTCTTCACACAATTAGCAGGCGGAGCGAGACGAATCACCTGCAGCAGTCTGCGAGAGGGGGAACCAAAAGTCGGACTGACGTCTCATCTACTGGCATGACTGCTGGCATGACACTAGCTACAGTGATGCCTGATATGTTGGTCCAGAGAAATGTTAATGTTCAGCACTGTGCACATGGGCTGGGACGCTGATGTAGAAATACTCAGAGAGGTGGTTTCAGTGGCTGGGTCAGGGTCCAAAGCTGGGATGTGGGAGATAAATAATGATCTGCAACAGTACTGTGGTAACGCTTATTAGCAGTGACATGATATGATTCTTAGACTTGAAGGGACAGTTCACCCCAGAATCAAAAATATGTATATTTCCTCTTACCTGTAGTGCTATTTATATCAGTCTAGATTGCTTTGGTGTGAGTTTCAGAGTGTTGGAGATACTGGCTGTAGAGATGTCTGCCTTCTCCAAACTAGATCAGGGGTCTTCACTATTTACAGGCCAAGGACCCCTGTAACTGAAAGAGAGACAAAGCGGGGACCCCCTCCAACATAAACTGTATAAAACTGAGTTGATAATTCTCTGGATATTTGGGGTCTTGTCTTGTTTGCACTTGCCTGTAGCTGCTAAATAAGCAACAGTTGTAGCATGGCAAGGTGCGTTAGCCTCCCCTCTGCACTTTTGCCGGTGGTTTCCGAGGTGGATGGTATGTCAGAGTCTCTTGCTTGAAAAGTTACAGAACAATCCATTGTTGCTCACAAGAATGTACGTGCACGTGGAATAACAATACAGCTAATTGGCCAGTATGATTCAGTAGTATGTAACTGTCAGCTAAGTAGTTTACCATGCACAGGGATTTAGCGTTAGCAAGCGCACATGATTGTACAGGGACTCATGGGTAACAGTCATCCTATCATAAACGTTTTGTGCTTTAAATTAAATGTCGAAGTGTGTTTGGGGCGGCTGTGGCTCAGAGTAGAGCGGGTCGTCCTCCAGTCGGAAGATTGGCGGCTCAATACCTGGCTCCTCCAGCCTGCATGTTGTAGCATCCTTGAGCAAGAATCTGAGCCCCAAATTGCTCTCGATGGCTGTGTGTGAGTGTGTTAAAAACCGAGTAGCAGGTGGCACCTTGTATGGTAGCCTCGGCCACCAGTGTGTGAATGGGTGAATGTGACTCGTAGTGTAAAAAGCACTTTGAGTGGTCGAATATCTAGAAAGGCGCTATACAAGTGCAGGTACATTTACCATTTATTTTCAGTCATATTTATATTGTTGCTGGAAAAAAAATGAAACTTAAATTATCAAACAGTAATTTGGTGACCCTTACCCTAACAGTAACTCTGAGGACCCTTTAGGGGTCATGGACTCCCTGTTAAAGACCCAGGCACTAGATGGCATAATAAATAAATAAATAGAAATACATTTGAAAAAACTCAATAGCAACGTCTCTTTCCAGAAATTATGATCTGGTTTCTCAAGATAATCAGCAGACTTTGTTGTGAGCACTTTGACGTAGGACCTATTTCCTTTCCATTAACCAAACCTGCCAAACGTGTCAACGTTCAGAGAGACGCGCACAGTTGCGTAAGAGATACGACAGGCCACAGTGCATGCTATTGTGCATATACTGTCTTCACACACATAGATACTTGACACTGGGAAACATCAACATACATATCACCCAGCAATCATCATGGCATATCTTACAAAAATATAAAAGACAGTAAGAAATTTATCATTTAATTGAAGAGTTTTTATAGTATATTTGTAGATTTAATAGCTTATGTAGAAAAAGCACACCATTTTGTTTTAGAGGGCTACTGACTATTTAAAAAATAATAATAAAAAGAAAACATTGATGCAGACGGGTTTGCCCTTTCGTCAACATGTATAGCAAATGACACTGTTTTCTTTATGATATCATTTATCTTTAAACACAGGTATATCTCCAAGGTAGCATTCTGAATCACTTGAGTGGGCCTTCTCTCTCTACGGGCCCCTTCATTCCATGGGCCCCAGTGCAATCACACTGCTTTCACAGTCTATATTTATGCCTCTTAGCACCACTGAGCTAGCTAACGTTACAGCTCAACCGAGGAGGACACCTTTAATGCTTACATCTCGCACTGTAAGGAGTTTCTTGTCCATAAGCAGATGCACGCTTCCTTCTGCCCAGGGAGATGGTCAGCTGTTTTCAAATGTATTTTTTTGGGGCTTTGAGCACCACAAGCAGTGTCATCTAGTTCCATTATACTAGAGAGAAGGCAGACATCTCTGCGGCTGATATCTCCAACACTCAACAACTCACACCAAAACGGTCTAAATTGATTGATAGCTCTACAGGTCAGAGGAAAAATATGCCTTTTTGATTTTGGGGTGAACTGTCCCTTTAAGTGAATTGCCAAATGTTTGCCCATGACTGCTTTACAAATGCAAAATTATGTCTTCATTTCATGTCATAAAATCAATACCTAAAAGCTTTTTTGGCTGTTGATCAGACTAATTAAGCATCATTTCCAGTTAAATTAATGATTGGCCTTAGTTTCTTTGTAACTTTTGCCGTTTATGGACTAAAAATCACAGTAAAAATACTTGACATCATGGACCCATAAACCTTACTGGATTAAGTAAAATAGAGTGATTTCTGCTAAATTGGTCAGCAAAGATACCATCTAAATGATTTCGTCAGCATGGAGTCAAAGAGAAAATGTTTTAAAAAAACTGCACTTGGAAGCAGTATGTGAGAAAATGTGTGAACGGTCTTAATTGCTAGTGTTTCAGTCCGATGCATCGTGCACCTCTGTTGTGACAGAAATCTACTGTTAAAACACTGCTGATGTGTTTCCTGCTGTATGTTGATATCGGCCATGCAATGGCTACAACACAACCTCATTCACGATATATTTCACTTGTGAAGCTGTGGAATGCAGTCATGATGTGCTATGAGTCTACTGTGAGTGGACAAGTTCACTGCGGGCTGATTGTTAATGAATAGTGCAAGACACTGATGTGCATGGACTCCCTCTTGTTTGTTCTTCCTGTTACTATTTATTGAATGGTCTTTATTGTTGGAAACAAATGTATGTCATGTTTTATTTCAGGATGTCGACAAATGACGCTGCCTGAAAGGAGAACTGATAAATAATATATGCAAACACATCGTAAAGAGGTATTTATTTCAATCAGTAATCAGATTTGTTATAAATTAACCATAGTATTGTACATGAAATGCAAAGTGCTTTCACCTTGTCAGGATGTTAGCGGTTTTGATCTCTGCTGCACTACAACCTACATTATCATAACTGTGGCTCTTCTCCTGGTATGGATGATGGTGAGCACAGATTGGGAGTTACAGGTTAAACAGTTAAACGTGGAGCAGGAAGGATAAGAGAACGTTTATTCTGCATACTATTATTGATACACCCTCCGTTTAATCATCAGTTCTTAATGGAAGAAATCTTCTAAAGGCTTATCTACAAACAGCAGGGCAGACATTACTATTGGTTTAGCATTAGATGGGATTAATTCAGGGATATCTGTGGTAGATCTTTTTAGTAAACGTGCACCATTCCATACAGGAAAGTCCAGAACAGGACATAAGTGAAAAGACCTCCGACGAGGCCCCCGGTGAAGAGCAGCCGCCGCGATTTGAAGCATTTGTTCCACCGCCGCCCGGCCTTGAGAATGAGCAGCAGAGAAAGGAGGAAAGAGGCTAGGAAATAAAAAATGAAGCCGTACAGTCCAGTCAGCCCGAGGATGCCAGCCGTTGCTCCAGAGAGGGCAGATACAGAGGTGCGGCAGTAGTCCAGCACTGCGGCGTTTCCCCTCACAGCTACTTCACTGATGAACTGTGGTCCCTCACGCTTGGCTACGACTCCTGCCATCTTGGCTCTGGTCAGCTGTCACAGGAAGGTGCTCCTGTTTCAGGAAAGATTTGGGCACAGAGAGAGGAACATTTAATCGAATGACCCAAACCCTGAACACAAATACAGTTTTAAAAACATCTTTTGTAGCTCCACTACATGTATTTCACTGATAGGGAAACTAGTTACTTTGCAGCTCAAGACTGTATATACCAAATCTATAAGATAATCAAATATATAAATAAAAAAATGAATAAATAAATAAGGAAATAAATAAATACTAAAATAAATATAAATGCGAAATAAATACCGAAAAATACATAAATGCAGAGGTTAGGACTACCCAACTCATTAACATACAAACACATAAATACAGAAATAAATAAATGTAGTTGTACAAAAAATAGAAATAATGTTAATTCTCAACATTTTTTTTCAGATTTATTTCAACATCTATGTATTTTTTCTTTAATCTATGCATTTATTTCTGTAATTTTTTTAGCATTTATTTATTCTGTTATTTTCTTTCGAATTTATTTCTGTATTCAAAAATGTATTTGCACATTTATTTATTCCTGTGTTTATTCATACATTTACTTATTTTCCTATTTATTTCCGTATTTATTCCCTTTACACATTTATTTATTAACTTGCTTTTTTTAACCCAATATTATACATTTATTTATCTTTTTATTTATTCACTTATTGATACTTGTGTCATTTGTCATCCTTCATAACAGACTGAACTTATTTTATTTTTTTAATTCTGTGCCATGCCCACCATTTTACAAAAAAAAAAAAAAAATCATCTTATGGCATACATACACAAAAGAAAACAGTAAAAACCAAAGAGCACAAATAACAAAAATAAATCACTATATTATATTCTTTCAAATAACATTTGAAAGAAGTTTCTAATGAACTGTAGACTGAAAAGAAGAGGTACAAACCTGCAGTTTATCCTAATAAAGAGCTTTTTTCCTCATTTCCCAGAATTTCTTCAAGTAACCAGCGAATTAAATTTTCCATATTTAAACAGCCAATTCGATCTTTGTGCATCATCCATAAAGTTTTTATCTTACTCAACAAAATACTGTGCAGTTCCAAGTAAACAGAGCAATAAAAAAGAGACATTCAATTTCTAAATCAGTCTGTACACTAAACATTGAACAAATAAAGTTGAAACCGACTCTGCCTCAACCAACATAACACTGACAGAAGCCATCCTGCTGCATAATGACTACTTTTGATTTTTAAATTATTTTTATATATATCTGACAATAACACCTCATTATTATGCTGGCCTTTTACCTGGAGTATTTGATCTTAATAGAGCTACAACAATAAGTCAATTATTTGATTATTTGATTAAGAGAAATATAATCGGCAACTACTGCTGTAATTGATTAATCTTTAAGGTCACTTTTCAAGCAACAACAATACCAAAAATATGATATATTCAGGTTCTCAAATGAGAGGGTTTGCTTAATTTCTTTATCTCACATTATAGTAAATTTAATATATTTGGATTTGAAAATGTTGGTCAGACAAAATAAGACATTTGATGAAGTCACTGTAAGATACTGTGACAGACTTCTCTTACTGCTTTCTAATGTTTTGTGGACCAAACGATTAATCGATTAGCAACATGTTCCTAAAACATGTGACCCAGTATCAGTATCAGACACCCTTATAAATCGATTAGTTTTCTAAGTCGTTGGGTCGTTAAGGTTACGGGTTTAGGGGCCGGATCACGGAACCTATCTTATGGGTCACAAAATTCGGTGTAACACCACAAAGCAAGGTCATTTACATCAGAGAAGCTCTTGTAAAACCTAATGTACAGGCCTTACAGATATCAGTAGGTTGATGTAATGCATTCATTGGACATTTTAACATATTAACCACCATTAGAAAGTATTTAACACGAATCGACAGAAGTCTGACTACGTTAAAACCCCCTGGTATGAGTGACAAAGACAAAAAGAAAAGCTGTCAGTCAGCGTTAGTCGATGTTAGCTTAGCTTAGCTTAGCTACTGACCACAATAAATCAAAGTAGCTAATACCGGAATTCAAAGCCCTGTTCTGGTGACATAATCTGGCAGATAAAAGACCAGAAAAGGACAAAACAGATGAGACTGCTCCCAAATTATTACACTAAACCCATCACTGTGCGACCCAACGTAACCTAGCTGAAGTTGCTAACAGGATAGCACTGTTAGCTCTCCCGGTAACTGATGACAGATTCTCACCGGAAATGATCGCAGGGACTCGTCGGCTCCTCACAGCGCGATTACTAACACATACTCTGTCAGAGTAACTTGTCAGACTAAGATCTCAGATTATTTTTCAATGAATGTCATCTGATGTGACACGGAAACAGCACATTCATTCTCGTGTGGATAGCACTCCTAGGCAAGAGTCGGCCATATTCCTTCGCAGTGCATTGTGGTGGTGCGTTCACTGCGCATTAAAGAGTGGGAAATTCTTTATTTTATTATAATTGGGGAAAAACGTTCAAGCTTAATCAGTGTGTGTGTTGTTGGGTGAACATATGAGGCATTGTATCAGAATCAGAAAAAATATTTATTAGGCAAGGTATATTTTCAGTCACAAAGACTTTGCCTTTGAGTTTGGTGTATACAGTATACATATTCAGACGAAATAAAAAATAAAGGCCAAACTGCACAAGCAAAGGACATAATATATAATAGAAATACTACTGTTAAATAAGTATAAGATAATAGAAAAATAGCTACTATGACCCTACTATGACCTACGGAAGCTGAAATGGTAAAATTACGATTTCCTACTTCAAAGTGAACGCAGCAGAGTAGACTTTACCCTATTGTCAAAGCAGTCTCATTAGTAGCTATGTCTGCATATATTCTGGGTGTAGACGTGGGTACCACTTCGGTAAAAGCCGTTTTATTAGAAACTGGCTCCAGGTTGGTGGCTGCCACTCAGGCTTTGCCGACTACGTCTGATATAATCGACCACAGCGGATTAAAGGTGAGTGCGTTCGTGTACCGCACAACTTTACTACGAACCTCAGCAATAACAACACTGCTGTGTGTGTGTATGTCCCGCATGTGACTCGTGTGTAACCTGGCTACAAACGTGTTTATACCGAGCAGGCGAAAGAGCAGGACACCGGCCGGATCATCGACACTCTGAACCGGTGCATGGGCCTGCTGCCCAGAGACAAGCTGCAGCATGTGAGTAGCATCGGGGTATCCGGACAGATGCACGGGGTTTTATTCTGGAAAGCAAAGAGCTGTAAGGCTTTTGGTTGCACGCACCCTGTTGCATTTCATAACATGTGGTGAGTTGTGAAGCAAGGGCTGGACGAGCAATGATACATGAAGTTTGAGCGGCAAAAACACTGATGTCTTCATTCAGTGAGCGCGTTTACATGCACACTAATAAACCGATCATTATCTGATTTCTGGAGTTACCTGATTATTCAAGTGGTCATGTAAACAGCATAATCTGATAGGTTTTATCAGATAAAAGCCATTATCTGATTATGAGAAATCAGATAAACATATCTAGCTTTTCCCCCAATAGTCAGATTATTCGGTGCATGTATACCCTTTAATCTGGTTTCTTTCGGGTTTTGCTATTTTATACTCCCACTCCACTACATTTTAGAGGGAAATATTGTACTTTCTACTCCACTACGTTAATCTGACAGCTTTTGTTGCCTTTCAGATAAAGATTTTACATAAAATAATATATTTTTATATTCTCAGTGTTTAAATTGTCACTTTTATTTTATCTTACTTTTATGTTATGCACTTTGTGTGACAAGTTTATATACAACACACTTGTATATTGCACTTTGCAGTACTTTTACTCCAAATCTACCCAAAGTATGTAAAATTGGCTTCACATTGATAAACTACACATTAGAATGCTCTCACATGTATTTGTTAATGATAAAAACAAACAGTACTGTAAGAATATAAGCTGTCAGCATGATGAGTGCTTTATTTTGCAAATATATGACTTGCGTACTTTTCGAGGTTTTTCAAGGATATGAGTACCTACTGTAACAGGAAGTTTGAGTTTTATGTCATGTACTTGGGGAGAAATCCAACTGAAGGACTGAATCATGTAAACCAGGTTTTTCTGATTATCAGATTATTGAAGTGCACGTAAACGCGTCAAATCGGATTATTACCATTACCTGTTTATTCCCAGTGATTATTGTGCGCATGTAACCGTGCTCATTGATTCAAATGAAGAGTGAAAAACATCAGTGAGGGAATACAGTGGCGTCTCCAAGGGGGGCCAGGGGAGGCTACAGCCCACCTGATATAGGGTGCTTTCACACTTGGTCCTTTTCAGCCTTCTAAGTGGACTCAGAGTGGTGGCTCAGCATTTTTTGTGCAAATGTGAACACTCCAAGAGAACTCAGACCAGAGGGCTGAAAAGGACCAAGTGCGACAATACCCTAAGTGTTTCACGTCATGCTTCACGTCCACGGTGTGGTTCACTAAGGGTATTTTCACATTTAGTCCTTCTTAAATGAACCAAACTCAGACCACCTCCTGAGGTGGTCCTTTAGGGTGTTTTCACACTTGGTCCTTTTCTGCCTTCTAAGTGGACTCAGAGTGGTGGCTCAGCATTTTTTGTGCAAACGTGAACACTCCAAGAGAACTCAGACCTCTCGTGTTCGTTGTTTTGTGTTCGTTGTATTATGTTGTATTGTAGCCCTCCAGGCTTGCCGCCGACAGATCACACGCTATTTCAGTGGGACGCATAATAAACACAATGGAACCAGGGAGAACTGCAAATTAACTGACAATGTGAACGAAAAAAAGAACTAAGTCCCCTTTCTTTTGTTCTACTTTTTGGTCCACTTTAAGAAGACTGAGTTCGGCTCATTTAAAAAGGACCAAGTGTGAAAACTAAATCGCTTGCCTGCTCTCTTGAGTCGCATATGCACAGGCCCAATCATATGTAAGGCAGTTACCTGCTTAAGCCAGTAGGAGTTGCTGTTGCGCTGTCTATTTCGCAGCAAATGTAGCAGTTCACACTGTTTGTCCCTTGCAGGACGCCATAGCTTTGAGATTTGCTCTGTTTAGGACGCCGTGTTCTTCAAAGTTAATTATCTCTTTCCCTGTAACGTGAGTAATAGCAGAGATATTGGATAAAGCGAGATACCCCACTCAGCTCACTTCCTGATTCAGTGACGTCAGCGCCACGCCCCCGTAGGAGACTTGCGGCAGCTCTGAATGTATTGTCGTCAATGAGGAAAATGAACGTGATCACAATTTATGGTCAATTCTTTCGCCCTGTAGTCACTAAAATAAATATTGGGTTCGTTTTCCACAAGCCACACATCTTACCAACATTCTGACACTAAAGCTGCATTTTTCATCCGCACAGATCAAGAGAAAGTTAACTTTGTTTGAGCCCTGTCCATCTCAGAAAACAAGTTCTCGCGAGATCTTGTGATCTTGATAAACAGGCGGTAAAATCACAGTTAGCTTACAAACAGTTACAAGCAGGTTGAGGGAGAACAGGCTCTGATTGGAGGGAGAGCTAACCACGCCCACTTAGGAGACAGGAAGAGTAACCGTTTTCTTCACATTGGATAAGCCTACGGTGGGGTATCTCCTTTATCCAATATCTCTGGTGATAGCGTTCTGCTTTGTATAACTCATTCTGTTTATTAGGTCATTGTTGGTGTTAATTAACACTCCAGGCTCCATTTGACCAGGGGTCTGACTATAAATTAACCGTGTTTTTTTTACTGTTTGATGGTGTTATTGCGGTGAGGCTATGAGTGTAGCTAGCATGCTGTAAATGAGTAGACAATTGATACTGTGTAAGCTGGCGGGATGGGGCATTAGCTTTTCTGTTAACTGTTAAGTCTACTTGAGAATTTATATTTTATGTTGGTAATTTATTCATTTCAGAGAGCCATATTTAGTTTAACTTGACAGTTATGTTTATTTTAATTTATGTATTTTTTTTTAATGTCAATTATTGTTTGAGTAAGAGATTTATTTCTTTAAAAAAAAGTTAATTGTCTCTTGCTCTGTAAGGTAGAGGGATGGGATGCCAGCAGCAGAGAAGTTACTGAATGTTACCGAGAAATAAAACCACAGTCAATGTCTCAGCCACAATCCCGAACCCTGTGTCTGGTGCCTCCTGTCTCTCTCTCTCTGCATGTCACTCTAAAGAAAAAAAATCACAGCAAAAAATGTTCTTTATAATGGAGATGTACATAAAGTAAGAAAATTAAAAAATGGAGGTGGGGCTTTTACTTACCACAACTGCAGAGGCTACCAGCTCCATTTGAAACAGATTACATTATAAACGGGCCGTTATTTATTATTCCTTCTGTGGTTTTTTATTTTTACTTTCAACTGCTCCTTTTTGCCTTGATTAAGTTAATGCGTCGCGCCGCCATTTCAAACTCAACACCTCCTATATCTGTATAAAATTAAAAGCCCCTTATAACCTCGGCTGAGAGAATCCCTTCTTTTGTCTAAAAAAACTTTTATTGTGAAACATTTGCAGGAACTTGTGGAGGATTCGGTGACTTCTATGTTTGTGTACAGTACTTCAAATGTAGCTCCTGACATCTGGTGGTGTTTTTTACGTTACTACAACAACTTTTCGGCTGGCACATGAACAGACACAGTGACTGAAATAATAATAACGTTGTGAAAGACGACCAGGGATAATTGGTGTGTACCATCGTGTAGTGTATCACGTCTGTTGGCCAAGTCACAGCACGATTTTGTGAATCCACAATCGCCTAATGTGACATAGTGACTGTTGGAACGGGCAGAAATGTTGTGTAGTGTGTACCAGGCATTACACATCGATGTTAATAAGATGAAGATACAGGACCCCAAGGTGGCACCTATTCATTCCAGTGGAGTTGCTTGCCTGGCAGATATGCACAAAAAAGTTTCTAGTTTCCGGGTTTACTTCAGCAGTATGCAGCCCACTGAAAATGCACCATATGCCCCATTTCCACCAAACACTTTCGGTATGGTTTAGTGTTGCTGTAGCCCACAGTAACAACGCTCCACAATGCTTTTTCCCCCTCTGAGTGAGGATTAGAATATATGCAGTTCACATAAAGCAGTCACAATGAATTAATATACATATATTTTTAAACACTTGAAGATCCCCTCGTTACTAAAAGTGTCTGTCATTCAAGAGTGACAAAAACCTAAAGTAATGGTCAAAGTTGTCATTGAAATTTAAAGTGTGTTGACACAGTTTGAGTCCTGAAATCAGGAGGTTTTCAAATTACTCCTCTTTTAATCAGAAACTAGGGTCCATTGTACCTCTCTCGTAACTCTGCTGCCCTCTGCTGGTTGCTCCTGGGAGTCAGATCTAACTTATTTAACCTGCTGTATTTTCCCACGTCTCTTGACCCCTGCAGGCTGTGATTGGTCCAAGAGGGATTTCTTCACAGCCAGAGACACCAGTCAGCTCATCACTTGGCAGGATGGCCGCTGCAGCAGTGACTTCCTGTCCTCACTTGCAAAACCAGACTCACACCTTAGTGTAGCCACAGGTTTTGGCTGTGTGACAATTCTCTGGTTCATGAGACACAGGTAAGCAGCATGCACTTTTTTTAATCCCATGAACTGCAGCACTTGGTTTTGTGATATGAAAGTGAACCTACTGTATGTGGTTTCAGGCCGGAGTTCCTTGAGGAGTACACAGCTGCAGGAACCATCCAGGACTATGTGGTGTCCATGCTGTGCGGTTTGGACGGGTGCGTGATGACGCCCCAGAATGCAGCCAGCTGGGGTTTCTTCAACACCTCCACCAACCAGTGGAATATAGACATGTATGTAAAGTGCAGAATTTCCTGTTCAGTTCAAATACCAATAGCATGTTTTCCTAACCTACATAACAAGCAACTGTCTGTGTGCATGCTCCAGTCTGAAGGGTGCCGGCTTCCCTTTGCACCTACTTCCTCGGTGTGTGCCGTCTGGTGGCTTGGCAGGACAGACATGCTCCGACTGGCATGGTATCCCTGCTGGTACGCCAGTGGGTGCCGCCTTGGGAGACTTCCAGTGCTCTGTCTACTCCTGCATGAGTGCACGAACAGATGCAGGTGAAACAGGACGTCCAATCATTTCTTTTCAGGGCCAGGATCACTTAGTGTAGTGATTGACGTACTCTAAGACTGTTTATGGACTTCAAATGAAAGAATCCATTCCAGCAGTACCATGACTAATGCATCCATTAGATTTCGTCTACTATACAATACTGATAATGCTTCAGTTTACTGTAGTTAAAAGGAGACTTCTGTTTTTTTCAACCCAGATTCTGTTTTCCATGTTTTTGTGTCTTAAGTGATTAATGGGAACAACAATTTTTTTTAACTGGTACGGTATTGAGGGAAGGCTACATCCCCAACAAATCTGCTGAGGACGCTAAGGGACATGCTGCTCCACTGACCTCGTCCCACTGGTGATGTATTCTATTGTGGTACGCACCTCACTGGACAATCGCCCTGCTAGTTTGGCGGTCACTGGTTTTCTGCTGGCTGTTGAAACAGGACAGGCTGAACTATCAACCAAAATCTATTTCTAAAAAAATTTGAAGTGAGAAATTTTGACAGGTTGGTCCAAGTTTCATGAGCCAGGCGCATCACACAGGACTGACTCATTTGTATAAAGCTGAGTGTCTTTAATGCAAAAACAGACCATGAATGCACCACAAACTCTCTGCAACACTCTCACCATGCACTGCAAGACTGCTTGTCCTGCTCTTTGTGGGAAATAATGTCTTTGTCGGACACTTATAATATCAATCTGAGCCTGTCAGTGCCGAAAACAAGCACAAGCACAACAAACAAACCAGAGCTGGTGATTGTTGAAACAGTGGAAATAAGAACCAAGACTGTTTTGTTTTTTTAGGGCTGTCCAAATTAGCATTTTCAGGTCTTCAAAGCTTCGGTTAGAGAGATTCCTGGCGACTAATTTCCCTGGCGACTAAACAAAAATTTTAATTAAGACTAGTCGACTAGTCTAAAAAAAAAGGAAAACACTCATTTTATGGTGAATGTGCTCCAGCTTGGAGGTCATCATTTTGCGTGGAAGCATATCTTGTGAGGTCATAATCGTGATGAGTGGCGTTATCTTCTCAGACCGGGCGGGATCACAGCGTCTCCGAGTGAACAATGTCAGATTGGTCTGAGTGTGGCTAGCAGCAGCAGCAGCCATCGTTCCACGGAGGTTAACATCCAAATGCTTGAGTTGAGTTGAATGTAGTTGTGAGCCAGTTTTTTCTGACACAGCCTACATGCTACCTTGTTTTAATTTTCTAGATCAAAGCACTGCCAAACCGCGCTGGTTTTGCGATAGGACGTCTCTCCAAATTCTCTCTGTGCTGTTTTAAAACTTCAGTCTACTCGAGCATTACCGCAGGGAGGGGGACTGCTGTCTAACTGCTCTGTAGCCCCCACTAGTGGGGGGCGGCTGCATGACAGTTAGGAGGCCTTGTACATGAATAAAATACTAATTGATTTAACCGACTAATATTTCTGGTGCCGACTAGCGAAGGGGAGGACGCGATTAATCGCGCGCATCCCTAGCTTCCGTGAGAATTACCTGCAAATATACGAAGCTTCGCTAGGGGGGTCGGGGCTAGCATCCTAGCATACTTTCCTCAATCTAATGGTAGTTATTTATATTCTCTGCTAGTACTGTAATTATGAGTCTAATGAGATACGAGGGCAAAAATCGGATCTCAAAGTTTTTCCTTTGTGTTGAAGCAAAAACGGCGACAAAATGTGCAGTAATTGCATCAATTAAATTAAAGCCACATCCTGTAAAAACAAATTTGCTCCTACGTAGACCCATAAAAAAATGAATAGATTTTTAAAAAGTATCTATTTTATGCCACTGTTGATTAGTATTTCTCATTTCATAGGCTATTTGGGATTTTGGGGGTAATTCATATACAATAATTAAAAAACGGAACCAAAAAAAAGAACAACCAAGTATTCAAATACTAATTTGGACGTTGATTACCATGACAGTGGTACAAGCTTTGAAGCTCTGAAGCACTCAGGTCAGCTTAAGTTTATGTCATCTTTGAATGAAGTATGTTAATGTGGATAAAATTACTGTCCGTTTAAACAGAGTCTGGTTGGTTTGACGATAGCGATTTCCAGCTGTTTGCGTTTTAAGGATTCCACGTGAGGGATCTTTTCCATCATGTTGTCAGACACTTAGAATAACAACCTGAGCCTTTAGTGGAAGTAAACCGACGATGGGAACATGCCCTAAGGGGTTTACATTGCAGTCTGTTCTGTGGCTGCTGGCTGCAGCACTCTCGCTCAATACTGGACCAAATTCAAAGAGTGTTGTTGTCATTAGTCACTTAGACACAAAAACGTACTTTTAGCTTCCCTTTAAAAACGGCAAAGAGAACAATAGCAAAACATAAGAATGTCTTAACATACTGAATTAAAAACACTAGACAAAAGACTAAATTAAAAGTCAGCAGCAGTAAATACCCTTATCTTAGTTTGCACACATAGAAATCGCATTATGTATCAGATGTAATTCTTCCATCAGTGTCTCTTGCATGACTTGTTTGGAGATGTTGGTTCACGTGCCTTCAGGTGACAGTTTCTCCTAATTTCACAGTTCTCAACATTAGCACCTCGGCCCAGCTGACCTTCGCCATGCCAGGTGACTTCAAACCTCCAGACTCTCCTCAGCCTGCCTGCTCCATCTCCTACTTCCCCTACTACGATTCGTACTTGGCGGTGGCGGCTTCGCTGAACGGAGGGAATGTTCTGGCCACTTTTGTGGGGATGCTCACTGCATGGATGAAAGAGCTGGGTATGTACATGGTAGTCAAATATCACAACTGTTGTATGGGTTGCCATAAAGTGTTGTGCTTTTCACATTTCCCTCAAGATGAATTCTACCTATCTATCTTAGACTTTGTGTTAAGTGCTCGATTAAAGATTCAATATTTCTTGCCACAGCAAGAGCTGACTTGAATTTGTCTTGATTGGTTCAACAACAACAAGGCATATAATCACATCGTACAAACAACAAGGAGTGTCCACAAAAACGTACTGTTGCAATTACAATACAGTAATACAATAATCTAAGTATGCAAAAATGCTGACGTTAACATTTGGCTCAAAGCAGTGTTGTGTCTAAGTACAACCTCAGAGAGCTGCTCGCGTGCCTGTAGACTCCTAGGCTGTGTTCACACCGCAGGCCTCAGTGCTCAAGTCGGATCTATTGTTCAGATCTGTCCACATCATTTCATAAATGTGGCCCCATCAGATTTCAGTGTAGACTGGTCACGGTCCTGAACTGACCTCTATGTACAAAACAGCAATAACAAAGACGTCACATGGAGCACGCTGTCGTAGAGAGGTAAACATGGATGCCACTCAGCGTTCACAGTTTCATTTCTAAGCTGATGTGCAGTGGAAACCAGTGAATCTGTTAGCAGACAGTAACAAGGACGAGGAGAAAGAGAGCCAAATTTGTAATTATGGCTTTTTGTGGAGCAAAGGCTGTTAAGTGACCCTTTGCTAAGCCCCGCCCCCAGATGCAGACTGGCCAATCATAATGTAACATGGCCAACTCAGACCAGGGCCCGACAACAACACAGCTGTTCTCCATTGTCTCTAATGCATTCGTTTCAGATTTCCTTCATTTTCAGGCTGGTTTTGTGGATTTGGAGCTAAATGTTGTGCCTGGGGCACGTCGTGTATTAATGATACTCGTTATCTGGAGAGGTTGGAAAAAGATATACGTTTCTTCCCTGTTCCAAAACCAAAATCAGACCCTGAAAAGTGTAGGGTTAGCTAGCTAGCTACTGAAGATATAGCCTACTGAATGTATACACATGCTGCTTTTGCTTTTTAATGATTATAACAGTGAAAAAAAGAGTGACCCTGCTGTACAGGAACCAGTGAAGGGAAGCAGGGAAACTTTGCTGATATTCAAAAAGCTGTGTGTCATCACATTGTGCACAGATGTACGTTGTTTGACTTCCCCTGGAGATCCCTGCACGTCCGGCGGCAGAGGTCTGGGTGCTGGCGGTGGAGGGGGGTGAAGCCAAACACCAAAAATAAAAGATCACATTCCATGTGATTTGTGCTGCAGGAAAAAAATCTGATTTGAGCCCCCTTTGCCTGCAGTGTAAACATAGTGTTAGACATGTTGAGGCTTTTGTTTTGGAAATAGCAGCTCAAGAACTGAATCAGTCTGGTTAGATGTGTTTCAGGCTGTAATCTGCATGACCTGTTATTAACCCCAGCTGAAATGAAAGATCAATAAGAGTTCAGAGAGAGCAGTGTTGATTTAAGGAGGGAGAGCACTGTGAGTGAGTTTTATTGCACACTCTGTAACCTAATTGGATACAGTAAACTGATACCAGAATAACTGACTCATAGTTGTGTTTGGTCCCTATGTTAAGTAGCTCCTCTCTCCTTCCTTGCAGGAGTGGAGCTGAGTGATTCATGCCTCTATGAGAAGCTGATTGGTTGCGCCCTGAGGCAGGAGACGACCGACCTGAGGGTGAGTCCCACCATCCTGGGGGAGCGACACGACCCTCTCTCCCTTGCTCAGGTGACCAACATCTCTACTACCAATCTCTCCCTGGGTCATGTGACCAGGGCACTGTGCCGCGGATTCATCGACAACATCACCTCCATGATGCCTGCTGAGCTTCTGCAGCAGGCGGGGGTCAGCAGGATTGTGGGCAGTGGGAGTGCCATTGCCCGAAATGAGGTGCTGAGGCAGGAGGTGGAGAAAGCGTTTCCTCTGCCAGTGGTGTACGGACAGGACGCGGACTCTGCTGTCGGCGTGGCCATGGTCCTCTGTGACCTAATGAATGAGTCTTAATCCACTGGGGAATCCCTGTGCTGTATGTTTACATGATTAATTCAGAGTTTTGCACATTTTTAATTAACTTAATTAATATATGAGCAATCAGGCAAAGTGCAGCGCCACAACATGTTTTGCTCTGTAGCCTCTTTCACATGTTGTTTCCGGTAAATGACCCGGATCAGCCTTGTAGTCACCACTAGTGCTGAGGCAGTACCGGAATAGATGGAGCAAAGGACAGTCCAACTGATGGTGGTGATGGAAGCAACCTCCATTAAACATAAACAGAAGAAGACAGGGCTGGATGTACATGGCAGAAAACGTCTCTTAGGGGGCTTTCCAGGCCCCCGTGAAATTAGCTCAGCCTTGCAGCAATTTTTTCCCAGTGGCCACTGGTGGCATTGCAATGAAAAAAATCTCCTGCGGCCCAGAGAGCATTTTCCCTTTAGGCCACCACTGTAAAAGACAAGTCTGTAAAACTGTTGACGCCTTGAACTGCCACCATGTCAGTTATGAATCTTCCTATTTTTAATTTTTGGGCTATGGCGGTTTTATGTTTTTAAAACTTTCCTTATGCCGAGAAAAGCAATTGAAAAATCTGTGATGTGAGCTGAGCAGGAACTCGCAGAAGAAACGCTGCTGCGCAGCCAAACACCGTTCATCTGCACACACTGTGATGCCACACAGCTGGTTCAATATCAGCAATGTTTCCCTTTATATTCATTGTCTTGTGTGGCGATCAGCAGTGATGTGGTGGTTCACTTTTAAACTGTGATCTGTAGCCTATAGTTTGGCTTTAGCTTCTAACTATCTTTGTCTTTTTTGACCTGTTTTTGCTGCTGAATCATTTTGACGTTGTGGCTATATCCTTAAAATGCATATTGTAGACAAGCTGCAAACTCCAGGACTGAAAAGTAAAGTCAAACCTAAGTGCCAAAAACTGCAGTTCTTTGAACGGCCACTTGAGGCTGCCTCCAGACACCAGTCAATCCCCATTGACAACCATGTTAAATATCCAACTTTACAGCAGAAATAAACATGTTTACAGCCTGGTGCAACAAATGGTTTGGTCTCTATAGCTAATTTCCACCATTATGACGACTGTACAGGAGGTGAATTTTTATATAACTCACCTGTTGACATTTTTAAGGCTTTAAGTTATGCATAGTTGAAGGTGTGACAGGCTGTCTGCTGATAGTGTCCTTGGCCCCTCACTCCGATCCACGCCTCGCTCCTCCACAGCTCCAACCTCTTGCCCAAATATGTACTGTATGTGTGTGTATATGTCCTACTGTATTCAGTACAGTTCATATGTACTCTGGTATGGTACACATCTGGTGTGAACACCATCTGTACCAAAACAAGGAAGTGGACTGCTGTTTAACAGAACTAGGAAGAGTTTTTAACCTGTTATGAAACAGTTTCAAGTAAATACTGATGCCTCTATATCAGATGGCAGGAAAGACTTAGATCCGTCCTTGCTCCCGCCTTCGACCTGCAGTCAGAGCTCGGGTGGCAGTAGGTGGAGAGCTCCATGCCCTACAGCAGTGGCTCCTCCTCTGGCCAGGAGCAGAGCTTTTTCGACAGGGCCCTCACTCCTGGGCTGACCTGAATGCTTTGAAACTGTAAGGCTTCGATCATGGCTATTTTGAAGTGACGTGCGTGCTAACAAAGTGTCTAACTGTCATGTTGTTTTAAGCTGCATTGACTTATGTTCTCATCTCTTATTTACCGGGAAGCTTTGATTAATCGCAGCCCTTCTTCCCCGAATCTTTGGTGCCCAAAAACTGGTATTCAGGACAGCCCTACTCCTCCCTGCTGAATATGGTCTCTTGGCAGCAGTGTCCATGTGTGGCACCCTTTTTTGCGCTGTTGCCCCACAAAAATGTCACAATGATGATGCAAGTGTACCCAGGTATGGAGTGCGGTACGTTAACAAGTACGGTAGGAAGCAATCGTAACTAAAATGAAAATTATTTTAGGGAATATTTCACTGATATACCCGGCTTTTTCCGGGTCTGTTTAGTTGTGGTTTAGTCATGTTTTATCAGATAACATGTTGCCACAATAGAGAGTTATAGCATAAAACCTAGAGTTGCCATTTTTCAAAGATGCTCATCATTAATGAGAAAAAAATCTATCGTTAAAGAGCTCATTTCTTCGCTGACAGCGGCCTCATCAGAGCAGTATACAGTGCAACAACAAACTGAGCTGTAAAATAGTGAAAGCCCAGCAATCTGCCATTGCCTCACTCTTCAGCTGTGACATAGACGCAGTATTAACGTGACAAGATCATGCTCATTCTCTGCATGTAACTAAGACATTACTGTATATATAAAACCCATGAAGTAGATCGAAATCACGGCGCTGCTGGAATGCGTCGAAGATTGAAGATCACAATTTTATGATCCATAACAGGATCTCCGTATTTGAGCGTGCACTGCTTCTTTAAATGAAAGCGTAGTTACGGCGTGGTTTATCAGCACGACCCGCAGTGAGATGAGGCATAGCAACTATTAACATGTTAGCACTGGAGCAGAAAATAGGCTATGAAGGAAATGTCCTCTCCTCAGTTATTACTGTCATTTTCTTTCACTTCCATCTGTCTTACGGTTTCTATGTCGCTGCGTGTGAGGAGCTTATTTTCTTTCAAATTTCCACTTACCATCTCAGCAAGTCCAAAAAGAAAAGCCACCTCTTTATCCTGAGCTGTGGTGATGCAATATAGATAAGATGCGTCTATAATCATTGGACTGTGGCAGTGTAGTAAACTTTATTTGTGTTTGTTAGAAGCCTTTTTTAAATACCAGAGTGGATACATATTCCTTTCATCACATCTTTATCACCTGATAGTAAACTCTGTACTTTTTGTCCATCATGAGACCCTGTAGGAATGATGAATTCTGCAGGACTTTTTTCCAGTAAGTTGATTGGATCCGATTCTCTGAAGTTAACTCTTTAAATTAAAACTTTCTTGTGATATTTTTATGTCTTCACGTTGGCGACAGCTGTGGTGAGAGGTGTTATGTCTTCAGGTCATCCATCTGACCCATTCTCATGAATTCAATATCTCAGGAAGAACTTGAGGGAATTTCATCAATTTTGGCACAAACGTCCACCTGGATTCAGCAGTGATCTAATTAGAACCACATTTTTGGCCATTACTCAAGAATTCATACAGTAATTACGGAAATTAATTAACTAATAGGATGAAACGATCATGAGATAACTATAGACTGAATAAAATAATGGACGTAGATCAAAGTTGCTAGTAGGACTAGTGGTGCAATGGATAATGTGTCTGACTACGGATCAGAAGATTCTAGGTTTGACTGCTGTCTAGCTTGTATGAATCTTTTGTAATTTTCCCCCACTGTGGGATAAATAAAGGATTACCTTATTATTAAGCGTAACTTAAAGTCACAATAAAATGTAAACGGGTGAGTTACATAAAAAATTCACCCCCCGTACTGTTATGATAAAGGGGGAGATTAGCTAAAGAGACCAAAATGTTTATTTTTGCTGTGAAGTAGGACATTTTAACATGTGTTTTGACTCACTCTTGGAGCCAGCCCCAAGTGGCCTGCTAGAGGAAGTGCAGCTTTTGGCACTACCATACTAGCTTCATTTTTCAGCCTGCTGCTGGATGGTTCCCGACCTTTCTAGTTAACGGACCCTTTTTTATGATTCAGTGAGGTGACGACCCCTGACTGAGTGACATATTTAATGGATATTTCAGTCTTGATTTTTTTTTTTTAAACTGGTGGCATCCTGTTAATTAACGTAATGTTTCTGTTTTGTTTTTGTTTTTTTTTTATAATTGCTGAGCAAACTGTTGTTAATGAGCTGCTACTGTTTCTGTTATTGTACAGATTTCTTTCTTAGAGTGTGGGCCTGTGTAGTTTTCCTGCAGTGAGCCATTAGTTAACAGCTGATGAGATGTTACTATGGCGCAAATAAATCCGTATTAATAATTAATGTTTGTGTCAAATCTTAAAAATATTAATGAACATCACTGAATTTTAATATTTATATTCATTATTCTACTACCTGACTGAGTCACCAGGGCCCAGTTGTTCACGTAATCTGATCGGATCTGATCAAATCTTGAAAATTGGTTGTTCAAAAGGAAAAGGATTCTGAAATCAGATAAGATCATGAAATCAAGTCTTTGTTTTCATCTGGATCAAAACCTTCACTATCTGTTTCGCAGGATCTGGATACCTTTGATCTGAAAAATGAGGATTATTGTGATCCAAACAGAAGGCTGGATTTGGGGTGCATTTCAGGAGGAAAATGTAATAAAACTTTTTTTCTCTCTCTTTAAACATAAAACTGGCTGCATGGTGATACAGTGGTTAGAGTTGTCACCTCAAGAGGATTTGAACCCCAGGGTGTGGGAGCCCCTCTGTGCAGAGCCTGCATGCTCTCCCCTTGTCTGCGGGGTTTTCTCCAGGTACTCTTGCTTCCTCCCACAGTCCAAAGACATGCAGGTTAATTGGTGACTCTAAATTGTCCGTAGGTGTGAATGTGAGTGTGAATGGTTGTCTGTCTCTATGTGTCAGCCCTGTGATAGTCTGGTGACCTGTCCAGGTTGTACCCTGGGATAGGCTCCAGCCCGCACGACCCCTAACAGGATAAGTAAGAACTTTAAGAAATTACTTAAAGTTATAATCTCAAATTTCTTTGTTTTGTTCTCTTTGGCGACACCTGTGGCGATAAGTGGTAATTGCAGTGTTTGTTGACAGAATGCCAACATAGTGATTTGTCACCCACACGAAGTAATCTTGAAAAGTTTGTATTTAGATCAGGATGCTCCAGTCCAATGTTGATCTTCAAAACCGTCACAAAAGGAAGATGAATCGGCTGATCCTGGACGGCAGAACATAGGATTTCCAAATACAAATCAGTCTGATCCAGATTGAAGTTAACAGCTGGGCCTAGATTTATATTCTGGTGCTTTTGAACGCAAAGCACCATCTTCGCACACAAAGCTCATGTAGAAAAGTCCAAACAAACACTGGTAATGAAGCGCCAGGCTGCACAATATCTGTCGTAATATTTGAGTTGGTCTTGTGCGTCTGTGGGGGGGATATTTTAAATACCCAAACCTTCCTGTGCGAGCAGTCACTGCTTTGCTGTGAAGGCCTGTGTGCCCTGTTAACTGTGAAAAGGGGAAGTTATGTCAAGAAAGGAAATTGTCAGATGATCATATGAACAGCAGATCTGCAGCCCACACTGGCAGGCAGGCAGGCTCTCTGAAACCACACACACTCAGTCACAGGATCACTGCAGCACTGAACACACACACACACACACACATACACACCCATGCATTGTAAATGAAACCACGAAAAGGCACATAAGACACAGGAAGCCCATCAGCAACTGTATGGACTAAAAAAAGGAGACTCGCTTTAGAATCGTCACAAACCTGAGTAAGAAAAGTAGGGTAAGTAACTCATATGTATTATTTAACAAACATTATTTTATTGTTTAGTGTGCTGCTGTTTTTTCTTTCTTGATGTGACTCTATATCCAGCAAAGTGCTCCAGTGGATTACCTTTAAACAAGATAATTTACTTCTTTTGTGGTGTTTCTTGCTGTCATGGCATGAGCACACATAGTCAATACAGCATCCTTTTAAGCACTCAGGAATCCCGTAATGTACGCAGATATTCCCTAGGGCGTGTCACATTATCTCCCTCTGGCCTTTTGTCTTTCACCCGTTACACTGAACGAGCATCTTAAAACGCAGTACAATAGGACTCGAACACTCGCATCACTGCCTGACACTGCACTGCGGTTTTGTTTTTTAATTGAAGGTCAGATTTTTAGTTGAGAAGATAATCTGGAGGAGAGGAGGAAGGAGGAGTTACTTCTGGTGAGTCTAATGATGCGTTTTGTTTACTTGTTTTAAATCAAATTGTTGTGATTTGTTGTCATATACTTTCAACATTTAAACATGCAACCATGCAAACTTATGACAGATGCGTCGCACTGATTGGTTTTGTGGTTGTTTTATAAGATTTAATGAGGTCATGGGAGTGAAGTAGGGAATCAGTTTTACCACCGGCACCGACTGTCTCTTAATCTGTCTTAGTCTGTAGCGCAGTGTGTGAGAAAATGCCTCTGCACACACAACTGAACAACAAAGAGGTTTGAAAATACTTCATCTATCTTGGTAAAGGCCTCTGCATGGGTGGACAATAGTCTGTAAGTCTCCTTTAAAAAATAATCCAAGCCACACTAAGATTCATTTATTTTATTTTACATGGCATTTTGTGTTTGAAATGAATGGTCATTTTAGGGCGAGGCACCCCAGGTGAAAACATCATGTTTTCATGCACTGGTCAATGTTAAGGTTTCAGACTGTTCTGCTTCCATAACATATTTTCTGTCAGACTAGTGGAAAGAAAACGTCTAAAATCCACGTTTATTCCAGTTCAGATTTCTATTATTGGAATTCAGAGGTTGAAGGAGTGCTCAGATCTTGCAGTGAAAGTCCGTCATTCAGAAAAAATGTACGTTTAAGTATCAAAATTAAATTCAGTCATTGTGCAGAATGGCTTTTTTCACAGTATTATATGTTTATTTAACATATCCTGTTTTTATCACTGATGAATACACGGAAGAGTATTTTTATATTGTAGTTCAATGTGGAGGCAGTTTCAGATACATATCGACGTTTGGTCATGGACTTTCCACGCCCAGATATGATGTGCAAGGTACCCTGGGTGCATTGGTTGTTGACGTTCTGCGATGACGTGTCAAGTTCTGCCTTTTACATGAATTGGTTGATTTCAAAATACACTTTAGTTATCACAGGACATTTACCATTTACATACAGTCTCTTTCAAAATAAACACACTACGCCAGAGCAACACTGCGAATTGATGTTTTTTTCCTTCAACAACAAACACATGGTTGGGTTTAGGCAACAAAAACAGGGTTTGGCTTTAGAATCTTACGGGAAGCAAAGTTGGTATTTGTTGGACTCATCCACCCCGCCTTATCTTTCGTTCGACACATAGTGACAGACGGCGCTTGGGCAGACATGCGCCATTAAACTATAATGGCACCGGCCACGTATCATGCTGAAGGACAGCTTTACAGTATTTCCTCTGAGATGTGGTGGAGGAGAAGTATAAAGTTGCATAAAACAGAAATATTCAAGTAAGTGCAAGAACCTCAAATTTATACTTAAGTGCAGCACTTGAGTAAATGTACTTAGTTACCTCCCACCTCTGTGGTAATTTATGCAAAAAGCTCATATTTATTTAGATAATATCTAATTCACATCTTTAAACATAAAATTTCAGTTCACTAATGATAATATAATTAATGTAAGTAATTCAACAAGGAAGTTTAATGGTGATATCTATATTTTAAGTCTTGCTGCTGTGAAACTAACAAAAAAGTTTGTCTTGGGTGCATTGCTACAATAGACAAACAAGTAAAGACAGCAGAGGAGACACCACACACCAATGTAACTGGGTTACAAAGCCACAGAGTGGTCCACAGGCTGAGATCAATGCAAAAATAGTCACTTCATACAAGACATCTGTGCATTAAAAAGGTTTCTCAAAGTGCAAAAATGATAAAGAGTGAGTAAAAAAAGCAGCAAACGTTTCAGTTCTTGACTATCATCAGTGCATTGACCCTTTTTATGCACAGATGACATACATCCAGTAAATAAATTAGTTTTAAATACTGTTTTGTCAGTGAAAACAAATGTTTACATCCATGTTAAGATGAGATGAGACTGAAGAATTGTAAAGAATACACTCAGGTTTTGTTGGGAAACCATCTTTTCTAAAAATATACTATATACATATACTTCTCTGTTTTTTCTTTGTCGCTGCGCTACATATTCCTTTGGTGATGATCTGGAGTCTTACAGTGTCTGGTGAGTCACTAATTCCCCATTTCGTGACTGAAAAGGGGAACCAGCGAAGATTAGGTCTCCGTTATCCAGAACGTGGTTCCCTTAAGATCAAAATGTCATTTTATAGTGATCAGCATTGCAGGAATATTTATTCACTCACTGATTCTGTTTCTGTTTAACCCATACTGTACTATGATTCAGTTACTCTGCAAAGAAGTGACTACCAGACTTGGTGCTGTGTGTTCGGCTGTCATGGAATTCTCCCTGTAAATACACCCCTTTGTTAGTCACTGCAGGATGAAGCATCACATGTCCTGTCTGTGCCCTTGAAGGCCGTGAAGTGGTCCCCTGCTGATACAAACACATAGTAACCGATGTTAAAGCACAAACATTAAACACGTTGTCCTGCATTGGTGGCTCTCAAGCGTGTTGACCCGATGACACAGTTGGGAGTTATGTGCAATTTTCAACTGTTTGAGGCTTGAAGAGATTAGTAGAAAATATTCTGTGTGGCAGAAATATGTTCTTCTCTTCTGCTAACACTGATACACCCAAAACTCAGCTGACTGTCTGCTCACACACTCCCGCACCAGCCTCCCCATTCAGCAAAGAATCTCCTCCCCCGGCCTCTCTCTACTCCAACCTGCAACCTCTGATCCGCCGACGCAGACTTCCTCGTCCCTCTCACCCGGTCCAAACGCCAGACCCCGGGGTGGCCATGGCCTCCGAAACTCTCCTCTCTTTTAAAACCCACCCACAGCAACAACCAACAGCCTGACATTGATAAGCAGCTGAGCGTTGGTTTGGTGTGAGTTGCTGAGTGTTGGAGACATCGGCCGTCTGCCTTCTCTCCAGTATAATGGAGATATACCACTGTAAACAAACTGGAAATCGCTGGTTTCGGTTCAGCGCCGGAAGTTGCACCCATAATTCACGCCAGGTATCATGGGAGCTAGGACTAATGTGGATAAAGAGTTATTTCCTCTCATGCAGGCGCAGAACGTACGTGCAAGTTGGTCGTTAGCTGTAGCCTTTGGGGTGTGTTCAGGTACACTTTTAGGCCAAGACACAAGCGACGTGAGGTGATGCAACACTCGACATTTGAGCCTTAAGAGGCTAAAGTGTTCCTTTAATCTTATCCATCAGCCCCTCTACCTTTTAAGTGCCTTTGAGTGCCTTCTACAGTGCTATACAAATGCAATGTATTATTATCATTGTGTTTCCATAACTCCTAACTCACAAGTTTGAAACCACTGGTCTACACAAAGTATATTTTCCTACACTTAAGAAGACATGGCTCTTTAAAAGTGGAAATCTGTGATAGGGGATTGGTTGATGGAACTTCCTCTGTACCTCTTGCTGTCAAATTAACTGGATCTGTTGTTTGTTGTGTGAATGATGTGCTGTATCTCTCTGCAGACGGCTGGAGCACAAGGTGAAGATGGACAAGTCAGAAATGTTTGGCTTCTCTCTGGAGTCAGACGACAGGACGGAGGAGGAGAAAGCACGGCAGAAAGAGGCAAAGAAGGGCGGCCTGGTTTCTGCCCTGGGATTGGGTCAGGAGTCGCCCAAGGCTCCCATGGACACTGATTACCAGGAGGAAATGGAGGACCCCAAGCCTCAGATTAGATTCAATCTTAATTTTGACAAGTGAGCCTCACCATGCAGTGAAGTGATCTCATACCGTGATGCTGCGTAGTATCAAGCCCCACAGTGTTGATTCATGTGGAGTGTGATGCTGCTCAACCTTTGGCCCACATGTTCTGTATAATGTGTTTTGCTGACAGAGGGATTCGAGGCGTGGGGGAGCCCAGCACGAAGAGAGACAGCAAGACGTTCAGCATCGACAGGTTGTTTGAAGCAGCAGCCAGCAGGGACGCCCGAAACCTGGATGGCCTTCATCAGTACCTGCACCAGAATATGAAGAAGCTGTCTGACTCTCTGTGTGAGTGTGACACCCATCATGCAACAGCTGCACCAAACAGTGAGCATGTAGTCCTGTGTGTTATCTCCCTGAATGTGTGGTTACATCTGCAGATCAGTCGTATGGTAAAACTGCCCTGATGAAGGCTCTGCTGCACCTCAAGGACGGCAAGAACGAGACAGTGGAACTGTTAATCGACATTTCAGAGAAGATGGGAGACGTTAAAGAGTTTGTTAATGCAGCATACACCAACACCTACTACAAAGGTAAACTCACTGTGGAAGAATATAAGTGCCATGCGTAAGGGAAAAATGAGAGGAGGGATATTTTTTTAATCTTCCTGGCAATAAAGTCTAAATGACGAAAAGTTTAAGTTGAAATGTCTCGAATGAAGTCGAAATATTGAGACAATAAAGTCAAAATATCGAGAATAATATCAAAATGTGGAGAAAAAGTTGAAATGTGAAGAATAAAGATGAAATATTGAGAAAATATGGTCAAATTGTTGAGAATACATTTGAAATGTCGAGAAAATAAAGTCAAAATGGTGACATAAAGTTGAAATGTCCAGAATAAAATTGAAATTTTGAGAGAATAAAGTTGAAATAGAGAAGAGTTGTAGAGAAGATCAAGTTGAAATTTTAAGAATAAAGCTGAAGATATCAAGAAAATTAAAATATCAAAAATAAGTTAGAAATATTGAGAAAATCAAGTCAAAATGTCAAGAATAAAGTCAAAATATGGAAAACTTAAAGACAAAAGGCAAAGAATAAACTCGAAATGTTGAGAATATAAAGTCAAAATGTCAAGATTAAAATCAAAACGTTCAGAAAATAAAGTCGAAAAGTTAAGACTTAAGGAAAAAGTCAAATGTTGAAAAAATAAAGTCAAAATGTCAAGAAATAAATCAGAAATAGTCAAGATGTCAAGAATAAAGTAAAAATGTTTAGAATAAAGTCAAAATATGGAAAAAATAAAGTTGAAATGTCGAGAATTAACATAAAATATGTCGAAAATCAAGTCAAGACGTCAAGAATGAAGTCAAAATGTCGAGATTTAAGTCAATGTTGAGAAAATAAAGTCAAAATGTTGAAAAAAATTAAGTCTAAATATTGAGAATAAAGTCAAAATATCAACAAAATGATGTCCAAATATGGAGAAAAAAGTTGACATGTTGCCCATTAAGTTGAAATGTTGAGAAAAAAATCAAACTTCCAGTGCTAGTGCCAGGCATAAGAACAAATAAATCAGCGGAGGAAGATTTTTTTGCATTATGAGATTAAAGTTGAAATGTCGAGAATGAACTTGATATTTCAAGTTTAAAGTCATGTCAACTGAAATAGCTGGTAAATGGACAGATGCAAGGGTATCCATGGTTACACATGTGTGCAATACAGAGAAGATATGTTTCATCACAAGATACAATTTGATGGAGCGGAGGAGATGATGACTTTACTCCCACATTCTGACTCTATTCTCAACATGCTGGAATCACTAATAGTGAAAATCAGACTTTACTCTCAACATTTAAACTTTATTTTTGATGCAAAATAAAAATAATCTTCCTCCTCTCATTGTCCCGTCACGTCTGGCCCCAGTGCTCCTCTGTAATATAAAGCAGATTTGTTGTGAGAATAAACTCTTGCAGCATTCTTTGATTCCCTGACTGTGTTGCAGAGGTGGGTAGTAACTAGTTACATTTACTCAGTTACATTTACTTGAATAACTTTTTGGATAAATTGTACTTTTCAGAGTAGTTTTAATGCAAAATACTTTTTACTTTTACTTGAGTTATATTGTTTTAAAGCAACATTACTCTTACTTGAGTACAATATTTGGCTACTCTACCCACCTCTGAGTACATAATTACATATATGTATATACACACAGTATATATAAGAATATATTTGTGTTTCTTGTGCCTTGATTTATGTTATGTTTGTAAAGATTTAATTTATTTTTGTTTTAGTTAAAGGTATCGTTTAAAATACACGAATTTGCAGATTATTATTTTTGATTGATTGATTACGTTCATGTTCTTATTTTACAAATAAATCAGATGTTACTCAACAGTTACTCAGTACTTGAGTAGTTTTTTCACCAAATACTCTTTTACTTTTACTCAAGTAATTATTTGGATGACTACTTTTTACTTTTACTTGAGTAATATTGTTCTAAAGTATCAGTACTCTTACTTGAGTACAATATTTGGCTACTCTACCCACCTCTATATATATATATATATATATATATATATATATATATATATATATATATGTGTGTGTGTGTGTGTGTGTGTGTGTATATATATATATATATATACACACACACACATATATATATATATACAGTACAGGCCAAAAGTTTGGACACACCTTTTCATTCAATGTGTTTTCTTTATTTTCATGACTATTTACATTGTAGATTCTCACTGAAGGCATCAAAACTATGAATGAACACATGTGGAGTTATGTACTTAACAAAAAAAGGTGAAATAACTGAAAACATGTTTTATATTCTAGTTTCTTCAAAATAGCCACCCTTTGCTCTGATTACTGCTTTGCACACTCTTGGCATTCTCTCGAGCTTCAAGAGGTAGTCACCTGAAATGGTTTTCCAACAGTCTTGAAGGAGTTCCCAGAGGTGTTTAGCACTTGTTGGCCCCTTTGCCTTCACTCTGCGGTCCAGCTCACCCCAAACCATCTCGATTGGGTTCAGGTCCGGTGACTGTGGAGGCCAGGTCATCTGCCACAGCACTCCATCACTCTCCTTCTTGGTCAAATAGCCCTTACACAGCCTGGAGGTGTGTTTGGGGTCATTGTCCTGTTGAAAAATAAATGATCGTCCAACTAAACGCAAACCGGATGGGATGGCATGTCGCTGCAGGATGCTGTGGTAGCCATGCTGGTTCAGTGTGCCTTCAATTTTGAATAAATCCCCAACAGTGTCACCAGCAAAACACCCCCACACCATCACACCTCCTCCTCCATGCTTCACAGTGGGAACCAGGCATGTGGAATCCATCCGTTCACCTTTTCTGCGTCTCACAAAGACACGGCGGTTGGAACCAAAGATCTCAAATTTGGACTCATCAGACCAAAGCACAGATTTCCACTGGTCTAATGTCCATTCCTTGTGTTTCTTGGCCCAAACAAATCTCTTCTGCTTGTTGCCTCTCCTTAGCAGTGGTTTCCTAGCAGCTATTTGACCATGAAGGCCTGATTGGCGCAGTCTCCTCTTAACAGTTGTTCTAGAGATGGGTCTGCTGCTAGAACTCTGTGTGGCATTCATCTGGTCTCTGATCTGAGCTGCTGTTAACTTGCGATTTCTGAGGCTGGTGACTCGGATGAACTTATCCTCAGAAGCAGAGGTGACTCTTGGTCTTCCTTTCCTGGGTCGGTCCTCATGTGTGCCAGTTTCGTTGTAGCGCTTGATGGTTTTTGCGACTCCACTTGGGGACACATTTAAAGTTTTTGCAATTTTCCGGACTGACTGACCTTCATTTCTTAAAGTAATGATGGCCACTTGTTTTTCTTTAGTTAGCTGATTGGTTCTTGCCATAATATGAATTTTAACAGTTGTCCAATAGGGCTGTCGGCTGTGTATTAACCTGACTTCTGCACAACACAACTGATGGTCCCAACCCCATTGATAAAGCAAGAAATTCCACTAATTAACCCTGATAAGGCACACCTGTGAAGTGGAAACCATTTCAGGTGACTACCTCTTGAAGCTCATGGAGAGAATGCCAAGAGTGTGCAAAGCAGTAATCAGAGCAAAGGGTGGCTATTTTGAAGAAACTAGAATATAAAACATGTTTTCAGTTATTTCACCTTTTTTTGTTAAGTACATAACTCCACATGTGTTCATTCATAGTTTTGATGCCTTCAGTGAGAATCTACAATGTAAATAGTCATGAAAATAAAGAAAACGCATTGAATGAGAAGGTGTGTCCAAACTTTTGGCCTGTACTGTATATATATATATATGTAATATATTCTACGGCGTAGTATATGTAAGAATATATTTGTGCTTCTTGTGCCTTGATTTATGTTATGTTTGTAAAGATTTAATTTATTTTTGTTTTAAAGGGATATCGTTTAAAATACATGAATTTGCAGATTATTATTTTTGATTGATTGATTACGTTCATGTTCTTATTTTACAAATAAATCAGATGTTACTCAACAGTTATTCAGTACTTGAGTAGTTTTTTCACCAAATACTCTTTTACTTTTACTCAAGTAATTATTTGGATGACTACTTTTTACTTTTACTTGAGTAATATTGTTCTAAAGTATCAGTACTCTTACTTGAGTACAATATTTGGCTACTCTACTCACCTCTGCTGTGTTGTGACTGACAGGCCAGACCGCTCTCCATATCGCCATTGAGAGGAGGAGTATTTCCTACGTGAAGCTGCTGGTCAGTAAAGGAGCAGACGTCCACGCCAAAGCCTGTGGAACATTCTTCCAGCCACACGATGGCCCCAGCTTCTACTTTGGTGAGTGCATGCTGCTGCAGGGAGGAGCGCCCACACAAAGATCATCTACTGTTAGTTGCTAAACTTTTTGTGTGACACTGATCTTAAAGCAACACATTTTTAGTATTTCTTACTTAAATCTAAAATTGCATTTCATTATTTTCCTTTCAAATTATTATATTTTACTTTGTGTTAATTTAAGACAAAATAAGGGACAGTACAGCGCTGCTTGTGACATTTACAGGATTGTAGCAGAGGTGAGATATTTTCAAAACAACACCGCCACCAACTGTTGATATGTAATACTGCATCTGTACACAGGTGTCGTCATACAGTACAGGGACCCTTTCCAATATCAGGGCTCCCACACATTTTCATGGACAGAATTTCCAAACTTTTTCATGACTTTCTGAGGATATAAGGATTATAAGGACTGATTTTTTCCTTGCCCCACTTGCTCGGCATTATTCCAAACATATCAGATTCAAAGACAAACCCAGGGAGAAAATGAGGAAACATACGTGATGGTAAACAAAATGTTGTCACAAGTTGACACATTAAAGTTACATTAAGTTGACAGTTAGGTTACGTTACATGGAAAGACGAAGAAGAAGATATATTTTATTAATCCCCGAGGGGAAATTAAATTTTTTCACTCTGTTGTCATGCACACACAGGCCCGAAATACACACACATGCACAAACAGGACCTATACATGCATTAAATGGAGAGATGTCAGAGTAAGGGTGGCTGCCAATGGACAGGCACCCCGAGTGGTTTGGTGCTTTGCTCAAGCGCACCTAGTGTCCAGGAGGCACCTCTTCAGCTACCAGTCCATGCTCCATGTTTGGTCCGGATGGGAACTTGAGCTGGCAACCCTCTGGTTCCCAAACCAAGTCCCTATGGACTGAGCTACTGCCGCCCCATAGAAGGTTATCTATAGAAGATTATTGTAACAATATCATTATATAAAACAAAATTCCATGACTTTTTTTCAAAACTGTCAATGAATTTGACTAATTCCATGACTTTTCCAGGCCTGGAAAATGTTTTCCATGACCGTGGGAACCCTGCAAGATGCAAAGTCTCTGAGTTACATTGAAAAATTTGCCAATTAAAAGTCTGATGAGAATTCACAAAAGGATTGTACAGCCTCCCCAAGGAAGAGGAAAAAACTGTAATTCTCCAAACACTCCATATAAAGGGAATTTAAAAAAAAATAATATTGCAAGCATGGCCATTCTCAGCTTCCGTACAGCCTCTCTCTCCACCCCTATACATATAAACTGCATTTATTATTGTACAGTAATGTTGTACAGCACATACAATACCTCCACACACATACAAAGTAGAATAACAATAATAATGTTTAGTATAAAATGAGTTTAGAAACAAATAAAATCTGTACATCAATCTGCACACTGTACATAAAACATCCAAGTGAAGTAACAATGAGCAGAACACATTTTTGAATTGGAGTGTCTGGCGTCAGTCTCAAAGCTCGGCTGTAAAAAGGTCATGTTTGTACTTTTATGGATTGGATGTAGACATTTCAGACAGAGATGCATTTGAATCAGTTAGACAGAAAGAAAATCAAATAGAGTCTCTCTCTCTCTCTCTCTCTGTCGTCCTCAGGTGAGCTGCCTCTGTCTCTGGCAGCCTGCACCAACCAACCCGACGTGGTGGACTTCCTCATGGAGAACGGGTACCAGTCAGCGGATGCCAAGCTGACCGACTCTCAGGGAAACACGGTGCTGCACGCCCTGGTGGTGGTGGCTGACAACTCTACGCACAACACCGAGTTCATTACCAACATGTATGACCGCATCCTCAAGACCACCGCCCGCCTGCACCCCAAGCTGAAGCTGGAGGACATTGAGAACCACAAGGGGCTGACGCCTCTCAAGATGGCTGCCAAGACTGGAAAGATCGGGGTAAAGAGACACAGCAGAGTAGATTTGTGCTGAGGCCCAGGGCCAACAATGTACTATGGGCCTTAAGGGACTGCCCATTTGTCTGACAGCCCATTATCCTATAACCCAGGTAGTCCGAATAATGTCCCATTGGACCGATAGTCAGTTTGTCTGACAGCTTGTTACCCTAAAAACAAACGCAATGCTCATAAAATCTCCCTACAGTTAGAAAGATCCATGGCCTGCAATCAGCGACATGGAATTATGGAGCAAGTCTTCTAAACTAAATGACAAAATTAGTCGCTTTGATCTAATGCTTCTATCAACACATCATTTGTCTGTGCCTCCCAAAATCAAACCTGTTGTATGATGTGACTTGGTGCTGGTAAAGGTTTAGGCACAGAAACAGCTGGGTTAGGTTTCAGGAAAGGGTTAAAAAATGCACTTGGCAAAAGGGTAATGGAGTCTTCCAAACCCACCAGACTCCATGTAAATAAACAGTAATTTTATCATCATAAAACACACGTCATTCAGAGTCGACAGAAACAAAATAAAACTCGCAGAAGACATCTTGGTTTGTCTTTCAACTGTTCCAACAATCACCATCTCTGATTTGGTTGAAATAAACCCTTAATTTACCCAGGGAGATGTGATAATATGCTGACTGACTATGCTGACGCTTAAATGACTGTGTTTTTAAATGGAGCTTGGTGGGTGTGGCGATAATGATTTTGGGGCTGTTTTGGTTAAACAAAAAGAATCTTACTCTTTAACAAAAGGTCTGTCTCAGTAGGGATCGTTTCCATAATGCTGTCAGACACTTAAAATAACAATCTGAGCCTGTCAGTGACAAAAACGAGCACTTTTGGTGGACGTACATTGACGGTGGGAACATGCCACGAGTGGTTACACTGCAGCCTGTTCTGCTCAATATTGGACCAATTTTAAAAACTGTTGCTCCCATTAGTCACTTAGACACAAAACATGCAATAATAGGTATGCTCACATAATCCTGTTTGAGCTACAACAGATAGAGTACTGTCAACAAACTGTTACCACTGGAAATCGCCGGTTTCAGTTCAACGCTGGAAGTTGCAAAATTTACGCAAGGTATCATGGGGGCTAGGAATAAGGTGGATACAGTAGGCCATTTCTTAACATTTTATTCATTTTATGTGAAGAAAGCTTAATCAAAGTGGGTTTTTTTTAAGTTAAAATTATTGTTCATGGTAATACAGACAGAGACTCTTACAAAAAGTTCTCAAAACTATCAGGAAATTAACCTTTGATGCAAAATTTACAGGAAATAATCTGCTCAGAATTCATCCAAATCGCTTGTTTTGCACAAACTTCCTGCTGTTATTGCGTTCACTGTTTGAGTTAATCGTAGAGTTTAGCAGTTGCTCTGTGCTGTTATTGTTATTCATTGAATATAATATGAAATATCTATTAAATATGTCACGTAGCCAGGGGTCGTCAGTTTACTCAATGATAGGAAAGGGGTCCCTTAAGAAAGACAGGTTGGGAATCACTGCCCTGAGTCATGATGTTAGTCCCCAAACTACCCATGCCATACGAATGACCTCCCGGGCCTCCAGCTCCTCTAACAACCCGAAAAGTTATCTTTTGGGGAGTGCTGTGAGCCCCTGGATTGCTGTCTTCAGTCTTGCTAGCTACGGACACATTTTCAGTCTCGATGTGACTGAACATTCTCTGACTTTTCATTTGTCTGCAGCTTTTTTCACACATCCTGCAACGGGAATTCCAAGACAGCAACACCAAACATTTGTCCCGTAAATTCACCGAGTGGGTTTACGGGCCCGTCCACAGCTCCCTGTATGACCTGGCCTCCGTGGACTCATATGAGGATAAGTCCGTGATGGAGATTCTGGTGTACGGCAGTGACATCCCTGTGAGTCCCAGCGTTACGAGCCCGGTCAGTCAGAACAGCTGCTGTCGTTACTCTGCACTCAAACATGTGTCTCCTCTCAGAACCGCCACAAGATGCTGCAGACGGAGCCTCTGGGCCAGCTGCTGGAGGAGAAGTGGAGGACGTTTGCAGGCCGAATGTTTTTCCTCAACTTCTTGGTCTACATCCTGTACCTGACCATCTTCACTCTTGTAGCCTACAATAGGAAATTTGGAAAGGTGAGCTCAGCTGCTACGAACTGTGTGACTGATGTGTGTAACCATCTCAGAAAGGCTGAGGGTGGTTATGTTTCTTCTCTGCCCCACAGCCGCCATTTCCTGTCGAAAACAACTTAATGGGTTACCTGGATCTTTCAGGCCAGCTAGTGATGGTGCTGGCAAACTGCTATTTCTTTCTCGTAGGGGTATGTATGTGACTGGGTGTTGTTGAATTAAAATTCAATGGCTCGTATCACCACCTTGTCATTCCAGTAATGTGATTTATCAAAAAACAATAGGTCGCAGAGATGAAGAGGAAACAGCCAAAGCTGCAGACGTTGCTGATTGATGGATATTATGAGATACTTTTGTAAGTAGTAACACTTATCTCCCAGACGTGGTCAAAATTAAAAGTTTTCATGTGATCTGAATTTACATTCAGTGTTTTTCTCTAGAACACACTGTCCTTGTGCTGAATGCAACATTTGCAAAGCAGATTTTCTTAAAACGTTTGATTGTGCGTGTATACATTTACGTTTGCTAGCTAGCAGTCTTTTTCTTCACTGTCGTTGACATCTTGCTACGCATGCAGCCTCGGCGCCAGAAGAAAATGTTGGCATAGTCCGTTTCTGATAGGTTACATTTGTACGTATCATATCAACATTTCTAAAGTCACACATTCTGATTACAAGCACTGTGCATGAGATGACTTTGTCATAGGGAGGTGGAGGGGATGGTGGATGGTGTTACACCTAATTGAGATAGCTGCCAAGCTGCAGACAACTGTTCAAGACCAACAAACAATCAATCAATCAATCAATTTCAATCAATCATTTTTATTTATAAAGCCCAATATCACAAATCACAATTTGCCTCACAGGGCTTTACAGCATACGACATCCCTCTGTCCTTATGACCCTCACAGCGGATAAGGAAAAACTCCCCCCAAAAAAAAACCTTTAACGGGGGGGAAAAAAAAAAACAACAACAACAAAACCATTTCTTCTTTGGTGGAGAGAGCAAATAAAGACATGAGGCAGCTTTTATGGCCTGGACGGCCCAGGTGAGATTAACAGAGGCAACAAACCTCCCATGTCAAACAACTGCCTGATGAGGTTGGCTGGAACATCCTCAAAGACAATGGGAGGGCCGTCACACTAAGCATAAAGCAGAAATGAGGTGGCACAGTGGCACCTCTGCTTTATGCTTTGCATAAGATGGAGTAACTGCTTTACATTGTAAACAGTAGATCATGGCTCGGGAAAGAGACGCTTATTATAATCATAGATATGGCAATTTGATTTAATTTGCACTTATTTCCCTTCAGGGATGAGTAACATAAAACAAACAACACAGTATTAATTGGCCTCAGGGCTACATGATTAAAGACCACATGGTTTTTGAAGGTGAAATACTTTATTTTATCCTTTTAAAGCATAAATTGATGCCTTTGCCAGAGACCAAATTCATAGCCAGAATACACCAAATTGTACCATTTAAAAAAAACAAAGTGAAGTGACCAATTCGTGCTGCGATAGCCAATCAGCATTGAGATTCTCCGCAGACATATGACGCTGATGACGTACCAGCAGAAGTTCACTCACTGATTCATCGACTCATCAAAAACACAAAACATTCTAGCGTTCAAAATCGCGCGAGTAACACAACGCAAAAAATTTGCATCGCATTTGATGTGAACACACCTTTACACTGCCCCTCTGGGGTTCCACCTGGGTGTAATCAGAAATGTGCTCTGTTGACCCATGACCACACCTGACAGTGATGTAATGGTGCACTGGCACACGCTGGAGTACACCTCCACCAGCAGAGGTCAGCAAAGCAAGATTTTCATGGGGCAGCATATTCAAAAACACAAAATGATCACCAAATAACTGGGATTTACTGAACAGCACAGACTGATGACATGTAACGGCTTCAGATGATCAGGGGATGGATTGTTTTTTTAAAATGTGTCATTTTGTTTTTGTACTTGCACACATACGATACAGTAAAATATCAAACCTCGTGTTTTACAGCATTGTCATAATTTGAAATCAAAAAGCTGTGCAGAATCTCAGTCGTCTTCTCTGCTCTTGATAGTTTGTTGCAGGGCGCCCTCTTCCTGGTCACAGCCGGGCTGTATCTGTTCAGGCGGCAGGAGTACATTGGCTTCCTGGTGCTGTGTCTCGCTCTCAGCTGGGTCAACACACTCTACTTCTCCAGGGGCAGCAGACACATGGGCATCTACAGCATCATGATACAGAAGGTAGTCCACACAGGCTGCACCGCACCGCAGTGAACATCCCAGTGAACGATCCACACTGAAGCCTTTTGTCCTGTTTCTTTCTTTGCAGATGATCCTCAGTGATATCCTGCGCTTTATTGTTGTCTACCTCGTCTTCCTCTTTGGATTTGCAGCAGGTATGCCCTCCCAAAATGCTCTGATGCTAAAATATAACTCAGAGGGTAATATTATCAAGATTTTCACTTGATAATTTACTCACTTTGCTTTAATGATTTGAAATTTAGCAGATCTATTACTCTCCTAAACAAATGAAGGACATATTGAGATATAAACTTGTCATAAAAGCGGCCATGAACAGGATCTTGCACACATCGTTGGTACTGGCGGGACGTCGGTTTTTCCGTAAATGTCGGATATCATGCCCATTAGGTAGATGGTATTTCCTGCTTGGAGTGTGTATTTTGTACCACTTTCTGTGTCCTCTATGTGGCGTCAGAGAACACACACTAATTACATGTCATGTTGCTGTATATCATGTGTAGACCACACCATGTAAATTTAATGTAAATTAGTGATCTTTGTCACATCTGGCTGACTTCCTGTTGTCTGTAGGTGGTGATATGAGTCAGGATGGGCCTGTAGATGTCTTCAGGCTTAGACTTTTATCCAGCATGTGAAATCTGGGGCAGATTGAATTGTGTGCAGTCAGTAGCTTCCTGTGTCGTGTAAAGACATCGAAATTCTTTGTGCTGCCATAGTACCGCTGTTCCATCAAAGCACAAACGCTTTCCAGTTTGGCATCATATAGGTCTTGAGATACTGCTGCCCAAATTTGAGATGGATCTATTGAATCCTCTGGGAGGAGTTTTGTAAAGTTCCATTCCACCTGTCCATTCCCTTAAAATGGCGTGTTCTCACATGACCTGTGACATCGCTGTTCAAGTTATCAACTGTTCTTTTGCAATTTAGGGTCTTGTTAGTTGGAGGTTCATAACACCCAAATCTGAAATGAATCCGTTCTCAAAGTAGTTTTGAAAAGGTTGTATAAAATGAAAACACACAAAATTCAAAATGGCCGACATTCGGGGTGGGTGTAGCTAAAGTAACCCAATTAGAAATATGTCTGAAATGATGAGAGGAATGTACTTACCAAAGTAAGTGAACATCAGGGTAGCTTAAGCCATCCACGCATTGAGGGGCACTATTGAGCCCACAAAACATGCATGCATCCAATCCTGTATATTCTTGTGCTGTTCACAGGGCTTGATGTGTGCTGGAAAAAAATTTGAGTATCCCAAGGGAGTCAAAAATGCGTTCAAAGGCTAAAAGCAATCACAGGGCTACAGAGACCATGTGTGACACACAAACCCTATTGCACCCTCAAATGAAAATAATTTTTAGTTTGAACAAGCATGCAAAGTTTTGTGAGTTTCTGTGCATCCTAAAGTCCTCAAACACTAATACTTGTAAAATGAAAATTAATGCACCAGAAATCCAAGATGGCTGACTTCCTCTTGGCAAAACATTTCCCTAAAATTTCTCTTCCCTTGTCCTGTCACAGCGTTGATCACTCTGATTGTAAAGCCTCCGAAAAACATGACTGCTGTGACTCAGCCACCACAACAGGGGCGTCTCTTTGGTCCCCTTGCGCCTGACGAGGAGTGTGTAAAACCCACCTTTGAAAACTTCGCCTTCACCCTGCTGGAGCTCTTCAAGTTCACCATCGGCATGGGCGACGTGGAATTCGTCCAGGATGGCGAGAACAAGGTGGTTTTCTACATGCTCCTCATTGGCTACATTATTCTTACGTACATCCTGCTGCTCAACATGCTCATCGCCGTCATGAACCGCACGGTGGAGAGGACCACCAGCGAGAGCGCCAGCATCTGGAAGCTGCAGGTGAGGCGTGCTCTGTGGTCGAGGGGAGTGTCTATCCAAGGCAACTGCGGGTTGTTTATGAAGTGCTGTGACTGTTTTCAGAGGGCCATCACGATCCTGGACATGGAGAGGAGGCTGTCTTGCTGTCTGAGGGAGAGGTATCGCTGTGGGGTGGAGAAGAACCTCGGCACTGCTCTTGGAGACGACCGTCGCCGGTGTTTCAGGTTTGCTTCTTTCAGTTCAGCAACAAAGCAATCAGTTAATTACATGATATGAAAAACTCCATCAATAGCTGAGTGTGAACGTCCACTCTGGGTGCTTTTTTGATTTTGTCAAGTCGAGTTTAAAGTCATCAGATTTGTGACTTGAGTTCAAGTCAACAATCCACACCTCTTTGTCCTCAGCACTTCTTTGCCTTTGTGTTAATGACGTTTTATAAAACTGGGGAATTTCTACCATTAATTAAATTATGACACCTTACCAAGTCAAGCAAACCTTTACACTTGGGGCAAAACTGAGATACCATCCTGCCCCATGTGTGCTGGAAGAGGATCCCTCTAACACCTCCTCAGCAGCTGCCCCAAAGCCTTGGCTGATGGTTGTTACCATTGGTGCTATGCCCAGCTGCTCAAGGCAGTTGCGGAAGACATTTAGTCCAGTAAACACCACCCCAGGAAAAGAGGAAGGACCTCTTTTCTAACCACAGACAAGATGATACCAACTGTCCACAGCCCCAGACTGGCAGCTGAGAGTGGATCCTGGAAAACAACTCAAGCTCCCTGATCATATTGCGCACACGAGGCTCCACCCAGACTCGATCATCTCAGATTCCACCAGGCAGGTGATCATGAGGGAGCTGTCTGTGCTCTGGGAGGAAACTCAGATGAAAGTCTGCACCTTGTTTATAGTCCACAGAACGAGGCTGCACGCAGACATTTTCAGAACAAAATGAAGCAGGCTGCAGTGAGAGTCTCTCTCCATGGGATGTTTGAAAATAGCAGCTTTGTGCATTTAGTCCATCTAAGGCAAGCTCGGGGGTTTAGTGTTGCTGGAGTCCACAGGAACGGCACTGTGTGACCCTTGTTTTTTCCTCCGAGTGAGGATTAGAATATATGCCGTTCACATAACCCGGTCGAAATTAACATATATAAACACTTCAAGATCCACTCATTACTAAAAGTGTATGTCATATAAAAACTAAAGTAATGGTATAAATGAATATGAAAAGTTGTCATATGGAATATTTAAGGTGTGCTGATGGATTCACGTCTTCACCTCATGCACTGAGTAACATTACAAGATAACGTTCCACCTTAAAAGTTGCCGGCAGTCGGCCCAGTGAATTAATTAAATTTTTTCTGACTACAGCTGCTGTGAGAGGCAGCGAAACATCCTTTCATTTTACAGTTACCGTGACGTTACAGTTCACTAATAAAACTTTCCACAGCATAAACAGTGGTTACATGAGCTTCAAAACCAGCCACAACTCAGCCCTGAGCAGAGTGACTGTCCTTTATTGACCAATCAACAGACTGCAGTGTTCACAGCTCCACCTTTTAGTACCAGATCTGTGTGCTAGGTACCCCAACAGAGGGGGGACAAAAAATGGGGACTGTACAGAACAGTTCCATTGGTACCATCCACAACTTTTCACAGTGGAAACAAAAAACACATACAGAACTGAACTGTACCATACTGCTCAGTGGAAACGGGGCTTTAGACTCAAATTTGATTACTTGTAGGCAGGCTATTTTGGGAGAGAATTTGGATATTTTGACAACTTTTGGGGTGGTTATATTACACAATTAAAACATGCACATGGTTGGTGTTTTGATGACAATATAAGTAGACTCTTAATATTTGAATTTGACTACTTTTAGACCAAAAAATATTAGCTAGAACGTTGGCTGACTCATACTCATACATAGTATTTCTAAAATCCTCCTCCCCTCACATGCAATCTGCCATGTGCACTGCACCTGACAGGTACTTAAAGGCAACAGGATACATGCTCAGTGCCCAGGACCCCCTAACAGATTAATCCAGGGCTGGAGAAAAGAGCATGTTTCCTGTGATTAAGATGGTTGAATAATTTCCCAGTTACTAGTTACAAGGAACAAGGAGAGGCATATGTCCACAATGTGAATCTCAGAGGGTTTGTATAGGTGACTTTAGGAAGGATGCTTTGACAGGTGTAGTACTGAAGTTGTTATCTGACCTGATTTTCAGTACCGAGGAGTAAAAATCTCTTCCACCCAAACTCATCTGAGCAGCGACAAAATCAAGGTTTAGCATGTAATAATAATCAGGCATTAACAAAGGAGTTTGGGCTTGAAGATTTAACAAAAGATGCAGCTGTGCGAGCAGCATCGATTGATGCACGGCACAGTGTGCTCTTCACTAATTTGCGCTTTCTCTGACAGCTGATTGATGCATCACACAGCAGACAGTAATTGGAGCATGTGTCCTCTTGTCGTCTCAGAGTGGAGGAAGTCAACTGGAACAAATGGAACAGCAACCTGGGCAAAATCGATGAGGATCCTGGGTGCTGGGATCGAGACCACCAGCCTACCTCACACAGACTATCGAACAGACTATACAGAGGTGCAGAAATGGGAACGCAGCCTCAGAAGTTTTTATTGCTTTTCAAGCATCTCTCTGTGACAGGAAGGTAATCCACGTCTAGTAACATTCCCTCCTTTATCCACAGGGAGGAGCTGGAGAGACTTTTCGTTGGAAGGCAGCCTGTGGCGGCGGCAGACACAGCAGTCCACAGAGATGACTCCTCTGAGCAGCACGCATGTCTAAAGAGACAACAGAGAGTTTCCACTGTGGCTGCTCAGCCTGACTGACCCGAGCATCAAGGCATTCGAACCTAAAGACAGTATTCAGTTTCAGTTCCCTCAGAAATGTAACTGTGTGTGAACTGCCTCTCTGACTGAGTGATACTCTCCTATCAGGTTGATTTTAAATTCAGCATTTGAGACAATATTTCACTGAGAGGAGCAGTGAGGAGGACTATATTAGTGATATTTGTTCATTCGACTGATATAATGGTGTAAAATAGTAGAATTTAGAATACATTTAAGGGACAGTTCAGCCCAAAAATACATATTTCAACTCTCACCTTTGGTGCTTTTTACCAATCTAGATTTTTTTTGGTGTGAGTTGTCGAGTGTTGGAGATACTGGCCGTAGAGATGTCTGCCTTCTCTCCAATATAATGGAACTAGACAGCACTCGGCTTGTTAAAATGCCGAAAAAAATAAATTTAAAAAAACGCAACAGCAATGTCTCTTTCCAGAAATCGTGACCCAGTTACTCAAAAATAATCCACAGACTTTTGTTGTGTCTCAAATCAGATACGTATATAATTGATATTTTTATAATGATAATAACAATCATTTACAGTCTCTGTTATGTGGTAGTTGATCTGTTCCTCTGTTCGGAGGGTAAGGAGCTCCTGGACCTCGTTGTTTTCCCACGGCGCAGATTTTTTCAGCCGCTGTTGAGCTTCTTATTTGAGCTAGCTGCTAACTGCTAGCAGCTGCTTTTTAAGTTTCCCACTGTAGCTTGTACACTAAACACGTCATCAAAACGTCCTGTGCCACCCATGGTCTCATTCTGCCAGCTGTCCCTTTTATACAGACGGTTGTTTTGGCGCTGTTATGACCTCCAGTGCCGGCTTAACGGTGAGACAACTCTGTGCACCCATTCCACACTTTTACCTTTTATAGGGAACGGAGAGGCCGACATAACGGCATGAAATTCCCGTCTAGAAGAGGCAGTGTAAAAGAAGCTATTAACTCATTAGAACTGCTGGTGAAACAGCCAACAGTGTGAGCCACGGACATTCATAACGTGCCCTGAAAGCACGTTCATTTTTAATATACTATGTGCTTGTGACAGTGCAAGATATAAACATTAATGGCGTCCTCTGTAATGTTAGCTAGCTCATTGGTGCTAGATGTGCTAGCAGTAGATGCACGCTTCCCTCTGCATGGTGATGCGGTTGCTGGTAGTAGTTCTGTAGAAAGAAAATAGTTCCAACATGAAACTTGTCACAACAAGGTCTGTGGATTGTCTTGAGTATCCAGGTCATGGTTTTTGCAAAGAGACAATGCTGTTGAGTTTTTTTTGCTGCTTTGCGCACCACAAGCCGAGTGCCATCTAGTTCCATTATATTGGAGAAAAGGCAGACATCTCTACGACCGATTTCTCCAACACTCAACAGCTTACACCAAAACAATATAGACTGATAAATAGCTCTACAGTAAGATGAAGAATATTTGATTTGGGGTTGAACTGTCCCTTTAAAACATATAATCCAAAGGTTTCTAGACATGCTGTTTCTGCCACCACCTGAACAGGATGCACATCCTCTCTGCACAAAGGCCAAAACCTGCCGGCACCTCTGACATCGCTCAGAATCCTTCATGGAGTAATACTGATTACGAAGGTGCTGATCCCGCCCTCCTGCTGTGTGCCCTTTATACGAGTCCCATTTTCATCACAGCCAGACAAGCTAAATCTACTGCAGCCAGATAGTCCTGTGGATTTCACAGCTTGCTTTGTCTACTCTACTTCCTGTTTCCATTTGGCAGAGGCAGGCTCTGATAAATGGCATGAAAGCACAGCAACTGGTGCAACAATCGCTGCCTTCAGCACGAGCTGTCTCAGTTACAAATTATATATGGTTATGGCGGGCCTTTTAAACCGCTCAGCAACGTCTGAGGCTGATTATGTAAGAATCTGTGAATAGTACATTACCTGAACTGTCAGACATGATGACAGTAGTTAAGTTGCTGTATCCAGTGTTGCCAGATCAGACTGACAAGTTTCCAGCCCAATCACGACTTCAATCCAATTCAATGAAAACCAGCCTAAATCATAACTGTGTCAGAAACCAATGTAAAACAATTACATACACAATGTTATGTCAAATGTGTCAATGTTACACAAACATAAAATGTCTGATAATTAATAGAGCTGGGACGATTTGCTTTAATCACTTGCCAATTTATATATGTATTGCCATTTTCAAGTATTGCAACACATTCTTTGCAATTTTTGTTTAGTTTTTTAACACTAGACCACGGGGAAAAGTTGAATCGTACAGTTTCGAGAGACGGTATATCATTAGACATATTCCAAAAATGGTGCAGACTTCCCTCTGTGTCACTGGTAATGAGGAAATACAGTGAGTGCTGGACAGAGCAGTGAGTGACAACAACCCCGCCCACATTTAAGAGAACTGTTTGCAGTGGAAACACTAGGGTCTAAGTACCATGTCTGAAGGATCACTTATCCAAAGGTACCATACTGAAAGTGTTTGGTGAAAATGGGGCTTTTGCCTCACTCTCTGCTTCTAGGAGAACATTTGCAGAGATAAAAGCAGGCGGAAGCTCCAGGGATGGACTCAGTAACAGCTGTAGCAACTTAAGTTCAGTCAACCCTAGCACCAGGGTTCACATTATGCTGGGTCTAATCTGTGTAACAGCAGCAACAGAAAGTTTCATGATCTGGCGTGGAGTTTGAGCTGGGCTGGCTGAATTTGAGTTGCTATTTGAGAAGCTGAAGGTCAGTGTCCTCCGACCATCCGCCGTTTCTGCTCTCTAACTTTGGCTGTGTTTTTATACAGATACAGGTATGACGTCACATTACTCACAGACTACCACAGTATCACCTCTGCGTTTGAAAATATTGAAAATTACTGAATTATATTATATCTTAAACTGATGCTGGAGGGGTACCTGAAGCGTCACTGTTTGGCGTGTAGAGCCACTGACAAAGCGTCGATATTTGACGAGTTGGGGGTCAAAAGTGGTTTGACTGGGAGGAAACCAGCCTAATACGTCAACACTGGCAGTATCTCTGCAGAACTAAGGGAGCAGTAGAAAAGTTCACGTGTTGGCAGTGTCAGTTAACACTGCAGATAATCCAAACTGCAGTTCAGACTTGTTTCAAAGCATAAATTAGAACTTTATTTTATTATTACAATATTACAAAAAGAGTAGCACAACTCTCACGCTCTTGCCTCTTATCTGTCGTACAGCATGACACAAAGAAAGGCTCGTGGACCTTCTTCCATTTCACAGCAATAGTACAAGAAACAAAAGAAGAAAATAAAATTTAAATAACAAGCAAATCAAGTATTATAAATAGTCACAACTGCAAACTGAAGCTTTGAAACTTGGGGAAAAAATGTTACAGCTCAGTAACTACACATTGCTAAAATATAGTATAATTACAAAATATTACTGTTTTCTTGCTTTCCATGATAAAGAATCTCTAAGGAATTGCTCTGTCTATTCAACAAAACTTCAATAAAACAGAAAGACAAGAAAAAAACAAAAAAAAAATTGCTGTTTCTGTGTTTCCTCACCGTTTCTTTCTCCTTATTATTTGGGGTTTTCATTAAAACCATGCTCATTTTCAAGGGAAGTCCAAGGACCAAACACTTAAGGCTTTTTAAGGGCTGTTAGGGAATTAGGTGAACAAAACATGGGCGTCATTGTGTTTATACACACACACACACACACACACACACACACACTCTCCCTTTTTCTCTCACACACACACACACACACACACACACACACACACACACACACACACACACACACACCCCCTAACTCTACCCACATCAGCAGGCAACATTCACACACAATCGTTAAACTTTAAAGTTACAGTAGTCTAGTAGGTAAGCCAGTGTACAATAAAATAAACAATGCATTTGCTGTTTCACTTTAAACTTAAAAGTCAGTTTTGTTTACCTCCACGTGATCTTGCAAGTGATCAATTTGGTCTTTTTTCAAGCAGACTTCACATCAGAATCAGTAGCAACTACACACAACTTAATTCACTTAAGTTCCTGCTGTCAGGATCAAAACTCTGGTGAGGCTCGTAGTTTGATTCTACGCGACATTAGATTATTTCTTCTGCTCCAGAGTTTCGTCCTCGTAACTAACCTTCTTCAATAACTGCAAAACAAATAATCTCAACATTCAAGTAATACATTTGTCATGGTTACAAAAACAAATCTGAAAAGGAAACAAACATTAAATGGCACATCTTCATAACAGTGTGTCCTTGTTTACATGACTTTGGCCATTTTTAGGTTAATCTTTCATGACTTTATCTGCACTAAACATTTCACAATCTTGTAGCAAAACCTTCCTGGCACTGACACAAAAGTTATTTTTTTTAATCACCTGAATTCATTGCAGCATTTTCCGCAGGACAGAGCATCACCTTTTCAACATACCTGCTCCCTGCTGGATCTTGACTATGTACAAACAACCTGATTACATGCTTCCTTAAAAAAGTATGTTCGGTATTTTTCAACATGGACCCTTTTCCCCCGTGTTTTGTTTCTAAGTGAGTAATGGAGACGACAGTTTTTAAAATTGGTCTGGTATGGAGTGAGAGCGCTGCAGCTGCTTAACAGGCTGCAATGTGACCGCTTGGGGCATATTCACGTCAACTTACGTCCAATAAAAGTTTTTGTTTTTGCCACTGACAGACTCAGGTTATTATCCTGCATTTATGTGGTGTCGAAATAATCTAAAGAAATAGTTCTCTCCTGGGAAAATTCACACGAACACCTCCTCAGAACAACAACTTGCAAAGTAAGCCTTGCTGAGTTGATGTCATATTATGCAGAAACATGGCAGACAACAGTAAGTGTTAGTTTGATGTTAAGAAACTTTTTATTTATTTGTGTACTGCATATTAATTTTTGTTCAGATATAATTTGTAACATGGTAGCCTATTAGGTTGTAACTTTGTAGTTGTCTACATACATTGACCTAGAGGTTATTTATTACCATCAGTCAGGTAAAGCAATATCTTAGTAGGTTTAGGCGATGTACTGGTGCAGCAACAAGTCTGGATAAAGCAACATGAATGTTCACTGGGACGTTTAACAATCTGAGCAATAAAATTCAACATATCTGTTGTGTTTCTTCCCCATTATGACTTAAAGGTCATGAACAGGCCGAAGTTGGAAGAACTACTTCCCAACTCAGGAAATGGGACCATTTGAGGAGCACATGAATACAGCAATATTCTAAGTGTCTGACAACACTATGGAAAGGATCCCTACTGAGACAGATCTTAAAGAGAAAGATCCTTCTAGTTAAACCAGCAACTGTCCCGAAATTGCTATTGTCAAACCCACCAGACTCCATTTAAATAAACACTGAATTTATTGTTGTAAAACTCACCTTATTCAAAGTTGACAGAACCAAAATAAAACTTACAAAAGCTGTCTTGGTTCGTCTTTTCGCCGTTCCAACAATCACCAGGTCTAGATTGGTTGAAATAAACCCTTAATTCACCTTGTTAGATATGAAAATACGCTGACTCTATACATGCTTAAATTACTGTTTTTTTAAATGGAGTCTGGTGGGTTTGGTGATGATGATTTTGGGGCTGTTTTGGGTTAATCAAAAACCTCTATCTCTGCAGGGATCCTTTCCATAATGTTGTTAGACACTTAAAATAATAACCTGAGCCTGTCAGTGGCAAAAACAAGCACTTTTAGTGGATGTGCACTGATGGTGTGAACACCCCAAGTGGTTACACTGCAGCCTGTTTTGCGGCTGTCGGCTGCGGCTTTCTTGCTCAATACTGGACCAATTTCAGAAACGACTGTTCTCATTCGTCCCTTCGACACAAGAACACAAGAAATCAGGCCCAGACCAAACTTACCCTTTAACTGACAGAGAGGAATCAATCTTGAACAGTCCTATTATACAAATAAATAAGTACATTAAAAAGGATAAAACCAATGTGTACATGTGCATACGGCAAGCTTTTCTAGCTGTACGTTGTAGTCTCCAATGTCTGGTTCATGTCTGGTTTATTACTCTCTCTTCTGTCCTCAAATGATTGTTTAATCTTGAAGTTACAATGAGATTGGAGCGTTAACACCAAACTAGTCTGAGCCAAAAATTCCTGACATGACCCTGTAAAAAAAAACATCTGTCAGTAGATGTTGCAGTCTCTCAGTGAGGGATCTATCTGTATTTCTTCTTTCTTACATGCATAAGAAAATGTTACCGGTAGGTCTGAAGTAGTAATAACACAGGATCTGTTAAGATCCAGGCACACAGATAGTACAGTAGAGGAAGGAGGGAATGACACACACACACACACACAGTACAGATGTGTATACACACGCACATGAAAAAGTTCCCTAAAGTGCCAGGTAAAAGCACTCATCAACAAAAATAAAAGTAGCAATTGATCACTTGCAAGATTTATTTAAAAAAAAGAACAAAAAAAACCTACTGTTCTTCATTAAATATATTAATTTACCCTCTTTAACATTAGCGGTCATTTGTTTAAGTTATCAATTTAGTTTTATTCATGTGTTTCCTTTCTTAAGACTAAACAAAGGGGTTTTGATAACTGTTGTGGAGACAAGGCCATAGCTTATCTGTACCCTGGGTGCTGGATGAGAGCGGTTCTGCCATCCCCAACCTCTGGACCTCCCCTGCTCAGAGGAGGCCTGTGCATCTTGCCCATCAACCCTAGATTCTGATCGCGGAAGTAGGGCGTCTGGAAGTCCCCACCCAAGTAATCTGCCGTTTGCATCAGATTAGTCTGGGCGGAGGAGGAGGATGAGGTGGAGGAGCTCACTCCTAGCCTGTAATGGGGAGCCCCAGGGGGCCCACAGTCTAGCGTGGTGCACCCCCCTGGGCCCGCACCATGGAATGGCATGGCTATGTCCTGAGACCCGGAGCTGTCACTGTTGGGTGTGGGGAGGATGCTGCTGTTCCAAATGTGGGACTGGAAGTAGTGACCATTAGTGTAGTGGGCCATGGGGCCGGGCATGCCGTTGTTGACGGGGGGAGAGGGGGTGGGCCTCTCTACGGGAGGTTTGAGTGTGTAAGGCTGACCCACACACACCTCTGCAGGGTAGCCCATGCCCTTAAAATGGAAGGCGGGGTCCCTGGAAGGCTGCTTGCAGAGGTGGCTCCCACCGTTCTGAACGTGGGGTACATGAGCCAACTGGTGCTGATTCCAAGAGCGCATCTTCTGCTGCTGTGTGTTATGTTGCAGCTGCTGTTGCTGCTGATTCTGTTGTTGGTGCAGATGCTGCTGCAGTTGGTGCTGCTGCTTGAGATCAGTGTGGTTGGAAGGCAAGTGGTTCATAATAGCCACGCTGTGTGGCGGGTGAGCTCCCACCGGGGCGGTGGCTTTCTCTTGAGGGCCGATGATGCAGTTGGGTGGGGGAAAGCCGGGGGTGGCGGGGTTGCTGTGCATGGACACCCTGGAGCAAGCGCTGATGAGCAGGTTGCGACTGATGGGGCTGGGGTTGGCGATCTGGCCCTCGCACATGGAGGTGGCTCCTGCACCCTGGGCCCGAGCTTGGCAGAACTGGTTGATCTGGTGCACGATGGTGCTCAGGTCAGCCTGGCGGCCCTGGTGCAGCCCAGCGGCCATGGAGAGTGGAATGGTTGAGGTAGAGACGGTAACATTAGGCGGTGCTTCGCCATCTGGCAGCTTCCTGCTCCCCTGCAGGCCAGGTGGTGGCTGCTGCTGAAGGTGCTGCTGCTGAAGCATGATGGCAGGGGGCCCCTGTGGGTGTCCGAGGGCTGGGTGCTGAGACAGAGTCTGGAGTCTGGGTGGGCCCTGAGGGTGCTGGGCCATGGGGGGAGGGTGTCTGAGGCTCTGGGTGTGACCCTGCTGCTGAGGAAGGGGCATCTGTAGAGTCTGAGGTGGGTCCTGTGGTTGAAGCGGCACGCTCTGCTGCAGCCGGGTGAGGTTCGGCAGAGGTGGGTGGTGGTTTAAAGTGCTGGTCGAAGCCACTTGGTACGGTCCGGTGGGGGGGTTCATGATGACTTCAGGGTGCAAGCGAGCCCGGCTGCCGTCAAAATCTTTAAGGATGCCTTTGACTGTGGGCACCTTGATGATGGCAAGGAGGCCTGCCTTGGTGCTGGCCTGAGAAGAGGGATAAGGGCTGTAGCGTTGGCCTGACGTATCCAGCCCGTTGACAGTTCGGCGCACGTGGTTTCGCTGGGGGACCTTGACGCTGTTGGGGAAGATCTTGATGGTGAGGGGGTTGTTGGCAACCTTCTTAGCATATGCGTCCAATTCTGCAGGGGTTGGAAACGGAGCGGATCTCATCCTTTGTGTGGTGTCCCCTGAGGTGGAGGACAGGACGGGTCAGAGGTGAGACAGAGAGAGAAAGAAGGGGATTGAGGGGACGAGAAAAGAGAGACACAATGAGAGAGACAACTTAATCCAGGTACATCCGACAAAAGAGCATATCAGTTGTAAACCGTCCCGTTCAACTGTTAGCCCATTAAATGGTTGTTATCAGTTCTCATCAGGAAAAGAGGTCGTGTTAACCGAATATTTTCTGCCAATGACTGAATTATTTTAACAATAATGGACAAATCTGAAGACGTTACTTAAATTTATACCCCTGTGCAGGTGGTGTCGTGTGCATATCAATTAGCTTTTGTCTAGTCTTGTCTTTTATCTCACATGCATTACCTCATTGTCTAGCTGGCTTTAGCCATCGCATTGGTCGGCTGTATCGCTGCATACCACTGCAAAATGTCATGGCCACTGAGTGCAGGGTGTCTACAGGCATCAGACAGTTAAATGTAATGCTTTATAAGACCTGTTTAAGACACCTTTTAACCAAATTTAGGACAGATTTTTGGACAAATCATGTTTTACTTATTTAAGCATTGCAGGCAAGTAGTATATATGTGGTCTTGTGCAGTGGACTTTTACATTGAAAGGCTTCACTCATTTTCACAAAAAGAAATAAAAAAATGGATGAATGAAATTAGACGAAATATTTGTAGCAGTTAAGACCTCACAAATTCAAATTTAAGACTGCTTAATGACTCAGGGCCTTATTGTTGTGACACTGAATTTAAGACATTTAAGACTTTTTAAGGATCTGTAGACACCCTGTGAGTGTCCAAAGTTTCTTTGCATGATCAGTGCTTCTGTTTACCTTTTTCAGTGCTGCCAGGTGTTCAACAACGACGCTTCGACACTTTTTTAACCTCCAAATTATAAATAGAATATTTGCAGTTTGCATAATCTGGTTAAATATGTGTTGTTTTTTCAAAAATTTCTAGTGCGTAAAGATTTAACCATCACCGAAGCGTATGTTGTGCAAGAGAGCCAATAAAAACAAATTTAAGGGGCAAAGTTATCATATTGAAATTTAAGGTGTGTTGATAGATTCACGTTGTCAACTAATGCACTGAGTAACGTGCAAGTTACATGCATTTATCATTGTTGTAGCTACCTAAAGTGATTCTTACATTTCCCAACTGTGTAAATGTGTAGCTTATACACTGAATTAAAAAATGTTTTAACATCTCGTCAACTATGTGCGTTGTACATCTACAGCCTGGCACCTTTTCCCAAAATTTGCCAAATCTCAATAGTAACAGCTAGTCTTGAGTGTCCTTAGTGAGGCTAGCTATTGATTCCAAATCCAAAAAAGAAAAAGTCTCAAAGGAAAATAGAGAATTTCATAGTGAGTGGACAGATTTGTTTGCTTTCTCTGCTAATGTGCAAAGTACCAAATAATCATAAACAGCCCACTACAGAGGTGCTACTTTGATGTAAAATGTATTATTGAATGCTCATTTAGAGCTATTAGGAATGTTTAAAGGCTAATTTAGATTAAATAGGCTATTTCGCAGTCACTATAAGGCACAAATATGCATTGCGGCTCTTTTGATAGTGAAGATTGCCGACCCCTGAGTTAGGAGAATGGATTTGCAGTAGTGTGGCCCTATGCTACCTCATTTACATTTATTGTTTAACGATGACCTCTAGTGTTCGTAGTAATTATGGCAAGAGCAAAGGAGGAAGTCAGGTGATGTAGTATAAAATACAACAAAGTCTGCATAGGGAGGAGGTCGGGAGGGATGGAGGGGTCAAACAAACACAGGACTTTCATCCAGGAGGCCGATGTTCTTGTCATGTGTGAAACAAAAAGTCAACACAAATGTAGGTTACGTAAGGTAACCTACGTATGTAACTGGAGTTACGTACTTAATGTACTTATTTCAACCCAAATCAGGATCTTTTCTGAAACCTAACTAAGCAGTTGAGTGCCTAAACCCAACGAAAGTGAAAACTAATGAAACTGCGACTGTTATATGTTAGATATGCACCTTCTGGCCTTTTCGTGGGTGCAGCCCTGTCTGAAACATTATAATGGGAGTGATAAGAACTGATAACGGCCATTTTATGGGCTGATAATATTAGAAATGGGTGTTGAAATCTGAGCAGCTGAGAGGAACCTGCTTTGGACAGCACTCTCATATTTCGTACTCAACTGTTTTTTTCCTAAAACACACAGCTCCCGTCTCATGAGGACAGCGAGAGAAAGATCTCCAATCTCATTCTCAGCTGAGTTATTGTGGCCGACACATTCCCAGTCTAAAATCCAATTTTGTGGTGGCGTCTGTGACTTTGAGGTCAGAAGCTTTTAGTGGCCTTAATTGACGCAGCATCCGGGCAAACAATAAGTATGCATCTGAGGAGGGGGGAGGCGACGGCGGCCATGCGGCTCGCTACTGAATCACAAACTAAACAAAGAGTGAGCCAGGCAGTGGTGGTCCCCCGTGGCTGCTTTGGGGAGAAGGAGAGAAAGAGATCGACGCAGAGAGCAGAGCTCCATGACGGCAGACAAGTAATCAGACACAGCAGCAGCAGCAGCAGCGGCGTCTCTGATCTGCGGGAACACCTCGCAGGCCTCAGCTCACAGACATTTGTTACACCTGCTTAGCACTGTGGCTAAATTTAACAATGCCGAGGTGACAAAGTGAACATGATTATGTGTGCATGTGTGAGTTTCATTCATGAGCCTGTTTAAAAATGTGCGACAGGATCTTGCAGGTGACAGGTAATGTGTAGATAATGGGCATGATTGCGAGTTTCATTTTAAGGCAGTTCTACAATAAAAAAAATCAGTGATAATCGTTTTCCTGTGTCTCATTGTCCCCATCACCTCAGTTCCGCCAGTCTGACCTACTTACACCGCAGCTTTCAGACTGATGGACACGAGTCAAGCTGATTTGTGAGAGGGAGTCTGACTGAGCTACATTTAATTTAGTCCTTCATTGTCTTTTAGGAGTTTTGGTAAAATAGATGTCATCATTGCAGCATTACTTCTCTGTGTTGTTGAGTGAGCAGTAATTTGAAAATGTCTGAATTGCTGGCAGAGTTCTGTGGTTTCATGCAGCCGTGGCCGTTATGCTCACTCTCACAGCAGGCAGACCGGGCTTGAGGGATGAGGCACAGAGCTGAACTGCGAGCTCCGACACGGCGGCACCAAGAGTTGTGCCAACTGGCTAATTAATTCCCGCTTTATTTGTGAACAGGAAACAATGGGCAGCAATGTGCGGGGCCGGTATGGGGCGGCACACAGGGGGGCTGCTGTGACCGAGTGTTCAGCCTGCTGATGGCAGCCTCATTAATGCAGGGGTCTGGGCCAAGGAGCTGGAGCTCGACACCCGCCATCACTGAGGCCTAATGTCTGTCACTGAATAAATGCCAGGGTAAGCAAACACAGATAAATTAACACTAGCTCACAGACATGCTGTGGATGGACTTCACCTGTCAAACACATGTTATGATTAATGACCTTGTTGGAAATGATGATTCATATTGTGACAGAAAAACAGACTAAATAACAGGTTACATTTAGTATACATACCATTTTAAAAAGGACCTATTATGTTTTATTTATTTTCTGTCGCACTTATCTAATGTTACAGTGTCGGATGTTCATATTAAATGTGGCTAAATTTTTTAAAATAATGATGTAAATGTATCTAAAAGTGAGCAACACCCTCAGACTTCAGACCGTTCTGAATACTCTGTTTTCAACGAGACAACTTAAGTTAGATCATTATGGATTACTTTATGGTCATCTGCTCCAGGGACACTACTGCAAGTATTTACGTTACATACAGTGCTACATGTAGCTACATGCTCGCATCAGGGAAACATGTAATCTGGGTTGCCCATGTTGTTAATTTTTCCCTGATTTCAGCGTCGATGCTAGCATTGCACTGGTTCTCTTGTTAAAAAAGCCTATGGGATTTTTCCATTGGATTTTGGATTATTGCAGAAAATAAGCTCTGTTGCAAACAAAAGTTTATGACACGTTTTGTTCAGCAAGAAAAAATTCACAAATGACTACTTTCATGATTTTTTAAGCCTAAATGCAATTGCCAGAGGTAAAAGGCTTATGTTACGCTATAAACGAACTACTCTATGGTCACATGACCTAACGTCACCACCATAACAAGACTGTAAAGCTGTGTTTGGCGTAGCTCGGTATTATGACATTCTGTAATCTCATTTAACTACTTGTTAGCAATCGCTGTGTTTAGGACACACAAAGGCAGTAGTAGCTCAGTCCATAGGGACTTGGGTTGGGAACCGGAAGGGTCGCCTGTTCGAGTCCCCGTCTGGACCAAATATGGAGCGTAGACCGGTGGCTGGAGAGGTGCCAGTTCACCTCCTGGGCACTGCCAAGGTGCCCTTGTGCAAGGCACCGAACCCCCCGACTGCTTGGAGCGCCTGACCAAAGGGCAGCCCCCTCACTCTGACATCTCTCCACTTTGTGCATGTATATGTCCTGTTTGTGCATGTGTGTGTCTTTTGGACCTGTGTGTAATTGACAAGCAAGAGTAAAAACATTGAATTTCCCCTCAGGGGGATTAATAAAGTAAATAAACTTTAAACTTTCAAAGTTCACAAGTGGGGTATTTACTGACATATTTTATGTAGTAGAACAAAATGTGAAAGTCTCTAGAGCTTGTGTTGACCACAGACCTTATTCCAGGGAACCACAAGTGGTATAATGTTCCTCATTTCTGAGTTTTAAGCCTCATTCCTGGGCTACTCTATAGGAATAGGTGTTACATAGAAAATAATCTGTCAGTATTGAGAAAAAAAATGTGTAATACAATCTAAAAAACTAAATCATTTATTTTTCTTTATACAGATGGCTTTAAATATTTAATATGAACCTGAAAGGCTAGCATAGTATAAATTCCCTCCTGGTAAGCTTGCAAGCAAATATAAATATATAAAAATAAAAATGCTCAAAGGGTTTAACTTCCTCTTTGAGTTGCAGCAAGAAGAGAGG